GCCTTGAACGCATCGATTCGCTGTGGCGCAACCTGTTCAAGTACTGCTGTAACTGTACATGACGCTTCATGTCTCTGTAAGCGCCCAGGGCCTCTCTGCCTAAAGCTTTGTCATTTGAGGCGTGATGATCTTGTTCAATGATTCAAAAGTCGTGAAGCTTAGCGCTGGTGCTGGCGCTGGCAGAGAGACTCAAAGGGCTCTAGTGCAAGGCCCGATCCCCTGAATGGAGTTCGCACACCTACTGTATTTAATTAATTAATCCAATTCTACGTCCGGGCATCTCGCCAAAAACAAAAAAAACTCCCCCATTGGCGCTGTAGGGATTGCTCACTAGCCGACGCCACCGGCAGCCGCATCCAATCTGCCCATCTCCGTCATTCCGCTCTCCTGGGCGCAATCGGCAGGCCATTTGTGCAGCTCCCTTTGTGCGCCTTGTATATCGACTCGACGACTTTTTTTTCCCAATCGGCCAGGCTGCCGTGGCAATTCTCTCGATGCGGTTGCAGACCGTTCCCGGAAGCCTTGCCTGTCTATCGTTATCGTGATTTGCAGTTTTTTTTTTTCGCCTCCTTCTTTTTAGCACCGGCTTTCAATCTCGTTGCATCACAACCCTGCAGGCCCCCCCCTCGCTTCTCATGCGGCCTTGAGTCTGGCACTCTCTCTCCCATTCAGCGCTCGAAACCGCTGCTGCCATCTAGTCACTCGCTCAAAAGGAATGTTGAATTAATTCAGACAGCTTTTACGGGTCGATACAAGCGCTTTGGACGGCGACAGCGTCTTGCGGAACTCGTCGGATCTTGCGGCCAACATCTGAACCAGCATCAGAAACCAGAAACCGCCAAGGTGCTGGTCATGCAATGAGTGGAACGGCAATCATGGCCCCGGCCGTGGAAATCTCCTCCCTCTCCTTCTCTCGACGATCCCATTCTTCTCCCGATCTTCCGTCACTGCCATCACAAGCCAAGTCACCCTCGCTTGGCCATCCCGTCTCGACCGACCATACAGCCTTGGATATGAAGGGCCTGGCCGAGATCGCGACGTTTGAAATACCCTCCTTCAACTCCGACTTGGACCTTAAGCTCGACATCTCTCTTCCACTCGCTCTAGAGACCAAGCTGGCCCCTTCTACTACCTCCTCCGAATATGTCGACCCCAACCCCCCTTCTCCACCAACAACCTTGCAACATCTACGCACAAAATCTGCGGCTTCCTCCAACGATGGGCCTCGCTCATGGTTGCGCAGCTTGACGACCATCCGAGATACCCAGTACGAGGACGACGAGGACGCTGCTGCTCCTCCATTCGACGAACCACGGCGGCCCGCTACAGCAAACGAAGTGCCCATGGACAGCGACGAGGCAGCTCGCCGAACGGCCCGGGACCGCGCCCAATCCACATCTGCGAGTTTTGCCAGCTTCACCAAGAGGTCGTGGATTCCGTCGTCGCGCTCGCTGCCCAAAGTCCAATCAGACGCTCCAGTTCCAGCCGCGGCGAGCGTGAAGCAAGAAGCGAAATCGAACCGCTACCAGCTGAAACGGGCTGTGACGGCCAGCATCCAGGAAATTACGACCAATCAGACGACCCAAACCCGCTTAGTCGACTCAGGTGCTAAGCCCGCGACAAAGGGATTCGCTCGTGCCACCAGCTACTTCTCCAGGATCAAGCAAAAACCCGCGTCCACGTTGTCTAAAACAAGTGACAGCATTGGCTCCGATTTTAGCTGCGCCTCGTCTGCCACCAGCTTGGCTCAGCCGGGCTCCAGCAGCATCGACACGCATGTCTCGCAGTCCGCCTCTTCTGCAGAGACCAACTCCACGACGCTCACCACCGATGAGTCGTCGAGCGAAATGCCAGCGCGCATGCCCGATCCGCTGTGGTCGCAGTTCAAGAATTTGGACCTCGAGTTTCGCGGGTTCGCCTCAAAGGCCGTTGCCCAACAGTGCGCTCTGATCCAGTCCCTGTTTCTGCCCTTTCTCAAGAGCACCACCAGCCAGCAGTCACTTAGCGGTCTGCGGCCCGAAGATGTCGACTGCAGGGCTTCCATCCTCAACAAGTGGTGGGGCGGCGTCCTCGATATGCTCGAGGTGCAGCACCAACAGCCGGTCCCGGGCCTTGATCGGCAGCTGCTTTTCGAGACGGCGACCACCATTATGATGCGGCTTGAATGGCGCCAGACAACGTCTTACTTTATGCCCTTGTCGGAGCGGTCCCCTCAGGACCGGACCCGGGCGAGGTCATCCACCAACTCATCCAACTCATCGCAGAGCTCAAACCAGTCCGCCATGCTGGCAGAGTCGGCTGAGCACAACATTAGGACCATGTTTGTGTCCAACTTGGTGCGGCAGATGGCTTTTGTGGTCGAAAAGATGTCTCTCCGCCACGTGCCCCCAAGCTTGATCGAGTTTGCTGGCAAGACGTGCGCATACGCCTTTTTCTTCGCACCCGGTGTTTCTGATATCTTGGTGAGGCTTTGGGGGCTGACGCCTGACCTGATTCGCCGTGTCGCTGAAAGCATGGGCCTGGGCCGCAACAGCAGCAGTTCGCCAGTTGACGAGGAAATTACAGCCTCATTCCCACCGAGGCTGAGTTCCTTGGCTTGGTCTTCGCCTCGAGGAATGTGGGCCACTCTGAAACGCATCCCAAAGATGCCTCTACTTGTAGCGAGAGTGCCATGGACAGGGCCCTGGGTGATGCGGTGGAAAGGTCGCGATACCGACCTTCTCTTCATCTTTTGCAGACACTTTCACATATTGTCCGACCAATTTATGCCCGAGGGTCTCTCTTTGACTGAGAAAGCACATTCGCCTGCATTCGTTCTTGTTCATGCACAACTCTTGTCGATTCTAGATGGCACCATCCACCGCCAGGCTACCTTTGAGCCTCAAGGCTCTCTCTTGGCCAACTCGGCTCGGGGAGCTGAAGCAGCAGCCTTGCAAATGCCTATGCCACCAAACAATATGATGAAGAGCATGTCGGAAAATAGACTGGTCGTATTGCTAAAAGACATCCTGTCAGATAGCGCCTCTTTGTATCCGGGGGCGAGACATACATTCGCCGAAGCTTTCTCTGCGCTGTTGAAAGCTGCTGCGAGCAGAACTTCCAGATACAACAGCACCGCATGCTCGACGTTGTGCGACTTATTGGAGGAGGTCATCCTCATCTACCACCGGGCTGAGACGGCTGAAAACCCAACATGTTATATCGACTGGCCTTTTTGGGTTGAGGTTTGCAAACTGGCCTTGACATCGCTCAACACTCTTTCAGAAATTCGAATGATTTCCTTCATTTTCACCATATGGGATGCCATTACCAAAGATCCCGAGCAGAAGATGATGATATGCCGCGACTGGCTGTTGACAGAAGAAACCTTTAACGCCTTCTTCAACAACTGGTGCCCGATGGTGCGAGCGTATTACATGCGTCTTCTCTGCTGGAGGATCTGTCGCGACAAGGGTAGCCAGAATGACACAGACATGTAAGTCAAGATTTTCTACTAGTAATACTCTGAAACAGAACCAAGGACTAACCAGTATTTGTAGGGAAATATTCGCGCTGGTTTCAAAGAGGCTTAAGAGCGTTTGGTCGCATTATCTATATCTTCAGCAGGCTGCCGAGGAAGCTGGCCAACCAGGTCCCGCAACGGAACCAATGTCGCCCACGCTAGGAAAGCGATTCATCATCATACGCCAGGAAATCAGTGTACCTCAGCCAGGCCTATTTGTGACATTTGATACCTTCACCAAGGCGTCAAGCATAGTGTCGCCAACCAGCGACAGTAGCGCCGACGCAAGCCTTCTGGCCAAGAATGACCCTAAGAAAAAGTGGTCTATTCTCAAGTTACTAACATTCACCTCGACGGCCTCTCCTACCACCAAAACCACCACAGATTCACCATCTACAGATGACGGACTTCAGAATGCGCGACGCGAGGTTGCAAACTCTCGGGCGCGACAGAACGCTTCCGCCAGTCCACCCAGGACGGCCAAATCCGACAAGAGCGTGGACTCTGATGGCTCGAACCCGGTCTTTGAAGAGCCCAAGTTTACGTTCAAGTTTGTTCTGGGCTGGCCGCAGCCTAACCAGCAGCCGTCTCCCATAGACCACATTCTCGCACGCCCGAGACTCCCTACACCAGCCCAGGCAAGACTTGGCTTCCAGGCAAAACGTGGGGGTGGCCCGACCCTCCCCCCACTCATGATACCCACGAGGAAATTTTCTGGCAGTTCACAGGGTGGCTTGGTGCAAGCAGCAAGGAATGCAAGCCCACTTAGCTCACCAGTCACAGAACCTCGTCGCAAGTTGTCTCTCAGTGGCGGGGTAATACCAGAAGAGTTTTCGTCTACCAGCGGCTCTGAGACCAATAGCGGCGCCTCCACACCCAGTGAATCCAGGTTCCTTCCTTCTCCCATCGTCCACCTGACGCCGAACGAAGAAAGGCAAGGAGACGCCAAACCCGAGGCTGTAAAACCCACTGGCGTGTTTGTCAAGAACTTGGTCTACTCGGGACGTGCGTTGTCCGAGTGGAGTCTCGTGATAGCGGAATGCAACAACTTTGTTGAGCGCCGCCGCGACGAGGGCATTGGCTCGCTGAGTGAAGTTGAAGTGCCGTTGCTCGGCGTTGAGGGATTCCGCAAGATGGGTGGCTAGTCCTTCGACAGCTACAAACCGAAGAAAAAACAGCAACAAACGATGCAAAACTCAACTATGATTACCTTCAAATAAAGGCAACTATCAAGTTTCCTTTAATCTCATCTTTTTCTCAAACACACTCTCTCCCCACCCATCTCTTCTTCATATCTGGATTTTTACGAGCGGCATATATGGCGTGCTATTTACCTTCTATATGACCTAAACTCAACTGGCGTTGGCGAGGCTCCGACATTTTGATTCAGCGTATTTTCTTCTTTTCCGGTAATTAGCATGATTTTGAACACGGGAATATCTATGCACTTATTTGGTCGAATTTCAAGACGGTATATGGAAAAGAAAGATAGCAGAAATTACCTTTGGCACGTTTTTACACGTATCTGCTCCACAGCAGGAACAATCATAATTATCATTCAAAAAAAGGAGAAATTCGATCTGGATAAAGCAAAGACGTTACTGGTATACCCCCCATTGGGAGATGTGGCTCTGGTGCCATGGCTACCTTGACACTTTACTGCGTTGCTGCGGCCTGTTTTATTCATGTTGCAATTTCTTTGGTTACTTTTTGGGACTTATTTTATGTTCATTTCGCTTGCGGGACCTATGATGTAGGAACCCAAAAAGAAGGGAGGCACGGAAATGTGGAGGAATACGGATTTAAATACCCCTGATTTGAAACTGAGGTTGTGGTGGGCGTCAAGATTTATATTTAAATAAACAAGTTCATGAGTAAAACGAACTGCAAGGTCCCCTGCGTGTGCATGCAATAATCTTTTTCGTATACCTAGCGATTCGTGATGTCTAAATCTTGGCAAATTGAGTCTTGATTCGAGATGTCTAAATCTTGGCAAACTGAGCCTTGTAAGCGGCCTTGAGCTGCTTCCTCCACGCGACCTGCTTTTCCAAGAGGGCGTCGACCCTGGCCTTGCACTCGGGCCTGAAGAAGACGGACCTGTCCGGGTACTGGCCCTCGAACTGGGGCTTGCCGTCGTTGATGGTGATAAAGTCCCTTTTGCTGCGGGTGAAGATGTGGACGTCGGGCTCGAGCTCCCAGGGGCGGTCGAGGGTGCTAGTGATGAGGTATGTCATGAAGAGGCCGCCGTCTGCGTAGTAGTTCCACAGGCTGCCGCGGCAGAGGGGGCATTGGGCGACGGTTTGGCCGACTTTTGATTGGGTTGGGATAGTCACCAGGATGGGAGAGTTTGGTGTAGCAGCGGAAGAAGCAGCGGTAGCACTAGAGCTTGTGGATTGAGGAGGAACAGTTGCTGTGGTTGCTGCGTTGGTGAAGTCGGCAAAGGCGGGGAGGACGCCGCATACAGTGCCTGAGGCTGGAGAAGATGATGATGCTTGCGCGTCGGCCTTGCTGGGCGGGGTGGTGAGGGGGGCGGATGGGAGGAGGGTGATGGCGGAGGACTCGATGATGGCGTTGATGGCGAAGGCGCTGCCGATTTGGCGCTGGCAGAGGGTGCAGTGGCAGGTCTGGACGATGAGGGGGGGGAGGTTGATTTGGTAGCGGATGTGGCCGCAGGGACAGCCGCCTTGCATGGGGAAGAGGTCTTTTCGGTCTGCGTAGTGCGGCATGGCGACTGATATGTTTCAAGATGGGGGAAATGAAGCAATCTAGACTATGAGCTTGTCAGGTTGTGAAAGGGGGTGTAAGTGATGTAAGAGGGGGAGACACAGAGTGGACGAGAGGGGAAAACGAGTTTGTCTATCCGAGGTTCTGTTAAACAAAGGTGGGGTAAGATGCAGCCATTCAGATGCGAGGGGATGGCCGAATCAGGAAATTGGTGGCGGATCTGGTAGGTCAATGAGTCGTTCCCTACGGAGTATAAAGAATCGGAGCTTTTTTCTGATGGCGGAGCGTTTCTGGGGAATGGGGGCTGTTTTTATTTCGACTGCCGTGGCTGGGAGTGACGGCTTTCCGGGTGTGGCTGAATGGGGAAGTGTTGAGGCTTTGGGTTTGTGAATTTGGGGATTTGGTAAGTTCTCCGAGATGATTACAAAATCACTGCATTGATTCTGCCGAGGGAGCGAGTTTACCGAGGGTGGGGGATTCTATTATAACGGCTGGATGTCTTTTGAGTGGAAGCAGTTGTTAAAACATGATGAGCATTGATTAGGATATACAGCGAATAGTAATATCTTAGATAATGATGGTGTTGGTGTTTCAGCAACTTCCAAAGAGCCATGTAACGAAACAATTTCAACGCGCCACAATTACACGTACAACTTAGCCCCAGTTTGCAGGATAGCGTACCCTCTCCAACGTCGCTCCAAACGTCAACTCCAGAGGCTGAGCTCTCAAAACAGCCCCTCACGTGGTCCCCCTAAGCGGAGCCGGCGTTTCTCATGTCCGCCGACGCCGTTGATTGGCCCAATGCTAGAGCGGGCCGCCAAGGACGCAACGCCCCCCCACCTCGAATGGCATTTCCTCTTTGTCTCATCGCATCGCAGACATTCCAGAATTCCAGACGAGGCCTCCCAGGCGACATGCCTAAAACCGCGCTGGCTTCTCTCTTGTCATTTTGCTGTGACTGAACAGAGCGAGTGAAACGCCGTGCCGCCATGCCCAACACAGGCAGACCTAGCCGGGATTGTCACTTGTGCCGCCAGCGGCGAGTCAAGGTCAGTGTTTTATATACGTGTATGGATGATTGCATCAAGTCGATGTGAAGGAAAGGGGAGAGCGGCCGGGATATATAAATTGCCATCGGGTGGGTCTGCGGCAGTCTTGTGGCCATTTCTGCAAGGCTGTCGATGTGTGTCACTGCTCGTTGGCTCATGACTGGCGCTTGGCAGCCGCATCAGCTTGCTTGCTTGCGTTGGCTCGGATCGGGGATCGTCCCATCAGCTTCCGTGCCGTATTACATCTGCTCCTTGCTTTACCTACTTACACCTTCGTCTCATGTAGTGCGACCTTGCCCGTCCCGCCTGTCAGAGATGCATCAAATACGGCGCCCAGTGCCCGGGATATCGGGACCAACAGGAGCTGGTCTTCCGCAACGCCGATCCTACGGTTGTCAAGAAGCGCAAGAAGCGCGCCCCCTTGCCACAGTCCCCTAGCAGCCAGTCATCGTCGTCTTCCTCTTCGTCTTCGTCATCCGATGGAGGAGTGCTCTCGGCGCCGAGTCTCTCTCCGAACGGAGACTTTGTCTTCACCTCCTCAACGGACCTCGTCTTGGTCAACGGCGCCAACTACAATGCGCTGCCTCCGCTAACCTGGCCGGTGTATGAACACTGGACGTCCCACTCCATTCCCATCATCCTTGATGTCTACTCAAACCTTGATTTCATCAAGGACATGTATCGTGACTACACAGATGACGGGCCCCTCATCTGGGCTGCCCATCTCTTTTCTCGCACCTACGTGACTAATATGCAGTACTCGACGGCTTTGAGCAGAAGTTCCGATTCTGAGACGCAGCGCGAGTTGGGTGGTTACCTAGGCAAGACCCTGAATTTAGTCAGCGAGGCACTCAAGACGCCTGAAGGTGCTCAACGAGACGATATTCTCGCCACGGTATGGATACTTACAAATTACGAGGTAAGTAAGACTCTGATGTCATGCATCCAAAACAAACAATTCTCCATATCAGAACCTCACCAGCCAATAGTTGCTCATTGGCTCCCTTTCTCGCACTGAAGTCCTCAGCCCATGGCATTTACACGCCCGTGGGTTATACAGCATCCTCAAGGCAAGGGGCTGCGCCCCTCTACTCAAACCTGATGGTCGCAAATCGTTCTGGCCAGCCTATAGCATGGTGGTAGGTATCATTCATCTCATAGTAAGGCTTGTCATATTTGCTGACCCAACATATAGCAAATTCAAGCTCTCATTACCAATACGGAGTGTCCTCCGGAATCCAAGGAATGGCTCGAAACAATAGAACGGTTACTACCGCTACATCCGGGCGAGGGCTTAGGGCTGGCTATCTCCTACTTTATTATCAAGATTTGTAGCGTTCAGGCTCGTATCTTCAATCTCCTCCGACGTCGTGACTTTCCAGGGGCATCCAGAGATTATCCCGATCTCTTTGCTCAGATGAAGGCTGCCGAACAAGAATTCGAAGACTGGATTGAAAAGAACTATGTCGGGACTCACATTTTGGAGATTTATGCAATGAGCCTGTATCATTCCGCCATCGTCAAAGGGTACCATGTTATGCGGCTCCTCATCAATTTTCTCACACATTACCCCCCGTGCCCGATTCCTCTCGAGCAGCTCAACGAGGATCGAGAATACAGCGTCAAAACGGCCCAGAATGCGGCGCAAGGGATTTTAGAGAGCGTCCCACGTGTACTCGGACCCCTCTCTAGTAGCAAAGACAAGTCTCCTAAAACGGTGTTTGATGCCCTGCGAGTCATATGGCCACTTATTTCCGTGTATGTAATGGACATTTGCCGATCGGAACAGCGACTCGCTGCGGAGGGCCTTCTCTTCTATATTGGTCGAGAATTAGGAGTGCGACAGGCGCTGAACAAGTATCCGGACACGTTGACTCTACCAGCGGAGGCGAAAGAACCGCTGGGAGTATGATTTATGATCTGACTTTCATCAACGAAGTTTGTAGAAGGAAATGTTTTGAGGCATGTAGACACAAGATTGTTGTCGCTGGAACGATGACTTGGCATGGATTGGTCATGATTGCTGGATGCCTACCTGGATTTCCTTGTTTCACTTCTCCTAGATACCAATAATACAAATATTTGAATACCATATAATTTAATGGAGTTGACTGCAGTTGGTATTGGCATAGATCATTTTGAATCTTTGACTGTAGTGAGAATAAGGTACATGCATTCTTCAGTATGCCGGAGGATTTTTAGTTGTCGGATCGGCACGTGGTATCCCCTCATTGTGATACGTCACAACCTCAAGCTCACAAACTCGGCATGAGATGATTGCGCAAATTGTCATCTCCAAGGTTATGCTGTAATCCATTCAATTTGATGATAGGCTTGTTCTTACAGTTTTATTGTTTGCGACTGTGAGAGAGTATTTGAGAATTGAAACATGTCAAATAACGTTGATCAGCACTTGAGCATCCCCGTAATCGATCTTGCACCAGCTCGATCTGGTTCGGATGAGGATGTCCAAATTGTGGCCAAAGAATTATACGAGGCCTTCAAAAATGTTGGCTTTGCATATGTGAAGAATCATGGTGTGCCTGAGGATGTTGTCAATGAAGCGTTTCATTGGGTATGTCGTATCAATCCCTTCATTGTCATAATAGACTGTGCCTATATACCGCACAAGGACTGTTCAAGATGAGATTGAGTCTGACTGACATTCATCATCAAGAGTCGCAAATTCTTCAGTCTCCCACAAAGCGATAAAGATCTAGCTCCTCATCCACCAGAAGCATGGCATCACCGCGGCTATTCAAGCGTGGGTCGCGAAAAGGTATCGCAGATGATCTTTGACGAGGCGTCGATTGCTGCCGCACGGAACGTACCCGATGTGAAGGAGTCGTTTGACATTGGACGTTACGACGATGCGACACGAATGACAAACGTGTGGCTGCCGCGGGACGTTCTTCCAGGGTTTCGAGAGTTCTTTGAGGGGTTTTATGAGATTTGCTATGCTGCTGAAATGGAGTTATTGAGACTCATTGCGTTAGGAATGGGGCTTGAGAAGGAGTATTTCGTGGGGTACCATGTGAAGAAAGATAACCAGATTCGGCTGCTGCATTATCCGACCATCGAGGAGAATCTTTTACGACAGGGAAAAGCGGAGAGGATAGCTGCGCATACGGATTTCGGAACAATAACGATGCTGTTCCAGGATGACGTCGGGGGGCTCGAGGTAGAGGACGTCAGTGAGAAGGGGAAGTTCAACCCTGCACCGTACATACCCGGCACGGCGGTGGTGAACATTGGGGATTTTTTGATGCGTTGGAGCAATGATGAGCTGAAGTCGACGATGCATCGGGTCAAGGCTCCGCCGTTGGTGGAAGGTGAGGGAGAGGTACCGAAGGATAAGACGACGAAGGAAAGGTATTCGATTGTGTATTTCATGTGTGCGGATATGGAGAAGACGATTGATTGTGTGCCTGGCTGTTGGGGGCCTGAGAGGCCGAAGAAGTACGAGCCGGTGAACTGCATGGAGTACACAAATATGCGGATGGCGGCTCTTTATTAGAAGTATTCACAGATAGAGAGAGAGACTTATGTTGTGTGTTAGAAGAAATATGATGTATTTGCATATGTAAAGTGAATGAATTACTCTCGTATTTTGACTCGCTGAGAGCAACTCATGCAACAAAAAAAAAAAAGAAACAGATGAAGAGTCGTAACCAGATTATTTCGTTCCAAATGATTATAAAAAAAAAAAGCACGGCCATTGCGCCATCAAACAACCGGCTGGTACATGTAACATCCCAATCCCTCCCCATTACATCAACGTCTCAGAATGCGAAACAAGCAGCCACTCTCCGTCGGCGCCCTGGTTCCAAGTCGACGAGGCCGTGGCATTGTACTTCTCCTTGCCCCTGGTGGCTTTAATCTTGTACGTGACGACGCCGCCCATGAGGCCGATGAAGTGGGCGCGCATGTCCTCGATCTCGTAATCGTCGAAGCGGTGAAAGGGGGCCTTCATGGCGTCCTTGAAGTCGTCCTCGTCCTCGGGGGTGATGATGTCCATCTTGGGGAACATGAGGGCGGCGTCGGGGGCGCACAGCTTGAGCACGGCGGGGGCGGGGTTGGCGGAGGTGATTGCGGTGCAGAGGTCGTGCTCTTTGCCGAAGAGGTCGTCGCGGAGCCAATCGTTCATTGCCGGCATTGTGACGGATTTTTTTTTTTTTGTGGTGGTGAGAGTTTGGGTTGTTGTTGGCTGGATGGTGGTGTCAGTGGTGTTGTGAGGAGGGTTTCTATGATACTTACGTTGGTTGATGGAGATGGATTGTTACAGAGCAGCTGATTAGTAGCAGTCAGTCACAGAGAGATGGAGTAGACAAAAAGGAGAGAGAGAAAGAAGCCATCACCAAATAATATCCCATTCTCCATTACTTCAATGGTGATCAACTCATGCATTAAGAATGCCATCTTGTGACGTCACGAGTATGGCGCCGAACAATGACGTTTGATGCTCTCATTGTCCAGATGGTCTCAGCCTCCATCTACTAGCAAAAAGAACATGCCACATGTACTATTCGCATGTGCTCTCGCATTATGTAAATTAGCTGACCTCCTTCTCAGGATTTCGCCGACAAGGATGGCATGTCCTTGATTGCTTCTGAGAGGATCAATGTGTGCAAGTACAGGTAAACTCACGGCGGCGCGGGTTGGTACCTTGAAAAACCTGGAAATAGTGGCTTTGGAGGAGCAAGGCGCCCAAAAGTTCCCCACTGTAGATGACACGCTTAGAGCGTCATTGCTGATCAGTTGCCGGTTTTGGGGCGGCGTCTGACGCGTGGCGAGAGTTTGTATGTTTGGAGAGAAATGATACTGCAAAAGGGAGAGGCAAGAAGAATTGAAATAAATACTGAATAAATTTGATTCGATAGATGGGATTGGATGAGGGCCTGCATGAAAGTGTACAGGTAATACCAGGGAGTTGCGGATAGTTGTCCGTGTAAGCGCGTGCCACTGCAGTGTGGTAGCACTGGAGATCGGCGATGACAACCTGCGTGTAAGAAGCCAGGAACCGGTAAAAGAGAAAGAAAGAAATAAAAGAACAGAGAAAATAACCATTATGAGATAGCAAAGACTATGACATTGCTGCAAGCTTGGGGTAGTAGATCTCACTCTTATCAGCCTTACTTCCTACCTGTTAAAGACGTGTTCTGGGATGCACTGTCGCGGGTTCATCGCTTCTTCCACCTCCACCCAAGAAGGTGTTTGTCAACTAAAATGCAGCCACATTGAGTGATATTCTAGTAGTGAAAGCGAGTTTAGCTCAGCTTTTGGCCGGATCTTAGAACTATATGAGGTCTATGGGGGAATGGCTACATATGTCACCTTCTTCCTGTGAGGCCTGGAGTACATGTAAGCTGCCTGTGTGACAATAGCAAGAACTGAAACACCCCCTCTTTCTTTACTGATCCAGCACAAGAAATCAGCACGACTGCTGTGGCTTCGGAGCGATGCATCCACCTCATCGAGTAGATGGAGGTTGAAAACATTGTTTTTGCCTGGAGTATATGCAGCAAATATTCTCATTCATGGGCGCCAAAGTGGACCATGAGCTCGTAGCAGTGCGCAGGATGTGATGAGACAAATGGCATTGCGCAGCCGAATAGACGAAGAGGAGAAGTGTTCATTGGACTACCATGTTTACTGTGCCTCATCTTATAGGCCCGGGGCTCGTGAATAAGACTATGTCGATGCTGGAGCTCTTGGAAGAGGAAATGGCCCGATGCTGGTGAGAGCTCGGATATTGTGGGTATATATCGTGGGTATATACTCAGCTAGCTTGTGTATCTCCCAATGATTAGCATATTATGCGGACACGTTCCGCTCAGAGGCTTCTATTTTATTGACTCGTTGCTTTTACAATCATCACACTATTACTGTTGCAACTATTGAACCAATTCCTACGAGAGTCACATCTGCGGCAACATACAGACCCTATCTGGAACGCAGGCAATTGATGACAATTTTTCACGGAGTGGTAGCACAAAATGCCAGCCGCGGTTTATTTGTTTATTTGAGGAAGAGTTGACGGTTAAGCCGACCGACCATAGGAAACGCCTTAGGTTGATAAACTAGTTCTGATGGCTGCAGCCTACGCGCCTTGTGTAAATTGTTGCGCGTTGACATTGGATTCGGTCCAGATGCAGTATCAGATTGGAACATGTTGGCATCCGTCATGAGTAAATGATGATAATGGATCTGTCAAGGTCTCATCCCACTTTAGCGCGCCAGTGAATCACTTTACCCGTCGTGTTTGTTGAAGGCTAATTCAATTCGATGGTTTGAATTGGTGAAATGAATTCGAACTTTAGTAATTCAAGTAACTAAACATTTCTCGGCTCAGTGTCGTGACTTGAACCAAGTTTCACCAGGCCGCGCTCATTTTGATGAAAGATCTCCAAGTGCGGAGTTTGTGCTCGTAGATGGCCTTTTCGGCATCCTATGCATATGGATTAGAGAAATGCAGTGAATGCTTTTTTCTTGTGTTAGATAGCAACTGGTGAGACTTTTCAAGTACAAACAACAGTGATGGTACTCGTACATATGTATCAAGAGCGGAGCTTCCAATGTCGTGAGCTGCAGCTAGACGTGTTAGTCTGCTTTTTATTGGTGCTTATTGGTATCCAATCAGAAGCTTCCACAAAGCTGGCTCCACCCATCGCGTTTGACAGCATCGTCTCCTAATCTCTCCAAAATCACCAAATCACGACCTCCCATACTGCATTCAAATCAATGGATGGCGAATCTTTAGACCGACAGGCTTCGGCCTTGGATTCAAAGCTCGGTGATGATATGGATCTCGATGACACAGAGAGCGTCATGAGTGATCTGAGCACTGATGAATTCACCACAGATCTCACCACCGACTTTAGGGATGCCATGAACCACATCTGGATACCTAAACCTTTTATTTATCTAAACACTCTGCTTGATTTCCCTGGCGGTGTGTCTATTGAAGGATTTGGCGACATTAAGATGCCACTTGAAGAGGCTCAAGCCCGGCAAATTATGGCATACCACGAGGACGCCATCATGGAAGATGAGGATGACGGTACTGTTTTACTGGAGCTTTTTTCAGATCAATTCACCTTAGATGGCTCCATCTGGCCGGATGTCATTCAAGGCTTCTTAGATCAAGCTGCTCGCCGTTGCAACATCACTATGCCGCTCACGGCAGAGCCTTGGTCTATGAAATTGCTTAAGTATGGGCACAAGTTCGACAGCGAGGAGCTGTGAGTAACGACTATCCGGAGCATCGAAATCCTGATTTCGATTAACACTAGCGATTAACACTAGCGATGCAGTTTTACAGTAAACGAATGTTTGGGTAGTATGACTATTGTTCTGGCACCTAGACATGAGGGTGCTAAGATAGTGGCCAAGAACGGAGACACCGAAGAGCTTGTTTTCGCATCAAATCAAACGGCACAATCCTTTTCGATGGAGGATTCAAACATCGAATCGCGCTTGATCAAACCAATTTACATGTGGGCTCTGGTCTGCGCTGTTGACCCTCATCCCGACGCACCAGATATTGAGCTGCGGCCTCTACGCCACACACTGAGACGATGGCTCACAAAAGATCGTGGATCACGCGGCCAGGAAGTAATATATTCTCCTCTTAAAAGCGACTATAAACAATGGGATAATGTTTCCAAGCGTCGCATTATACTCGAAGATCGCTATCGAGTGGACCATCTTCAAGATCTTTCTCTCGAGATTCCCTTTGAGATCTTTTTCGCGTCTGTCTCTTAAAAAGGGGGATATGGCCCTGTAACCGAGACTAACCAACCCATGAAGCGCGAGGCGTATATATTCGGCCTGGGCGGCCACCAAATCACAAAACCGCACATTTTGGTTGACGAAAAAGACCTCGCACCGCCTACTGATCTTGGATATACCGCAAGTCACCCCCCCTTCTTCGTATCTTATCGCTAAGCTAATTGTATCTAGGCTGTTGTTATTATTCCCCGTGATACGGTATTGTCTTTCTTCTACGGCATCCGCTCGTTGGATGCTGTTGAGTCACTGTGGGTTAACTATGCTCGAGCTTGTTTGAAGGACAACCGTGCTCCAAGTGCGGTTGTTGTTTTCAAGCAGATTTGCAATTTTATGATGGCTCCTACGGCTGAAAATACGGATGGGCATTGGGCCAAGCTAGAAATGGTTCCTAAGCATCTTCTTGATGTTCTAGAAGCTCTATGTGTCACCAGGTCCTATCCCTGGTTCTCCCGCTTCGCCCGTCGCTATGCTCGTGATATGCCCAAAAATACCTTTTCTCGACTCGGACGGCGGCATAACATCGAATATTTGAACGGCGAGGAATCATGCAAAGACATTGAAGCGGTGTAAGTCGTGTAAAGTTAGCATCGTCCTTCGAGACTTGGAACACTAATATTTGGCTCGCAGAATATATATGATGATTCTCGCATATCCTCGGCCCGCCCAGCAACTCAGGGCAGTCAAAGAGATTATTGGCATTGTACAAAGAAGATCGCGAAATGGAAGACCGAGACCCAGGCTCGCTCTAACCCTGGACTACTTTCTTCCATTCGTTCGCCAGGTGTTAAAAGCATGCATTGAGGCATGTAAAACTATAGAGTTGACAGCACAAGATGGTCAGGCATTAGTCGGATTTTCTCTATACTTTGTTGATCCATTTGCAATTCTATCGCTAATGTAAGTCATCGCATTGTCCCGATTTCTCGCGTCCCCATTCATGTGGGAATCGACACTGATAATCGCGTAGCAAAGACAAGATCGGTCTAGAGCGCCAGCCCGCAGCCATCCTTGGATTTATACACAAATTAGACTATTATGGCAGATCTGAGTATCTGCCTCGGGAAGAAGCTCTGCAGTTTAGCCTGAACGTTGCCATGTCTCTAATTGCCTCGACAGACTTCGCACAATGGCGCGGCATAGCCGACGATTATTACTTCAAGAGAGATGAGGAGAATGTTATGAGTTACGTCGACTACTTCGACGATGAAGACAGCGATCTCGAAGACTGGCTCTACCCCGGCAATTCTGAGCCCCATTTAAGTGACCAGGACACGCGTGAGAAGCGCTGGCAGAAAGTTCAGCACGAAAGCTATTTGCACGATGACTACGACGATCACGAGTATCCATATGCAGATGCTTATCGGAACTGTCTATATGTTGATAAGGGTCCCTTAGAGAAATCTAGGGAAACACTTGATGAGAAGCGATATAAAGAGCTGTATGGTATCAGCCAATCTTCAACATGTTCCCACCCTGGTATTGAAGAAAAAAGAATCCATTATAGAAGCTTTTACTGCTTCTTCGAACAACTACTCAGACCGATCGAACAATATGAAGAGGTTTTGGAATCGCTCATCTCAAAAGTTGTTAATACTGCGCCACATATACCCCATACTGAATTCGATACGCTATGGATTCCGCTTGCGAAAGAATTCATACCGTATCTGCAGATCATTCGACAAATTGTAGATACTGCTAAAGAATCTCTCGTGTCAGGATTTCTATCTGCAATTCTGAAGGCATATGTCAAAACGTGGGTGGGACAGTATCCGAAGCGCCCTAGCCTCGTGCGGGAAGGAGTCCATTGCTCGTGTCCTGACTGCAAAGGGCTGAATGTCTTTTTGGCCGACCCCTCATTAAGGGCTGGGAGATTTAAAGCAGATGAAACTAGAGTCCAGCATATTTTAGACGAAATGACTCGGGCGAATGTCGATTTTAAGTCCGATATGGTGGAGGATGCCGGTTCCGTCACCTTGACCGTGATCAAGACTATGCGTCTTTTTACACAAACTCGCAGGCAATGGGGTTACCGACGATATCATGCCACTAGGGAGGTGGCGAAGTTTGGCCAGACAGGGCTCGAATTCATCTTTGGCACCGAGTGGATGTCGTTTATGAGCATGGGTCATCTTGGAGGCGTTGGGTTCGACAACTTGGAGATACGGACCCTGTTGAGGATGAAAACTAGGCGTGGCCACAATTTCATCCCGGAACAGTCTGCAAACATGTTTTTTCGAGGCCTGCCACGGCTACCCAAGGCTAGCCAAGCAGGTCGCCCGACCCACAGGAGGAACTCGTGGGAGATGGATTCATCCAGGGACTACCCTTTTTACGACTTCGAATTCGGGAGTGATATTGATGATGATGATGATGATGATGATGATTCTTCGACTTTCTCTCGATACTCGTCGCTATTGCTTTGAACCCCATTTAACTAAAGTTTACTGGGTCAAATGGCGCGTGCCTCTTCTCCCCAGTCGGAAGTGCAGCCGCACTCGCAAGGATGCAGCGATAAGTAGGCAAAGTAATTGCCGTGTTATGACAAAAATGAAACTCTCGGGAGATTGAAATAGTCTTGAGGATGAATTTTCTTCAGGCGTTCTCGTATTAATCGTGGAAGGACTGGACATTTTCTAATTTGCAAGCTATAGCTATGTAATGCGTGTTCTATTTAGATACGAAGTATGATTATGATGTAGATTGATGAGTTTAATGAATGATCCTATATGATATTTTGAAGCGGTATTCTTTAAATATATATGCGTATTTGTAAGTTATCTTCCTGCGTTTAATGTCCTTGTGTAGTGACCTTAAGAGCTGCCTTTTATGCTTATGACTTACTTGCTTAGTTTTTATTTTATTCCTTTATTTCGTTTTCTAGACTATTTTATGTAACCCTTACGTATATACGTGCAGCTTTTTATACCTTAGCGTTACTTAATGACGACACTATTTGTATGTTAAACGCCTACTGCGAGTATTTTAAGACTTAGTGCGTGATAACCTAAGTTTAGCACTGTATATCCGTTGCACCGGGTTTGCAGTAGATTTTTTATTTTAACCTTAGTTGGGTTTGTAGATATGTGAAGCAGCTATTTTTGGTTTATTGTTTGATTAGAAGTGAAATATGAGTAGTTTTTATTATTATAAAAATTGGAAACTTAATCTTTTTGAATGACGTTTATGTTTATCCTGAAGAGAAGACTTACTGATAGTATTTATGGATTATGTTGTATGAGAATTAGAAGATAAATTGTTGCGGCCTGACGTTCTGGCGACCGTTGCTCTGCGGTTTTGCTATATGTACCCTTTATTACCTGGAGGCGGGGTGCTCGGTATGTATGTGATTGTATGTACTTAGGTAACTGAGCCTTTTGGAATTGCGTTGGGTATGCAGATAGCCTGAATATATAGCTGTATATAAGTACTTATAACTGGTAACTGGACGATTTTGGTGTAAGAGTGGGAGTAACTATTTGCCGAGGATGGCTCTAGAACGGACGCCGTATATTGCGAGGCATCTAGTTGAAGTCGTCGCTAGACGCTGCAACATGATACCAATTTCTTGCTTTCATGCGACGCCTTGGTTATGTTGTAGTTAGTAATTCCATTATATTATGCTCGCCGTCTCCGGCTTCTTCATCTACCATTTCGCATTCCTTCATCATCTCTTCTGTCTCTGTATCTTATTGTCCCCAAAACACAAAGCCACAGCCTATCTTCCTAGGAAACATGGATCCTGTTGGTAATACAATTGGACTATTACGATTTGTGCTCAACTCCTTCAGTCAAATCCAACTGGCACGAGAATTTGAAAGCGAATTCGAAAGATATCAGCCAAAGCTTGATCTTATTCAGCTGCGCCTCTCTCGATGGGGTGAAATCGTCAAGCTCAACAACAATAGCAATATCGCAAGCAAAGATCTTGCAACGCCTGTCAATAGAGGAGAAGGCTTAGAAAACCCAAAAGGGGATCCTACAACTGGAATTCTCCTCGAAATCCGAGACACCGTTGCCAAGGCTCAGAGAGATGCTAGGAAGATAAAGAGTGGCACCTCATCAGACCAGCTCCTCGACGCTGAAGTATGCCTTCCAGCTGATCTTAGGGGATTGCATACTCGCTTCAAGGGCCTTCTTAGTAAACGGACATCCCAGACAGTAAAAGTGGTAGAAGGCCTAAAATGGGCCTTTTACAAGCGAGACCACTTCGACAGATTTATCGCAGACATTTCTTCTCTTACTGATAATCTGGAAGGTCTGCTGCCAGAGGGTGACAGGCAAAAGCTCTGGGAACTCAGCAGCGATGAGTGCGAAGGGATCAATAAGCCCAATCTAGAAGAACTGAAAGACATTGCCCAGGATTGCGACCCGATTATTGAGAATGCGTCGGGTGAGGCACTGAGAAACGCTCGAGGCGGCGCCAATAACGTTACGCAGACACACAACATCGGCAACGTGCTGGGGTTTAACAATGGCAACTTCAATGTCAATGGCACTCATCACTGGGGTAGGAACTGAAGCGTATGACAAGGCCCTCAATGTCAAGTTGGGTATTGATCTAGTATTTTTTATATTAGTCTGTTAATATGTAGCTAGAAGATGACTGCTTTTTGTCAACCAAATGTTGTCATGTGTCTTTATACGTGGCTTCATTCCCTCCAATTTGGTGTCAATGCATGATTAGGTTTGAGGCGGTTGCTCGTAGGAGAGCCAGGTATGCTCCGTAGAGTGTGAATAGATAAATTCAACCGAATTCATTTATACTAGTCGTTTCATTCACTATTTAGCTCCTAGAGAACCCAGAAGAGCGTGATAAATGGTGACTGAGCACGAAATCAACACCATACCTTACGAATGTGATCATGAATTATAATCCTTCGAGCTCAATTACACGGCACCTGCATCTCCCACCCCCTCGGTCATTCGGTTACACACAGCTTACATGTGTGAGCAGTTGATGGGGTGGAGATAGTTTAGTTGGGCTCCTCAACCTCACCTGTCTCTTGAAGCAAACAGTACATGTCTTGTAGCAGCAAGTACCTATTGAGTGTCGGATGCCAGGACCCGATGGTTGATGCCTGACGGGAATGTACTCAACGAAAGCAAACTACAGTATACATACCTACATGATACATACTTAATGATGCTATGGGTGGTCACACTGCACTACAAACCAACCAGGCCTTGCCAGCGTCAAGTCAATGTTGGCAAGGCTGCCACGCGACACTTCTTTTTCTCCGTTGGCCTGCATATCGGATTAGCCGCCTTTCGCTATCTACGGCTTCCGGTATGTGTAGTACATGATACCCGCAAATTACTTGACAGTGTCACCCCGATCTAGTGTCTTCTGCCGTTGAGCCTCATTTAGTTCACACTGAACAAAAATTTGGCGTAAATACATGTACCCTCGTCCTACCAAACAACCTCAGCTCTATAGTCTGATTACAGCGCGTTTGTTTCAAAATATTGTTGTTCGTTGCCTCTATACTTGAGCTTTTAGGACTCTGGCGGAGGTGTTCACACATTCCCGGCGTTACGATGTCTCCGGCTATCAGTATTTCGATCAACCAGCAGTATGTCGATGGTACAGTAGTGGCCGTAAACAATGGCAGTATTAACTTCAATGTCACTTACGAATTTCCGAGTAAGCGTCAATCGCGATCGTATTCGAAGCTGCCACGGAATTACTTACCAACATAATGCAGATGTCAAAGATATCATATTTCCAACCACCAAGAGCGGACACCAATGCACCAAGTGTGGTAGTGACAAATATCAAAAAGCCAATATTAGCCTCCAGGATCTCTAATATAGGCTTCAGCTCACTCCTGCAGAACTGGCTGAGAACGAACATCGGAGGGCAGTAAAGGCTTGGAACAAATTTAAACCATGTGGCTTGCTACTGGAAATAAAAGAATTGGAAGCCTGGTTTAACATGCAATGTCAACAGTCTGTTCTTTGGATAAGTGGTTGCCGTAAGTCGCTGGACACAAACTAGTGAAAACTGTTTATTGAGCACTAATCAGAGAATAGCTGAATACGGGACAACAACATTAATGCAAGTGAACTTTTTCTCACTCCATTTTATTCTGCATTTGATGATGTTCTGTAGACAGCGACTAACCCTAACATTTCCAGGTCCTATATGATTGAGTATATTCGAGAAAAAAAGATAAAGAGACCTTCTAAACCATGTCATCTCTTATATTACTACATCGACAGGACAGTCACCGGAAGTTCTTATCGCAACCTACAACAAGCATTCTGGCAGCAAGCTTACCCATCGGATCGTGTACAAGTGCACGTTCTTAACAATCAGGATAGAGAGGATAGCAGTATCCTCGATGTGTTAGTCGAAAGATTAGCTGCAGCTCACCGCGACGTATACATCATTATTGATGGCCTAGATCAACTCCCTCGAAGACACAGCAAGGAGTTGCTCAGCCGCCTCTGCAATCTTCGCGAGCAGCTCAAAGGGAGAATACCTACAGTGGCGGCCACCTCGCTGTAGCTATTAGCTCACAAAACACTCCGTCTTTTGATCGTGGGAAAGAGTATGATAAGGTCTTTGATCTCCGACTCCGGCCCAGTTACATGTCTTCGGATATTCGGAATTACCTAGGAAACAGCTCTGGTGATTCGACTATCTTCATGGGGACCAAAGATCTTCGATGACATAGAATCCAAGCACAACTAGAAAAGGGAACTAACAATTACCCTTGTCTTTCATCTTCTATCTTTTATAACCTATAAGGCGCAACGACAACCCAACGGCTTCTAATGGGTGTACTATCATGCTGAGGCGCCCCTTGCTTTAGCAATGGAGTATGATAGACGGAATTTATGAACTTTCTAACGGAAGATATCTGTCCTGTTGCATGTGCTTGACGTCTCCATCGGCCTGGAGGATCATGGCGACGTTTGCGGGCATGTTCACGATGTATATGCCCATGGCTGCGAGGGGAGAATCTGGACAGATGCTGCCCAGCACGCCAGGCGACTTGAGGAGGCGCTGGACTTTCTGCAGGTGCGCGACGAAGTCGACGCCGGGATGCACCTGGACGATGTACCGGCCAGAGATCATGTCGGTTGTGGAGGCCTGAGAGGGAGCGGTGAGACTGTGTTCGGGCATGAGATGTCTGGAGAAGACGAACCTGGTCGTGCCCCAAGCTGGTCGTTGTCATGAGGAGGTGTTGCCCCGTGGGAATGCTCGATGCAGCCACGACAGGAAATGAGAGTTCTGGTGGGCGTTGGGGAGTATGAGGTTTCACGTTTCCTGGAGATGGTCCCTTGGTTTAGTATTGGAGTATGATGATTATGAATGACTCACCAATCCCCAGTTATCAGATGATACATAAAAGGTTTGTCTATATAACCCAAAGAGACCTGAAATAGGGAGCTAACAGCTATTCAACAGATTGCAGACTCTCTTGGCGCGTATCCCAGAATCCATTCCGTAGCACATTCTACTCGTGGCAGTCACCATTGGCTAATAAGGATGGAATGCCTGAAGAGGAATGTTGAATCTTTAGAGATACGGGTAAAGATCTCTCTCAATGCCATTGAGACGACGAAGGATCGGCAGCAACTCATTGGATTATCTAGGAAAAAGCTAGACGAGTAGCGATAGAGAAGTAAAATAGAAAGAGTGAGACTAGAAACGTGGGAAATTAAAACAACCCTGACTATTACCGAGTACGAGTCCATGGTATAACGTGAAGAATTAGAGTCAGCTCTTTGATTGAGTCATTGGTAGTCCTTGAGAGGCTAACATAGCAATTGAGCAACCCCAATCCAGGAGGGGGTTTAAACGATAGGCCAAAGTGATCATCCATACACTAGAAAAGCGCTTGGGAAGGCTCCCGAGGGCGCTAGTGCTTCTAAAAACGACCTTTTACAGGAACGGAAAATAGGTAACCACCTTAATATTAAAGTTGGCCTATGAAATAGAATTCTTGAATGCCAAGAGACCCCTTCAAAAGCCCGCGCCTCGTTGTAGATCGCCTTGCGCGATCTCTACACGCAAAGAACAATGTGGGGGCACTAGAAGGGGCGGATGTGTGTGATCGCCAGAGGTTTTAGCTGAGTCGATTTAGTCAAGTTTTCAGGTGCTGTTATTCGGGTTGAGTATAATGAATTGACGTTACCAACATCATAGACATGTTAGTATTTATCCTAACAATTACAACCCTTGTCCTGTAGAGCATGCTGAAAGAGTTTACAGGACCTTGTTCCCTCACCGCCACCATCGCAACAACCTGGAACTTCCACCTTTTATGCCCCTTCAACGAGTGCTGTCGTCACTGTAGCTTTGTCTTTGTGTTTGTCGCACTGGCCTTTACTTTTTGATTGACCAGCATATTCCACCGTGCAATCAGCCTCGGCGCACTCAACCCCAGTTTCGGTGAATTTCTGGCAGTTTTCGGTGATGACAGGGCCACTGTGTGTATTGCAGGTGTCTGGACATCCGGCATAAGTCGTTGTTGTTATGAGGATACGACACATAGTTGATTGGATAGGAGGAGACAAGGCAGGAGTTTCTGACAGAGTAATAGACAGGTAAGTATTAACATCTTGTTGAACCCCTTTCACGAGAGCAGGCTTCCTACCGAGCTGCCGTACTCCCATTGGCTATTTATATCGGGTCGTGATGATGAGGGGCGGTGGATATTGGGCGACATCGTATCAGTGTGTCAGCCTACCAGCGTCGTATCGTCCCATTGTATCGGAGCCTGTGTCTTTTTATATCAGCGCGCTGCCATGGCTGTTTAGAACGTCAATTGGGGAGGATGCGTTTTATTGAGAAGATATACTCATAAGGGTTCCGTGATCTGAGACAAAGGATGCTTTGAGGCTATGGAAAGAGTGTCGGGGAGGAATTATTTTGTAGTCAAGCGCCTTTGTGATTCCAGTGGGAATAGCTTACGTACATGCAGAAGCGTCTATTTGAAGTGTATTAAAAGTCAGTCTCAGATATTCTTCAGCTGCCAGAATCCGCAAGTGGGATTGCATCAAATTAATTCTGTCTAATTTTTTGGATAATTATCTCGACTCATCCGCCACACTATGTCGGATCTGCTTGCTGATTCCGATTGCTGGTCCCAAAGCTGCTGTTCCCACGCAGGTATTTCTCGAGGCCCTAAGCAATTGAAACCAAGTCGAAGCGGAACCAAGCCGCTCCTGATATTGCTTTCGTCGTTCCGAGCCTCTACACAATCCGCTCCTAGGTCGAAAGCGATGCCGACGAGGAGAGCTGAAGCCCTGGTGGCCAATCCACGCCCTGTCTCTCCACTCCCTAACCAGTATCCCAGCTCAAAAACACCAGGACCACCTCTTTTGACGATTCTACACGAACCGCGAACCTGGTCACTGACAACGATTGCGTAGTCAAACTCTTCGCCGGCGTCCCAACCTTCGCTGCCCAAGCGTAGAGCCTCCACTGCATCTTCTTTGGAATAACCATTTGCCGCCCATGGCATCCACGGCGAGAGTTCGGGTAGTGATCGGTTGACTAGGGCGTGCAATGTATCGACATCGTCACTGCGCCAGCGGCGAAGTTGAATGTCGCTGTCAACAAGTTCTTCTGGTGGTAGTTTCACGGTTGTCATTTTTGAGTAATAATGGCAAAGGGACTTGTGTACTTCATAACGGCCACGCATCGAGGGGCCACTGGTATTTATAATTCCTTGACTAGAAGGCGCTGGCTTACGAATTATTTGAGACTTGGATAGGTGACTCACAGTTGTGGCTGTTTTGTCCCAAAACTGAAGCTATACCCGACGCTATAAATTGGGAGCAGAAGAGTACATACAATAGTTCAGTAGCACGCGCTGCCAAGATTCTCTATCAAAGCTCAATGTCTGTTGCTAGCATTGGATAATTTCTTATTATAGGTGAGAGCCATCAAATCTCCTCTTGAATTGAAGTTGACATACACTCAAACACATGAACTTCACAGTTGTGTTTCATTTGCTACTCGCCTTTCGCTCCATCAAGCATGGCAGATCTCTTCCTATGGCTTATTCTTATTTGAAGCATTATTCAACTTGAATAAAATAGAGAATAGCACCTCGCCATTCTTTTCCTAATAATTTCCTCAATTAGCTTCTATCAACAATTGTACATCATGATTCACGTGTTTAAGGCACGGCTGCTTGACTGTCTCCCATCTCTTCATACCCCGCAAACCCCCACCAAAGCAACCCACTCACAGAATCCATCAATTCAGCAGTTCCATCAGCAACGCTATATGCGATCGTGGCTTAAAATTACTAAGTTCGAGATTATCGAGTAGGAATTAGATAGCGAATATCCCTTTTGAGTGACACATCTCAGGATAGTAGCATATGCCACAACCAAATAATCTTTAGGTCTTGCTTTGCCTTCTGATTGGCAGACATACTCCATGTTAAACCCGATTCACACATGTCAAGTCGTATGGCGAATCACTCTCATAATAAGGTCTCCATTATGCTTATCATGCCTAAATGGCGATATGTCTACGTCTATTTAGTGGTGGTGCCACTACACCCCCCGAATTTAGCATTTGCATGTTGCTGAGATAGCTTCAACCTCCACTATCCAATTGGCTTAGACCGTCTCCAAATACCCGCAATGTGCCTTTCTATCCCTAATCGGTGGATTTAGTGATCCAAGCCAATCCTTCTATCTGACCAACGTTCAGTCACACCGAGCCTCGCGGCGTCTGCATCCGGTAGGTGGGAACTTTTGAAATGGCGGTTAGCGAACGGCTCATCTACCCGCAATATTCGCAACTTGCACCTTCATCTCCAGAGCTGATAAATAGTCAATCTCCATCCTTTTCTCTCTTTCTCTGATGTTCAATGTCGCTGCCTGAAGAGCGGCACATGCCGTCATGATGGATCTTGACAGCAATTGGACGACGGACGCAGCTCTCGGTTGTGATATTTCTTTCGGCCCAACCGCTAGCAGCTGTGAGACACCTCGGTTCGATTTTACGCTCCTCTTTGAACAATCGATCTTGAACATTGCACCGTGTGCACTGCTTCTAATCTTTTCGCTACCGCGAACTCTCTATCTGTTTCGTAGCAAGCCCAAGGTTCTGCGCAATCGAATCGGTATACCTAAATTGGTGAGTGCTCTTCCACTCCTGTCTGTCCCACTGAATAAAGCAATATTAACCATTGATACGAGAGCATTTAGGTCGCCTACGCTGCTCTCATTTCTCTGCAGCTATCGCTACTAGTAGTCTGGTCCGTCCATCATGAGGCTCTGACTCACGCCTCTCTAGCAGCGGCGACGCTCAGCCTTGCCGATGGAATAGCACTGAGTGTGCTGAGCTACTTGGAGCATCGCCGGTCAATTCGGCCTTCAAGTATCATTCTCGTCTACCTCGTGTTCTCTATTGCTTTTGATGCAGTCCAATGCCGAACTCTCTGGCTTCTCAAAACAAATGTCCTGGCTCCCGTCTCTACAGCTACACTGGCGTGCAAACTTGTCGTCTTTCTTCTTGAACTTGGAGAGAAGCGCCACATTCTTCTGCATCCCTGGAATAACCTAACACCAGAAACGACAAGCAGCATCATAAATAGAAGCCTCTTTTGGTGGCTTAATGATCTTTTGCTTCGCGGGTTCCGTACACCTTTGTCTACTGATACGCTTTACGAGATTGACGACAGCATGAAATCGGAGAGACTTTTCCTTAAATTACAAGATGCGCGTCAGAAATGGTCCAACTCACCCGTGCCCCATCGATATAGTCTGTTGTTGGCTACATGCGATTCTCTCCGAAAGCCATTGGCCGTCACAATCCTGCCTCGTCTATTTTTGATCGGCTTCAAGTTTGCTCAGCCTTTTCTCATAAATCGCGTCATTACATACATTCAGGAAAAGAATGATGGCGATGGTGCTAGAAAAGATGTCGGCTATGCGCTTGTTGGAGCGACCGGATTGGTCTACCTTGGTTCTGCTGCACGTATCACTATCCCATCTCTCGTACGCCATTACTCATATTTTGATGTTTAGATCTCCAATGGGTTCTATCAGCACAAACTATTCCGCTCTCTCACAATGATCCGGGGTGCTTTGACGTCCTTGGTCTATATCCGCACTCTTGAAGTGAGCGCCATGTCTTCCGACACCGCAGCCATTACACTATCTGGCCCCGATGTTACCTCAATCACGAGAGCGTTCGAGAGCTTTCATGAAATATGGGCAAACCCCATAGAAATTGCGCTGGCCATATGGCTGTTGGCGAGAGAGCTTGGACTAGGATGCATTGGACCCGCTGTCGCTGTTATTGGTGAGCAGATCTTCGTCCCCTATAAAGACTCGAAACATCTTAACGGCGATTAATAGTGTGCACCGTTGCTATGACGAGGCTCTCCAACTTCATGGGGCCGGCCATGAAAGCCTGGAATGAAGCCATCCAGCAACGGATTACGACAACATCAAGTGTAATTGGCTCAATAAAGGAAGTCAAGATGCTAGGCAGAGCTAGCTCATGGACAGATAGCATTCAACTGCTTAGAGTGGCAGAACTTCAGCGCTCGAAAAAGTTTCGTAGATTCATCACATATATGAACATCTTGGGTGAGTAAATTTCCTATTTGTTATGTGCCGCTATTGATGGAATCCTAGGGAATACCCCATCTGCTTTGGCTCCGATTCTCACGTTTGGCATTGCCATTGCTGTGAGTCGCAATGGCGCGCAGAATCAGCTCTCAATCTCGACCGCTTTCACCTCACTATCAATCATCGCTCTGATCACGAATCCTCTGGCGAAACTTCTCTCATCTGTTCCGTCTTTTGTGAGCTGCATCGGCAGCTTTGAGAGAATCGAGGCATTTGTTGATGAAAGCCAAAATGCGCCGTCTACACCAATTAGTATGCAAAGTGATGCATCAATCCAAACTGAGGGTGATATGACCTCTAGTATTGAATTGACTCATCTCCCTAAGCGAGGGTCGGCCACAATAGTGGCCGATGATGTCTCATTTAATGTGAAGAGTGGAGAAACCCCCGTACTACAAGGTCTAAACATCAGCATCCGACCGTCGACTTTAACAGTAGTGACTGGAAAGATTGGATCAGGAAAGTCAATGCTTCTACTCGGGCTCATGGGTGAACTTCATGCAAGTGGCAGTTTGAAGCTTCCCTCATCTGGGATTGCATTCTGCTCTCAAGCAACTTGGTTAGTCAATACCACTATCAAGAAAAATATCACTGGACCGGAGGACCAAGAAATCGACTCGGAGTGGTATGAAACCGTGATCCGGGCGTGTGCGTTAGAGAGGGACCTTCAGCAACTGCGAGATGGCGACGAGTCCATCGTTGGAAGTAAGGGACTTACGCTCAGTGGTGGTCAGAAGCAGCGTGTTGTAAGTACATTCCGCTTCCTTTTGTGGTGCGCTTCTAACAAGTATATCTAGGCGCTCGCGCGAGCGATTTACTCGAGAAAGCAAGTGCTCATAGCGGACGATATCTTTTCAGGTCTGGACCCAGAAAGCAGGCGTCACATTTGGACTCAAGTATTTGGTCCATTTGGAGTACTCCGTCGTCAAAAGGCCACCGTGATACTTGCGACACATACACGTAAGTTACGATATTGAAATAGTACGTGAGATTATCGCTTCGAGTACTAGCTGACGCTTTTCCGCCATCTATTAGTGGAATTTATTCAAGATGCAGATCACATCATCATTCTCGAGAATGGGCGAATTGAACACCAAGGCACTTTCAGCGAGCTTTGTGATTCAGTAGCCATACTTAAGAGTCAACAAGGCAAGGAAGATGACTCAATATCCGAGGATTTATCCGATGAAATTGAGCAAAAGCTACCCAGTGTACGAAGACAAGAAACTGAGGCCGAAGAAACCGAAAACCTAACTCAACGAATGGGGGATTCGTCTCTTTATGCTTACTATTTCAGATCAATAGGTTGGAAACTAGCTCTAGGAGCGCTTTTCTTTTCCACTACGGAACAGTTTCTTGCTCAATTCGCCCGTGAGTAAACTTTAACATCATTCAATGTCGAGGGTCTTAACTGACGGTTAATGTAGAAATCTGGCTTAAGTGGTGGACGGAGGCGAATGAGGGCCAGTCTGATACGAACACAGGCATGTACTACGGTGTATACGCCATGTTCCTCTGTCTTGGAGTTGTAGCCATTGGCGTTGATTGCTGGTCTGTATTCACCCTTCTTCCGCTCATCAAGACTGTTCTCACCAATTACTACGTATAGGTTCATGTTTGTCGTTTTAATCCCACGATCTGCAGAATGGCTTCACTGGCAGTTGTTGGAAGCCACAATGAAGTAAGTCAACATGCCGACCACACAGCAAAGCGGAAATTTAACATAACCAGGGCACCGATGGCTTTCTTCAATTCTGTCGACACTGGCGACTTGATTAATAGGTTGGTTTCGCAAACGTGATGCGGCAAACAGACTGTGCTAAACATGAATCACAGATTTAGCCAAGACATGTCTCTTGTAGACCGAGAATTGCCTACAGCAGTTTATACAACGACGTTTGGTATATCCAGCATGAGCCTTTAGATACGCGATCCCATTCTAACTTCATTCCTTAGGCCTTCTGTCATGCATTGGAGATGCAATCATCATTATTGTCGGTGCGAAATACCTTGCGGCAACATTACCAGTCGCAATCCTAGTACTCTACGCACTGCAAAAATTCTATCTCCGAACCTCACGCCAACTGCGTGTCCTGGACCTCCAGGCTAAATCGCCACTGAACACGCAGCTTCTGGAGACCATTGAAGGACTATCAACAATACGCGCGTTTCATTGGCAATCCGCTATGACTAAGTCATCTCTTGGATTGTTAGATCGTTCTCAGCGCCCGCACTATCTGCTTCTCTCTATTCAGCGCTGGTTAAACTTGGTCCTTGATCTCTTGGTAACCGTCGCAGCGGTGCTTCTTGTCCTCTTTGGAGTTACCACCAAGACGTCCACTCCGGGAAACATGGCCATTGCCATGTACAGCGCGCTGGGCTTTAGTGGATCACTTGCCAACTTTATCTCCTCTTGGACATCTCTTGAAACATCACTTGGAGCTATCGCCCGCCTTAAAGAATTCATGCAAGTAACTCCTCAAGAGATTGAGCCATCACAGGACACGCTTTTGAAGCCTTCGACGTCATGGCCTTCAAGAGGTCAAATCGATTGGCAATATATCGAGGCTTTCTATACTAGAAAAGAGGGAGGCGGAGATCCTGTCCTTCACAACATCTCGCTCCAGATCCAGCCGGGCCAGAAGGTTGCCATTTGCGGAAGAAGCGGAAGTGGAAAATCATCCCTGCTGTCAACGTTATTTGGGCTATTGGACTATTCTGGGACCATCACAATTGATGGGCTGGACATCTCACAACTGTCTAAGCAAGCTCTACGGTCTGGTTTAATCGTGGTTCCTCAGCATCCTGTCCTGTTTCCAGGATCATTACGCTCAAATCTTCTCTATGACTCAGATCAACAGGGACAAATAATCTCAGATGCTGACATTGTTGCTTTACTTGAGAGGTTGGAAGTATGGGACGCCGTTTGCCAGAGTGGCTCTCTCGATACTGAAATGGCCGACCTGGCTCTGTCTTACGGCCAGAAGCAACTTCTCTGTTTGGCACGGGCCATACTTCGTAAAGACAGAAGCAGAATTGTCATTCTGGATGAGGCCATGAGCGCGGTGGACCATCATACAGAAGAGCTCATGATCAAAGCTCTCGAGACCGAATTTAATGAGCACACCATAATTTCCATAGTTCATCGACTGAACACAGTTCGAAATTTCGATGCACTCGTCGTCCTCGATCAAGGCAAAATTGTCGAGATGGGTATACCTGGGGAGCTGATTACCGAAAGTGGGCAGCTGAAAAGATTCCAGAACGGCCGAAAAGTGTGATGCTAGCGTGCGTGCGTGTGTTTGTGGTGGAGAAGAGATGAGAAAGGACTTTTAACAAATTTCGATATCTACTCGTACATAGATATTGATGTTATACAACAACATGTGCAGTAGCTCGAATCATATCAGCGAACTTTTGCTTGGAAGAATCGACTGATCGCGCTATTTGGTTACGGAGCACAATATTACTTGATGTGTGTGGTTCAAATAGATCTGGCTTGTGCGCCCGCCCCAGCTAGTGCTTACATTCATTCGTAGAATAAATCAAGCGTTTTCGCCTGGTAAAGGCTTCCGTGCTGAATTATCCCATAGGTCTTATGAGCCATGGGTATCCCCAGACAGACGTAGGCAGGCCGTTTGCCAAAAAAAAAAAAAAGAAAGAAAGAAAAAGAAAGAAAGAAAAAGAAAGAAAGAAAAAGAAAGAAAGAAAAAGAAAGAAAGAAAAAGAAAGAAAGAAAAAGAAAGAAAGAAAGAAAGAAAGAAAGAAAGAAAAGAAAGATCCCATACTCCAAATAAATACACACACATGTCCGTGCAATGCAAAACCGGAATAAGGGCTCTTGAGCGGTTAAGTATTCTTATGTGCTCTCTTTTCTCCAATCTCAGTTTGTTTGCAGACCACAGGGTAAGAAATTAAAGCAACATACTATACTTAGGACTCATATACTACCTAGTAGTTACGCCTGCCATGGCTGGCGTGATTACCTTTATCTGTGAAATAGGTTCAAGACTTCCAGGGGCAAACTATTTGATGAGTCTTACTAGTCAACCCACCAGGTATTCCTAGATAGGAAAATGCTCTCTAAAGGATACATTAGTTCTTCATAGACTTGAAAAAAACTTCGAGAACATCAGACTCCTTATACCAAAGCCCGTGATGGTAACCTAAAAACTTAATTTCATAGTGTATCTAGATTCAAAATGACAACACTCCATGGCACCCTTGGGTAATTCACCCTGTTGAGGGGCCATTGAGGGATTTCATATGCAGAAAATCAACCAATTTCAAAAGTAAATAGCGGGGGACAAGAGTTGACATGTTTCAAAGTAGAAAAGAGTGCTTTGAATAATGCTAATCAGCCATAGATTCTCCCATGACGGTGTTGTGTCAGCGTTTCACGTGCTATTTCCATCCCGAGGCATAGTAACAATCGTCAATCTCTACCCCACAACAACCGGAAGTATTCCGACGACAGCCTGGCGCACTAAAAACATAAGCATAGTTACAATTACTAAGGTATTACGGCGTGTACTACTGCATTCCATGTCATGAAGTATTCCACTGACTTCAAAGATCTACAACCACATTTAACTTCAGATTCCATGTTTCCAAATAGTAGAAATAAGCTACAAGCTAACTGTATTACAGCAATTCATAATACCTATAGTACTCTTCTTTCCGGCAAATGTCACACTCATGATGAACATTTCTAGCTATTATATACAAACTGGTTAGGCTTTAGACACGCACGACCCAAAAGCGAGTTTACTAGCATGTTTAGATCGTATAGCAACAATTCAGACCAGTAAAAGACCACCAATCGGGTGGAAAGCTGTGACTTGAAACAGTAGGAAGATGCTCACAGATTCCAAATAGCCTAGGAATATACTCCATAAAGTCATGCTACACGGTAACGCTAAGATATATGTATATACTATTGACGAGTTGGTATATTCACCGCCGGTGAAACATTTTCCGAACCCAACTCAAAATGACCCATATAGTTCTCTCACACATGCAAAGCCGCATATGAAATGCTTATAAGAGCTGTCCATCTCCTCGTTCACCTTCCACAATATTCTAAAACATCTATCCTTTCCATTCTTTCTACCAAAGTATCAAGCATCCTATCAACTGATTTGACAAGAAAACATGCATTTCTTCTCTAACGCTGTGTCCATCATTACGGCACTCGCCGCCAGTGCCCAAGCGACATCAATTTCATGTGTCTCCCGTTGTATAGGACTTGGCGGAGCCACGGGCGGCGGTGTCAACTGCATTCAAAGCCACTATTTTTCCTGGCAAAACGATGATAGCAGCCTTTGCCTTAGTGTTAATCACAACAGCGTTGTGGAGGGTGAAGCTGGCTCGTGTGCGCAAATTGTGAACCAAGTTCAGGTTCCCTCGCATTGGTCGTCCTACGGAGGCGCCAACTGCGACTCGCTTAAAGGATCTCACTGGCAACTCCAGAGCAATGGCTACCTCTCATTCCAAACCGCGTCGGACTTTGAAGGCTGCCAAGCTGGCATTCCAAAAGACGCAACCCAGTATTCGCTGGCGAACAGCAAAAAGTGCACCCCTCACCACTAAACTGCTGTCAGGCTACGACCCAGACTTTAGTCGCAAAACAAGCCTACAGGTAAGCATCACGGAAGAACTATTGGCTGCCCGAGCTAATTAAGAATATGTTTCCTCTTCAGAAGAAACACCAGCGAATGGGTACTCGTTTAGGAAGATGTTCAGGGAATGAACATATGTGAACATCGCATTATATATACACTTCTATACACTCGTTTGGAATAAGAGATGGTTAATTGTTATTATAACAATCAGATTGTATTTACTTAATACTCTCTCCCAGTTGTGTGACAAGAAATACACTGCCTGAATATCGGACCACCGTGGAGAAAGAGACTCATCAAGACCACCAAAAGTGTGATGCAATTAGCGTAGGTGTATATGGTGGAGAATGGATGAGATAGCACTTTAACAAGTTTCCATATGTAAATAGATATTGATGCTATACAATAGCACTAGCACCAGAAGTCAAAGAATTGTCTTTTGCAATAGACAAAGTTTTGAGACACATGGATGATGTGAGTAGTATGTAAGAGTGGAGATGCGGTGAAAACGTTCCGACAGTAGTGCAAATCGGCTGTAAACCTCGATTGTGAAATGACGATCGCGCTACGGAATTAGCAAGTAGACTTTGTGATTGGTTAAGGGGCTTAAGTTCCGGAGCACTAGCTGAGCAGCTAAATGCTGGAAAACTTGAAGTCTTGGTAACTGTGGGAAAATTGGCTTGCAAAGGGTCATGTATGACGTGGCGTACTAGATAGCTGGGCGATCTACTCCGGTATTTTAAGCCTAATCAAACTTCACACTTTAGGCCCAGTCTTGAATCATTCGACTCCAACCTCTTCAGCAAAATTCTGATCCAATCATCTATCCGTTGGCTATTGGAATGCACTACTGCATAGTCTTCGTGTCATAGAAGCTGGCAATTGAAAGCTTCTGGAAGTTAAAACGCCATTATTAACCTCTTATACCCATCTGTACAAGCCATGCTGTAAATAATGAGCAAAATGACAAAACGGACGCTCTTCAAGGCGCCTTATTCTCCCCGGTAAATCTTCTGCAGATGAAAGATGTGGCGCGAGGAGCAAAGTAAATTCTGTAGTCGAAGGAGTGTGCTGAAATCTATAGACGAAGTAATGACGTATAACTGCTGGAAGCAAGTATAAATGCGAGCTGATAGCTGATATTAACTGCCTACAAACATACATTTGCAGATATATATATGTGTGCCCAATTCTAACCTCTCCGGCAAATTCAATCACATCTTTGAAATCATATATTGCAATCAAGATGAACAAAGTCAAGAAGGCAGTTGGAAACTTCATTTCCCAAGACAACAGACATGACACCACTATGGATGAGGAAACTCGACAGTCGGTCACCAGCGAACATGTTCGGCCACAGCAGCAAGAAAACATAAGGACCGCCGTGGAGAAAGAGACTCATCAAGACCACCACCATACTACGGTTCAGCCGATTAATACTCAAGAAGTTCTGTTCGTTTACCTTGGCCTAGCCGGCCTATCTCTATAGACTCCTAATCTAACATATATATCTAGCCCAGAAAAGCATTCACACAAGGTGCTACCAACCGAACACAAGTCCTTCGAGCACGGTAGCAACAGAAATGTCGAATCATATCTCAACCGTGATGCCGCCAAATATAAGGACACGTCTGTTGTCCACAATACCACGCACGAAACCGCAGCTGAAGCGCCTGTCTTTGCGGGTGAACGAGTCCATCACCACGTGCACGAGCATGTTCAACCAGTAATCCAAAAAGAAACCATTGCTCCAGAGGTTGTACACACCACTGCTCCAATTCACGAAACTCATAATGCTGCCGCTGTGCATCACGGGACCAAGGTCTTGCCTCCTAAAACATTGGAAGAGTTCACCGGTGAACGAGGTTCGCTTCAAAGCAAAGGGTCTCACATGACTAATGAGTTTGAGGGGTGTCCAACCTTTGATCCCAAAGATCTGCAGAAGCATTCCGCTGAGGGCATGGGAAAATAATATGTAGATTGATAATAGGGATGAATGAAAGTAAAAGTTTTGTCAATGTTTTGTGCTTATATGATGAGCGTGATCTTCTCATCAAATAACTCCAGTCTGTCATGTGGCATCTCTTCCAAAATGTGTGATGTTGTGACATTGCAGCCCAATCGTATATCGAACTCGGCCATTTTCTGCACTGCTAGTTTTAGTACCTTGTCGTTGCGAGTATGCATGATGCCTTTCATTATGTACACCTGGATCGCGGGGAGATTAGCGGTTCCAATACCATTTTTTTTTGCCTCTATCCGGAATTAACTCAGCAGCCCGTCAACAGTTCTTGCCTTACTGGCTCAGTCATACGTAACGGATGCTTGGTGCATACTTTGGATGTTGCCCGGGTGATGCATTTCAACAACAATTTCGAGGCATTTCAGGATAAAATTGGAAGTTTGATGGGCAGGAGCCAACCCAAGTGTGATTCCAGCATGCAATACTTGGCGACGAACGAAACTTCGTATCTTCTCCCAAATCCGAACACACATTGAATCATACTCATCAGCCCTATATTTCTAGTAGCGACAAACTCCCGCCATAGGATCCGAAACCAATCCGAGAAGGCCCAAGTACTTAATTGACACAATGTCTGTACCACATCAAACCGTAATGAACTGCGAATTCCTTGAAGACGCGCATAGCGAATTTGCCCGGCTATACAATGACTATAATTGGCAAATCAGAGCCATTTGGCACAAGCTTGACAGAAATGAGCGGGCGAGACTTTTCCTGGATTATTTTAACGAGGGTTCTCCGCATAGCTACACCAGGGACAAGTCTGGGGAATTGGAGTTGAAGGCAGTGATAGTTCCTGAGTTGAACCTGAATGATGTTTCGACAAGTGCGAAATTTCTCTTGAATCACTTCAAACACCGTGCTACGACGTCTTTATTTGAGCAGTATCGGGTCGGTCTTGACGGTGCACTCGGCGACGGCCCTTTCGTTACTGAGAAGGTGAACAAGAAGCAACTTAGACCACGCCCAAATCGTCCAAACTACTATTATATCTTTACAGAGAAGTGGTATGGGGATCTCCTTGAGCTTGACAAAGAAGACAAAGGGACAGAGACATTGATTAAAGGCGGCGATTGTGTTTCGTACGCAGTGGGATCACTAATTTGGCACCGACAGTATACCTCGTTGATGGATTTTCGATTTCTGGTCCTGAGAATGCTTATGAAAACTCCTCGAGCATGGTGGACCGAAGAGCAGTGGGAATTGGTCAAACAAGACGACTCGACTGTTGTAGACAAGATGGCAGAGATGATCAAAGAGATGCTGGCAACCGGAAAGGCGCCGGGAAAGACCGTCCCGTTCGCTAAGCTACTTATTGGTGTTCAAAAACAGAGAGATGACCTCGAGGGTTACTTGGCTATTCTCCGCGATGAGCCATCTGTGTTTGTTTACAACGTCAACTCCTGGCTGCTCAGCCGGCCAGAACTAGTTACAGACGATAGAGGCTACAGCCTGCCACCCGAAACCGACAAACACATCGGCTGTGCCATTTTCGAAGTTGTCCGTGGCTGGATCCAGAAATTTGCCATCATGAGTTACATGTACAATCTCATGGAGATGTGGGACAATCCGAATACCAAGTCGGATTACAAGCGCATCATTCTTCAAGAAATTTCCAATGTATTCCACTTCGAGTACAACCGCGCTCAGGCTCATCTCATCAGGCACGTCCAAACAGGAATCGGGGCGAGATGTTTCAGGCGTGTGCCCAACGCTTATGATGAGGCCGGAAACCCAAGGGTGGTTATGAGGGTCAAGCCAGATGAGCTTAATGGGAGTGATTCTCTTCTGCAATACATGCTGCGCTTATGCCAGCCCCAGACGCATGCTTTACAGGCATTTCAGTGGGTCGACAAGTTGGATGATCTATACAACTCCAAACCATCCTGCTGGAAATCCCTACAACAGAGAGAGATGGATGCATTAGACGAGCTAATTACGATCGTGTTAGTTATTCAAGAATTGTCAAGGGCCGTAGCGCTACCACCTCTCTCTCGCAAAACAGGACAAACATTTATAAATGGATCCTGGGAGTTGGATTATGGCTTGAACAGAATCCGGAAAGAAATTGATTTACAGGCATTCTCAGTGCCAATCAATAAGCTACTCGAGCCCGGAATGGCAAACGAGGCATTGGTTCAACTCGACCACTTGGTTGTACTCCATACTGGCTGCAAAATGGACTTTTTCTGCCACTTCATTGTGCAAGAATGCTCGGCATATCACCGAGCCCAGTCTCAGGAGACTAAAGACATTGAACAGAATGAATACAGGTATCCTATTACGACCGCTTATTGCATCGCCGAAGGTTTTGATTTAAAGAAATACGACGAAAATAGAAGTCCTGTCCAAACATCAACGTCTGAGAATGAACAAACTGTCAATAAGCCGAACGAAGAACAGCTGCAGAAGTTGTATGCCAACCCAGCGGCGAAAAAGGTCTTCTCCACTCTCTTTGAAGAGCCAAAGGCCGGGGCCTCGATCACTTGGACCGCGTTTATAAGTGCCATGGTTGCCATGGGGTTTGATGTTAAACATGGGTATTGCTCCGTTCATGTACTCGTTCCACCGCGTAACATGCCTTTGAGGACGTTCTTGAGTGTTTCCCGACCCCCAAATCATAAAATAGAAGGGCATCTGATACCAACATTGGCACGCCAGCTGAAGAAGGCGTACGGAAAATTTATGCCTTTTGATTGAGTGGGATAGCTGGAGCTGCGTGTTTAATTTTGGTTACTGATAAGCGAGTTTTGGCAAATTTGTATGTATAAGAAAGCAATGGACCAAGCTGGTGCTTGGAGAGCGGGAAGTAGCTTGTACTACGGTGTGGGCGAAAGGTGTGCGCGAATTTTAAATATCATGGTTAATTTGGCACACTTAGTCAATGAATCAGAAATGAATACCAGTATGGTACACGTGGTATCCGAGTAGCAAGTTTATTGTGCTTGTCCTTTCCCTACGTAGTCAACGAAACCCGGTCGGCTGAGCATGATGTCGAAGCTCAGCTACGAATAGTATCTTTATGCAAGATCATCTTTGATCAATTATAATCAGACAATACGTATACGCAGGCTTGATATATTCCGACTACGTAGTCATCATGAATCACTGAAACTACTACTTAATAACGAGAAATAGCGTAGTTGTAGCAGATAGCGTTGACTTGAAATGAAAAGCTATCGCATTCTAGCTTGCTAAATAAACAGTAGTGGCTATATCCTTCCGGCAGCAGTTTAAGTCACATCACAAAATCTAGACTGCTATATCTAAGAAAGTGCATCCTATCGAATATTATGTGCGTGGCGATGCACTATCTTACTCAGAGTTTTGGGTGGATGCCCTTGTTTTTGATCGAGTCATCTATTATAGATATAAAACATTAGCCAGTTTCTTCTTGGTGAGATTCGATGTGATGGCTATGGCATACCAATGGTGGCAAATTGCGAACCAACGCCGTGGAGGAGATCATTCTGAGTCGTTACGACGATGTTCTCCTCGGGCATCTTGGCGCTGCCAGAGTCTCCCGCTTCAAGCATAGGCGGAGGAGAACCACTTCTTCCCTTGGCGCTCCATGTACTCGATATCTTCCTGAGATTACTGGAAAGAGCAGTTAGGCATACAAGTCAGAGCAATAAATGGTTGAGAAAAACAAAGCGTTTATATCGTGCCAGAGAAGGTTACCAAGAATAAATTGAAGAATCAATGGTGTTTCTAAGAAGAATGAGAAGGAAAGCTTTTTGCAAAATTATTGTCATTGATGGAAGGCCTATAATGGGGAAATCTGGAGAGTATTGTTGCAATCGGAGTAGTGGATGATTTTTTAAAGGATAGAACTTACTTAGGATTGAGGGTGGCAATAGGCCAGTTCTTCATGATAAAGATGGTAAATGGGGGAATTTGTGATATATGACAACTTCTTTGAGAATGGCAAGCTGAATGATATATTATCAAAAAGTATTGGGTTTCGGCGCCGGATGATAATTAAACAAACAAAAATAAGAGGAAACATCATTACTTTATATGCATTTAGCTGTCCGGATACATGGCAGTAGACACAGGTACAAAGCGAACCAGGCGAACCATACACCCAGCTTCAGGCTGCCTTAATCCATTAGCCTTCATTACGGTGGGAGGAATAACCAATGAAACCAATGGTGCAAGGTCATGAAATTAAAAGGCCTCTCTGAAGATCCATTTTTTGACGACGTCGTCACGCTAATGACCCGCCTTTTGACGACGTCGTCAAAAACGGATCTTCCAGCGTCCAGACTGGAAAATGTTTCGGCCAACGATAGAGAGAAATTAGCAGGTTTTGGAGCGTCTTAACTCGAAATAGAATGCCGAGAGGCTAACAAAAAAAAAAGGGAGGCGCTTCGATGCGTCGAGCGGGAAAGTTGCCGTAGCGCTTCGCGTCTGTTGAGCCGGCTATGCACCCACTCGGACGTAAACGGGCTGCCGCTATATGACATATTATAAGGCCTGCAGGACTTATTCGACTCTTTGGAGGCCTGGTTGCTCATAATGGGCCTTTCCCATCTCAGCTGTCGTTCTAAGATCGCTTTTGGTGGATGAATGATGGCACTGTTCATTCCAAACGCGAGCCGGATTAGAGCTGTTTAAGCCCAAAATTAGTTCATGGTCATGACCAAAGTAAAATGTCCCGTGATAATAAAGGACTTGTGTCTCTCATTTATTTGCAAGAACATCTACTCACCTGCTTGAAGGCATCATTAATATTGGGACAGGGATCTGCAATTCATACCTGCAATTCATACAACAGACCAATTTCGATTTTGATAGTATGGAAGTTAGTTAATCTGTCATAATTTCAGCTTAAGCAATCAACCTAAATTCACCATCCTCTAACAAATCCCTAGCAAACTACATTTTTCCTTTATGCGCCCACTCTAGGCTTACAGGGCGGCTGGTCCTGGGATTACTTCATAGCAAAGCCCATTTAAGGAGATTTATATTCCGGCACGTGGCAGACATGGCCTCCCGCTTTGACTTCCACTTCGATATCGAGATTCCCTCTATATGCATCCACTACTCCTGGCCATGATTAAAAGTCAGCTAGGGATGATATGATTCCATACTCGAACAAAGAACCCGCACTCTTCGTTTGTAAATTGACTATACTAATTTATTATCTTTAGGGTTCTTCAAACATGGTTCGTTTAATAAAAAACGCTCGTTTATAATACCACTGATCATCATAGTACTAAAGGGTTATGTCTACATGTATAACACACAAATGCACAGAATATTATTGAGCGACTACCTAACACTTCCAAGGTCATGAATGATAGCGCCAGGTTTGAGAAGATCGGCATGGAGCCGGCAAAAGTTTCCACTATTTCATGTGAAGGCCAAGTCCTTAGAGGTGGGGTCTCAGCATCGCTCCCGTCCACTATCTTTAGTCCTGTTCTAAGTCTCTTTAGTCAATACCGTGGAGTACGAACTAAGCATGAAGAAACGGCAAAAGTTAAGTGCACAATACTAAGAACTTTAGTTGGGGAGCGGAATGAGAGTCTCAGAATAAGAAAATGAGGTCATATTTCCCAAGCGATATGTATCCAACCCCGATTACTACCATGCCGCCGGTTATTTTTCCTTGGGCTTTTGATCTATTCAACTCGACGAAATACAGAATCAACAAAACGCCGCATATTATGCCAGATATCTATGTAATCTTGTATCGCTGATTTAATATGGCAGTAATATTCTTCTCATTGTGAAGTCTCAAGTGTCGTATGCATCGCTGCAATTGTGTCGGCCGGCATGTTGTGTTCGTTAATATAGGAGGGAGAGACAGTAGCCTTAGAGATTAAGATGGAGGTCCATATTCTGGATAGCATCATCTAATGTAGAACCATGAAAGTAAGCTATTGTCCACATCAAAAGAGATCACGGAGCCGGCAAGACATACCAGTGGCAGGAAACTGTGAACCGATGCCATGAAGAACATCATTCTGATCTTTTCTCGTGTTATTAGTCTGTGGTGCCTCAGTGGTGCTTGCGGCACTAGTTGAAGTGGCCTCACGATGGCTCATTCGGGCGATTGGTGGAGGGGAATCGCTCCTCGCCGCGGTGCTCCATGTATCCGTAGTATCCCTAAATCAAATACAAATTACATTTAGCTACGCTCTATGATCTTTGGGTAACCTCATGTTTGTTATAGAGAGCGGGCAAGAAAACTTGAGAGAAAAGTCCAAGATCGGCGACAATACAAATACCAGGCTCACACTAATTCATTATGACGATACATATGCCTCATATTTGAATTTGCCCATAAATTGAGGAATAAACGAGGATTTTTGACGATATTTCATAATAAAGAAGCGTTGGTATAACTCACAGAGAGGTCACTCCATTGGAGTCATGATTTTCCATATCGAGGTATGGCATTACGAAAGTTGCGGATAAATAAAGTCAACTTAGGGAACTGTATTTCAGCTGAGAATGATAAGGTATAAAATGACACCTGAGTCTGAACTGCTTTGAAGATGATAGATTGAATAAAAGAAGAGGAAGGAGAGGGGCTTATATAGGCCCCAGAGAAGAGGTAGCGAAGAGCAGTACATTGTTCATGGAGGAGGGGAAAAGCATTTGCCATTATTAAATGCAGCCAGAAATCCATTCAACCCTGCCCTCTCCTGGGGCTGACCGTTGCATTTGGCCAAATCCATAGTAGTGTGGTAGAGCTTCGAAGGGGAAGCCCAATGTCGAAACTTGCCGTGCTGCTGTTTCGTCATTAGCGGCAAGGCTCTGGCCATGAGAGAAACCCACATGTGCCTGTGCAGCTCCATCCCATTCATTGAGTGCCAGGTGGTCCATCTGAAGTATCTTCCTAGGATTGTGGCCAATTGAATCGCCACAAATTGAGAGTACATCAGCTGCCGCCAAAATTGGCCTCAAGGGCAAGTCTCGAAATTTAGATCAGTACTTTGAGCTACATAACGTTAATGATCAACACGGCGATCAAGCGACCTTTTTGCTGGCAAATCAAGTCCTTTAGTGTATCCAGTCCGTATAGAAATAAGGTGGATACAGGTACTTGGGTTGGACCACCTGGCACTCAATGGGATAGCTTAGAAACGTCAAAATATTCCGAGCCGTGGAAGGCGTACTCAGTACAGTAAAGGTCTCTCTGCCACGCTTGTGGTTGGCCAGCGAGGCTTTGCATTAACCTTTCTGGCGTCCCGGGTCCACTACTAAGCAACACGGGAACTAGTATATGTATCCATTAGTGCTCGACTTAACGCTGTCCCAGCCCGCAGTGGAGCTTCAGGTTCCAACCTGGAATTCCATGTTGTTTAGCGGACGCTAGCTTAGCCGATATTGTGGGGTTGCTGTGCGTTTGTTGGCTGGAAATGCTGGATGGAAAACGAAATGATGCCCAGCGCACCGCAGACTTATAAAGATACAGGTAAAGAGATGAGAGTATGTGAGTAGGCACAAGGCCTCGGCAGCTTTTGGCCGTCGTGTCCCTTTTTCACACGCCCCATTCACTCTCCTTCTACATCCTTTACTCCAAACTACATAACAGTCAACAGTCCGGATACCACTGGCAAGTCTCCACTAGCTATGGCATCGCCATCAATGCAGCTTATTCGTCAAAGATTTAGGCAAGACCTGTCAAATCTACTATTGCAAGGGCAGTTGAAGGAGCTTTTTATAAAATGCAGCGAAGAGGATCGCATGTAAGTACCTATGCTGAAGTAGTATTTGCTCAAAGGGTACTAAGTCACGGTAGTGTCTTGACAGATTATATGCACGAGTTCTGGATTCACACTTTTGTCACAGCCAAATACTGGGGACGAGGGCCCCTGCTGTGGACAATTGATATGATAATAGAATTGACTCTTAGCCCGTCGGTGATTCCCTCCTCAGCAGCTACAACTCCAGCAATCTGTTTTGCACCCTCGCCTCTACCGCCTCATGATGAAGCAGCATTTTTACCTACGCCTTCGCAGCACTGTCGATGGGTTATTCATGTCACCCACCAACAACAATACGCTAGCAAAGAAGAAGATAAGATGACGACCAAATCCAGTCACCCTCTCGAGGAGCCGTGGTCGTTAGCAGAACGTAACAATCATTCCTTTCCCCAGTCAATCCAACAATCAATTACGGAAAGCACATTCACTTCTTTATCACCTGAGCATTTGCCAGTCTCTAATTCGTTAATCGCCGAGTCACTGCGAACAGTTCCGAGTTCACTGCAATTAGAATCTTTGAGATTCGCGATAATGGCTGGGAACATAGAATCGGTGGAATGACTTCTTGTAGAAGGAATGGAAGATCCAAGCTCCATTGAGTCTCTCAAAGAGGTCTACCCTTACCACCTCGCAGCTAGCTACTTGGATGGTGGTAACACGTGCTGTTCTTTGCTCACTACACTTCTCGAGTGTATTGAAGACGTATATCCGGTCGCTAAAAATTACGAGGACATCATGGGACATACAGTCCTTGATAGCTTGACAATTTCTATTATACGTTCACATACGCGTGTTAGACCAAGAGAAGTCAGCTCCAACTTTATTGACACAGATGCGTATCCTGGAGAAGAAAGAGATGCATGTGGTCGATGGGATGTAGATTTTCCAGCAATTCGCCGGCTCTTTCAACGTGGCAAATACCGCGTTCCATTTAACTGGAAACATCCCTTCTGTCATAGCTCTGTTCAGGCTGTTTGTCACAACATGATGAGGATTTTCTCTCCTGGAGATTATATACCCCATATCAACCGCTTTAGCGGACTGTTTATTCGACACTGCGTCTCTTGTGGTACCAAACTCTCACTTGGAACCCTTCACTTGATAGTGGTATTGGCATACCATTTAGCAAATTCAGGCGTCCAAGGAGAGACACTATTTGGAGCTATGGCAATGCTAGTCTGTCTATTAAGGCTAGGAGCAAATGTTTCACTACAGGCGGAGGTATCATTCGATGAGATATTGGGGCTTACATCTGCAACTAGGTGTCATCATGCAAAATTAGACGCTGATGGTTTTATGCAAACAGTCCCAGCCGCAACTGTAGATGGCTGGAGCCCTGAATGCCAGATTGGCTGGCATTGCATGCGTGGAATCTTGCAGCTAGCCAAATCTGGCAAAATACATCGCCCAAGCACCATAACCAGTGCACAGTCAGACTCTGGTGATCCATTCGACTCTATGGTTATTGATGGCGATGATGTTTCGACGGTACATGGATCTACGGCGTCGTGTCAGCTGGTGCTCACCTATCACCAGTATTCTTCTTTTCCCTGTGGAAATCCCCAACTTGGTCTCATCTGGGCAGCTATTCAAGCTGAGATGCTTACTTATCGAAAGATTGAAGATTTAGATTCTTGGATCTCCGATAACTTTTCCATGGGTGCGCTGAAAAAGTGGCTGCGAGGAGAGTCAGTGGAGCTCGAGATGCCTTTTGTACAAAGAGACATGTTACAAGCGCATACGATCTGTGGATGGTTTGAAGAAACTTCTTTCCCTGTCCACACTGCGGACGATGTCACAAAACAGCATATCATGAACATGGATATAAACCGGAATCTGTACAGTCGGGCATCGTTTCACATTTAAGGGCAGCTGCATTAAGTGACAGCGCCTAGAGTACATGTACTCAGACTGATATCTCATTTGTATTGATTTATTTTCTCCTCTTAAATGAATAGAAATGTGATGTTTATTTTCAGAAGAGTTCATGCAACTAGAACAATACCAGGACTTGAACGGGCTGAGGTATGATTCGGAAGATTCCCAATGCTAGGCGAAGGATTCTTCCCAGGGATTAAAGTATATGTACTTCTAATTATCGCCAGTAATTACGAAGGCTCGGTAAACCTCTACTCTGTGCCATTTATGCCTTTTGTTACAATGAGCAAATGGGGACGAGAAATGCTGGATATCTCCCTTGCCACTCTGCCGGACTTCCTCATCCCGTTACTAGCAAATGATATTCAGAAGCCTCACAGTCTGTCTAGTGGCCTGATTCTTAGAACTTGGCTGCCGGTATCACCGGACTCACTAGCTGTTTCGATAGACACCGACCTGTCAACTGCACCATTCGAACTAAATACTACCAGGGATTTCCTGTCGCAAGCGTACATACCTATGTAGTAAACAGAGAGTCTGCCGTCAGGCAACTATAGGCAGAGGGGTTGCAAATATTTCTACCAGTTGGCATAGGTCTCAGTCGATAAATCGAGATACATCGAAAATTGGATAATTAAAGAAAAATGAGACACAGGAGGCCAGACGGGCTAGCGTAATCCGTGATAGTAGTTCACCTATTATTTTATGTTCCTTGTATGAAGATCTCAGACCCTAGGATCTGTTTTGACAAATGGTCAAAAGGGGACGAGTGATTTCATACGATTTATGGTAGAAAAATGTAAAAAAAAAAAAAAATTCGGATAACGCATCTGGGGCATTTGCTCCCGGCAGGGCTTGAACCTGCGACCTTCGCATTACCAAGGCTAGATTGTGACGTCCAGTATTAGTACGAAGCTCTAACCAACTGAGCTACGGAAGCGCATCCGAATTATGAAAGGGGTGCGTCTTATTTTAACCATAAAGCTATATTCATCCTTAGAACGTGATTTGCAATATCCAATTCAGCTCCCTTGATACATAAGATATATTGCGATCAACGAAAGTTGCAGCAGATAGTAGTAAGAGCCATATGTAGTATGCTCATCTGACACGATAAACTAAGAAAAGAAAAGAAAACCCCCTTTCCTTCGTGTAAATTTTCAGAAATAAATAAAGTCAATATTGGATATCTAGCGGCGGGAGAGCGGCTTACACCCTGACCATTTGCCTCCTGAAAAAGAATAAGGTTGGGGTAAATCACCAGCTGTGATGAGATTCCCGTGACCTATTGAAAGATGCGAGGGGCAAATCATACATTTGATTGCCTTTAGATGGGATACTGTGTTTCTATTTCCAAGTCTAGCCTGGGTTGTGAAATGCGTCCATAGGCCGGTGCGGCTGAGCCGACCCTTGATGTGATCCTCTCCCTTGCTCTGCAAATACATGAATAATTCAGAATTATAATGCAAAGTGGTTATGCAAGAGCTGGGGGAATAAGAGGTTGAAGGTGTGTGCGTGCCTCTTGTTTGATTGCATATTTGAAAGAGTTATAGACGTCATGCTCCAGTAACGATTGTGCAGAAGCAATCATATTTCCTCGGTGATTAAGAGTCTACAAGATTAATTAGCGCAATGAGCCTCATCTTCCAGATGGAAACTCACAGTCCAAATTTTTTGGCGCTCATCAGCTGGACAAGAGAGACCCCGCTCTTCGCGAAAGACATTATGGAGGAGTCTCTAATTTGATAGTGTTTTAATGATTCATTGCAACTATTGTACCGAGTCGTTTTGCTTTATACTCGAGACTCATAGATTCATTATCCTCAATGCATATTCACACCTTTGATACGAGGATTGTGTACTAGATGTACTGGAACTAAAGTCAACCGTTGCCATTTCCATATGTAGCCTCGACATTAGAAACACTTACAAAGCTGTCCAGCGGACTGGAGATTACTCAACATAGCACTTGGGTAACAAAAGTCTAGGCCACAAACGTGACAAATGCAATCAGTTAGTATATATTAATTGGAAAAATCTTTCCACTGAGCATAATGCGCCCAAGCCTTTGAGTGTTGATACCAGATTCAGCGAATGCCAAGCAGATCTACAGGGCATATACTGAAAGAAGAGTAATCACTCTCACCCATAACCACAACAAGAGAGCGATAACCCCATCTCCAAGAGGCCAATCAAATGAGATGACAAAAACTTTCCAGTAATCAGGAAAGTTTTGTGTGCTGGTGGGCTTCACTTAGTAGCATAGAGATTATGCTGTCGCAGCGTCTGATTTCAAAGCATTGCAGTGATTGTGGATACATAGAAAGATAACTCTTCATAGCAGACACATAGGTCGGAGACTATTTTCTCGATTGGCCGTATATATTCACGTAGCAGGGGTCTACTCAGTCGAGTGCTTATTGTTGCCGCAATTTACTTCATACACTTCTTCCTTGTGGCAACACTCAACGTTGACGATGGATTCCCAAGACATCCCTTAAATATTTGTGATTGGTGGCACGGGTGCCCAAGGGATGCCCGTTGTCAGAAGTCTTGTCAGTGATAAGAAATATCAGGTCAAGGTTCTGACCCGTAACGCATCATCTCGACGTGCCCAAGAATTGTACGGACTCGAAAATGTGGAATTATTCGGAGGAACTCTAGCCAACGAGACAACCCTTTATAACGGTCACCGCGGTTGTTATGGGGCATTTGTCAATATTGATGGGTTCAACACTGGCGAGAAGGCAGAAATGTTTTGGGCAATTCGCATTTATGAAATTGCCATTAAGGAAGGCCTCAAGTTCTTTGTATATGGGAACTATGACTATGCGCTCAAAGCAGGAGCTTATAATTCGAGGTATCGGTGCGGACATTTAGACGGAAAAGGAAGAATTGGAGAGTGGATTCTGTGGCAAAACACGACAAACATGGACAGAATGGATGCAGCTCTATTTACGGGAGGGCCATACATTGATATGAGTGTCAGTGGTGCAACCATGATGTCGCCAACCATCGAAGACGGTATCGTCACCTGGCGCATTCCAGTTGGCGACGTTGCCGTGCCTTTCGTTGCCCTTCAAGACTGTGGCTATTATGTCCGTTGGATGTTTGACAACCCTAGACGGGCCAGTGGGATGGATCTTCGGACTGCGATCGCACATATTAGCTTTCACGAAATGGCCGCCGCTTTTGAACGTGTTACTGGCCGCCCTGCACAGTATATCGAAATGTCAATAGACGACTACTGGGCGTTATATCGGGACATTGCTGATTTACCGACCGCCTACAATGCTGATCCCGATGATGCTAGTACAATGTCCACCAAGGATAATTTCACTGGCTTCTGGAACTTTTGCAAAGATGATCTCATGAAAAGAGAGTATGCTATTCTGGACGAAATCCACCCGAATAGAATCAGGACTGCCGAACAATGGTTCCGTATAGAAGAGGCCAATGGTCAAGCTTCTGGGAAGGGAAGTCTCTGGGATAGAGTTCAGCCTGAAAATCTACTGGAAGTTCTGAAACGAGGTGAAGATGGGGACCAAGGGACTTTGCAACAATGTCTTGAAGCTACTATTGATATGGGCACAGCGATACCAAATGCCTCGAAACTATCGTCTTTTATCAGTGGTCGGTAGCTCAATTTGTTGTTGTGCCCAAAAAGCATCACATTGTATGATAAGCAGCAGCATCAACTTCACCGCAAACATATTCCTAAGTTCTGCGATACGTCCAGAGACAGCTGGCTAATATTCACCATCTGACTCAATCGTCCAAAGTGTTTTGTTGAAGATTGTTCAAGGAGATGATGAATCCAAACAAACCTCTGGGGTAAAACACAGAAAAACTGCAGCGGCTCATCCGCTCGCGGAACTCAATCTCAAACCAATTGAATGGCCACATCAACTCTTGCAGCGAGCGTTCACACGGTGCATCATCCAATACATCGTTTTACGGCGTCGGATAGTAGGCAAAGGGTATAATCACACAGTGCATCTCCTTAGCGACAGCCTCAAAGCCAGCACTAGCAAAATAAATCATGTAGCCACGAAAAACCATGGGGAGCCATCACAGAGAAAAAAATCTATGACCCCCCTCAAACGTGCGGCAAATGTTCGTCTAGCAACGTAAATCCTCCAACTGCGACGTATCTACGGATATGATGAGAAGGCCTCACACCTGTATCAGGTGCTCATGTTGAGGGTGTTGCGTGATGTGAGAAGGAGAAAAGAAGAAAATGGAAGAGAAAAAAAAATTGAAGAGAAGTGGAGGGCTTGGTGTTCCATTTAAGGACTAGCGTAAGTCGTGATGTGCCAAATGCCAAGTTTGCTTGTACTCGTACAGCATCAAATTGCTCTGTGGCGGGGCTTACGGGACACAACTGATCGGACACTCCGTAGGACAAAGATTGGGCATTGGAGGCTGCACAGCCTGAAAGCCAACGATTTCGGCATCGTCATATTGTCTCGGTGTACAATTATGGTGATATAACGGTGGGTGGGCAATATGATAACACTGTGCACCAGCCAGGAAAGAGACTTTTTAGCTTCTTTGACGGCTGGGTTGCAGTGAAGGGAGCAGCTGAAGGATGACAGAGTGGCAAAGCACTTGAATTGGAGAGGTTGAGTGAGATGCAAGTTAGTTTGTTATTGGCCGAGTGTATGTGGTTGGGGTAGCATGAGATGTGCATTCAGAGCCTGCAGGGCATGCGGTTCGCTATATCGGCCCAAGACGGTGGCCATTGGTGGTGAGACACATGAGCGTCATTCCTTTCCCTTTCGTCGTTGGCAGTGTATTGGCTAGATGGATATCAGGAGAGGGGCTGATGCAGCAGCAGTTGGCAGTTCGCATCAAGGTAGTAGTACTATTGTATGTAGGTGTGTAGTTGGAGGCCGTATATATCCAGATTGGACAGATGAACAAGTCGTCGCTTTTGACAGCGCTCTAGCCGCAGATATATTCCTGGAAAATGACATCACCTGTGAAACGACAATCTAGACCCTTAGATGCGCCTGCATACTCGTACATGCATGTGTCGATGGACCTATATTTGCATTCAAGCCTACTGCAACCTTGAATAGTCCCTAGGGATTTTGAGCAAACGCAGGTCGTTTGGCGCACGCGACCACAAATCAACTGCGGGCGTCATCCGCCTACTCCAAAAAAAACTGCTCAGGTGAGCGCAGGTGCGCAGCCACGATCTTCAACGGTAAGACTGGCCTGGTTCCAAAAGAGAAAGAGATCGAACGACATGGTCACCACAGGTGGAGAGAGCGGGATGGCAATAAATGGAGCATATAGGGATAGAGCAATAGAGAAAAAGGAGAGGACCAAGAAAAAGGCGGCCAGTTTTCCCCCCTCACATGCGAAGACACAGTCGCGTGCTCACGCTCTGGCAGCTTGTTCGCTACGGGCTGTGACACCAGGCCTTTCGTCGATGGCGTCTCGTCGCCGCACGTGGAGCCGAGCCGGACTCGAGATTGGCTCTAGCGACGACAACGAAAAAAGAAGGGTCCGGCAGCTCGGAACTCTGGGCGGGAGCTAGGCGGAGACGGCGAGAGTGTAAAAGGGAGCCAGACAACCAGATATTGCTAGCATGTCTAGCATCGTGGTGGGGGAGAGACGCGCGAGAGTCAGACAAACGGCTCAGCAGCCCCTCCTTGCCCTCCCTGGCAGAGCCGATGGCGATGAGGTTTGGAGATTCGGTCGCTTGGTTGGCCGTTGAGCGCTGCACCGTTAGGGTGGCTGTGGAGCCGGATGCAGAGCATCTCGGACATAATTTGGTGGTGGGAGGATCAGCAGGACCCTGGGCTGGGCCATCGAGGTTCTCGTCGGGGCTGAGAATACGGGGAAGAGCGATTTAAGTCGGGAGCCGGCGATGGAGATGGGATCATGGCTGGCTGACGGCCTTGCTTCTTTGTTCCAGGTTGCTATATTAATACAGGCAGGACCCGGAGCTGGGCGTATCATCCCATTGTCGAGAATGACTCGTTCTAGCCTCGTTTCTTCTGTCTCGGCTCTCCATATTATTTCCTTTTAGCTGAGAGACATCCAAGCTTTTTCTAACTCTACTTTCTTCTTATTTTGAGCACGAGCATCTACCAAGGTCTCATCTCGTCACGTTACTTCCTCTTTGACTCCAACTGCTGCCCATCCATTCCTCAGTTGGACACAGACTGTCTCGTCTCAGCAGGCAGACGCAGCCAACAGTTTGGATCATCGCCAGCTGATTGGCACCGATGACCTCATAGCCTCAGCGCCCGCCACGCCACACCACCGCAAGTTTTACTTCCGCTGTCAAAAGAATTTCAACCCCTGGACCCTTAAAAAAACTTCATTCGGTGTCGAGTCTAGCAAAGCCTCGTTGGAGCGATGCGTCTTTGAGTTTTGACGATTCTTACGACTTTTTTTTGTGTCTTTGGTCATTTGTCTTTTTTGTTTTTTATTTTTACTGCTGTTCCTCATCGGCGGATTCTTGCCTGTATTCAGCCCACCTACATACCTGTACACACAGACGGCATCTCCGAACCTAAAGAGAAAAAATAACGAGACAACATCATCACCACGCACAACATCCCACGATGCCTCGCCAACGCGGCGGCGGCGTCAATCGACGGCCATACCAGCTGATGCTTCTCGCTTTTGCATCTCTGACCTCCAAAACCCTCGCCCTGCCCTCCGCAACTCGCCTCGACCAACAAGTTCTGCGCCCGATCGAGCCCGAATCCGATGCGCTACCACTGCAGCAGCGGAAACTCAGCGGCCGGTTCCTGCATATCTCAGGTGCGTTGCATTGCGCTGCGTGAAGTTAAAAAATTTGTCCGCCTGCGATTGGCACACCAGATGCTTCTTTGCTTCTACTGGTGCTTCCACCTTATCTCTCGCTATCTTTGCAATCTCCAATCTCCAATTTGCATGCGACGCTGCACCTTTTTTTCTTCTGTCATGGTGGCACCCGCCACCAATCGACTCTTGTCTCTTTGATTAGCTGATGCTACATTGCATCGATCTGGCATGATTGGCAGATCATGGACTGACCGTGATAATTGGTGCAGATTTCCACCCTGACGAACTCTATCGCGTGCACACATCCACCGAAGAAGGCATCGCATGCCACCGAGGAAAAGGATTGGCTGGATCGTATGGAGCCGAAAAGACGGATTGCGACACTCCGTTTTCGCTTGTAAACGCCACCTTTACCTGGATCGAGGAGAATATCAAGGATGATATCGATTTCGTTATCTGGACGGGCGACTCGGCCAGGCACGATAGCGACGAGCAGAATCCTCGACACGAGCCCGAGATCCTGAGGACGAACCGCATCATTGCCGACAAGTTTGTCGAGACATTCTCATCTCCCGAACACGGGCTCGAGATCCCCATCGTGCCTACTTTCGGCAACAATGACTTCCTCCCCCACAACATCATGTTGCCAGGGCCCAACAAGTGGTTCGCAACCTACAGTGACATTTGGCGCCGCTTCATCCCCGAAGAGCAGCGTCATTCCTTTGCGTTTGGCGGCTGGTTCTACATCGAGGTCATTCCCAATCAGCTTGCCGTCTTCAGCTTGAACACAATGTACTTTTTTGATCGCAATGCCGGTGTGGATGGCTGCGCCCACCCCTCTGAGCCTGGCTACAAGCACATGGACTGGCTGCGCGTGCAGCTGCAGATCCTGAGGGAGCGAGGTGTCAAGGCTATTCTCATGGGCCACGTGCCACCTGCTCGGACGGAGAGCAAGCAAAATTGGGACGAAACTTGCTGGCAAAAGTACACGCTATGGCTCAAGCAGTACCGCGACGTTGTAGTTGGCTCTCTCTATGGACATATGAACATTGACCATTTCCTTCTCCAAGATGAAAAGGAACTGACTCCGGAGCTTGGTATCGACCAAGTCCGTACGCGTGGCTCTCCAGACGAGTCAATATCCATCTCTTCCAAAGAAGATTACCTTCAGGAATTACGGGACACATGGACGGAATTGCCCAAGGTTGTTACTCGTGACTTTGATAATGAAGCCAATGAGGAAGACGATGAAGAGACGGAGTTGGGCAAGAAAGAGAAGAAGGGGAAGAAGAACAAGAAGAACAAGAAGCTGGGTAAGATCGGCGGCAAGTACGCTGAGCGATACCAACTCTCCCTCATCACGCCCAGCGTTGTGCCAAACTACTTCCCCACACTTCGCATTTTTGAGTACAACATTACCGGAATCGAAGACGTACCTGTGTGGCGAGATGCATACGACCAGGCAAACCCACCTACGGCGTTGGAACTCCCGGAGGATGCCATCGACTACGAGAATCCAGAAGAAGTCTTGATCGAGATTCTGAAGAAGAAGCACAAGAAGGACAAGAAGAAGAAGGACAAGTCGCGCAGGCCACCTAAGGACCACGACCTGGTCGTTCCTCTGGACCCACCCGAGGGTTCGACTCCTGGCCCTGCCTACTACCCTCAGCTCCTCACCCTGACTGGGTACACGCAATACTTTGCCAATCTCACTCACATCAACGATGACCTCCCTGATGTTGGCGTCGACATCGCCAAGTGGCGCAAAGGCCAACACGATCACAAGGAACCCAAGCATGGAAAGCCAAATCCACGAGAGTTTCAGTATGAAGTGGAGTATAACACATTTGAAGACAAACATTACAAATTGCCCGACTTGACAGTCAAAAGCTACCTAAAACTGGCCTATAGAATGGGCCAGAGAGAAGGCAAAACGCTGGACGCATACGAAGAAGATGAAGATGTGGATTCAGGAGCAGACGAATACGCAGACAATGAGCCCGAATCATCACTCAAGAAAGGAAAGGGAGACAAGAAAAACAACAAGAAGAGCAAGAAGGAAAAGAACAAGACTTGGCTGCACTTTTTGGGCCATGCCTTTGTTCGCACGGTACCCAATGAGGAGCTGGAAAAGATGTGATTGACGCATCATTGGTCGCCATTCTTTACTCTACTCATCTCTTCTTTATACCCTTTCTCTCTCTCTTGTCAATGATTGGTGGGTGTTGGGACTGCTGGATTGCACGGCCTTGGCGTTTGGGATTCATATGCGAGTAACCATCACGTCAGTGACGAGGTGGTACCGCATTTTTATTTTATTTTTGGCGGAACTGACCGTGTTATGGTCTGGGAGGAGGCATTGAAGCGAATTTTCTTCTTACATATCACGGCATTGTTATTCCCCTGGTATTATACCGGTGTATTTTTACGGTAGATCGTATGGATATATACATATACCCCTATCTGAGTTGGTAGTATCTCATGGAACGAACTGTGTTCATATTTCCCAAGTATTAATGAAAGAGTTGTATATACATGTACACATGTGCAGCGTAGTTTGCATGTCTTAGACATACAGTGATGTGATCTCACCATAAACCCATTTGTCCCCCTTTACCCCTTTCCACTGAGGCCTCGTAGAAGTAGAGCCTTCAAAAAGTGTTCGTTTCGAGGATTGCCCGTTTTACTCCAGCAAATGATGTATTAAATTAGTATTGGTTTGGGTATTTAGCGATAGGCATGACATTCCCGTCATGAGATAATGGGTCGAAATATATATCCGACCAGCAATCGTAAGACTTCGTCACTCGAAGAAATCACAAACTGAAAAAGAGTGTCTTTATGACCATTAATACAATCATCGCGGGCTGAAATGTGCAAAAAGAGTAGCCCAAACATACCATGATTCCAGCGGCCCCGGCTTGAGAGACGGAAACGGCGGCAAAGGAGACGGCCCTTGAGACGACACCGACGTCGATGGCGACAAGAGCGAGGGCGATGCAACAGGCGACCTGAGCGACGAGACGTCGGTGACTTCGCTGGCGCTGTCGTCGTCGAGGCCAGTCTCTTTGAAGACGGATTTTCGGCCGCGCTGCAGTTTGTTGCTGTCGCTGCGGAAGAGCATCGCGTAGAGGCCCTCGCCTTCGCGGAGGCGGTCTTGGGTTCGTTGGGAGTTGAAGGCGGGACGGGTTGGGTTGTTGATGTCGATGCCTGAGGAGGTGGAGGTGGAAGATGGGACGGAGAGCATGTTGGATGAAGTGGTGGTGGCGCTAGCGGTATTCATAGTGTTGAGTGAAAGATGATACTCAAACGAAAATGAACAAGAGTACGAGTAATTGATGAGTTGATGGGAGAGATTTGCTTATGGGAGGGTTGTATACGTGTATGCAGTATATATAGCCATGTAAATGGACGGCTTGTTGACTGAACAACAAGAGTTGTACAAGAAACAAGAATTGAGCAAGATGCACCGTTTAAAAAGAAGCGAGATTTCTGAAACATGCAAAACGCATTTACATGCAAGGGAGGCAAAGATAAAGCCCTTTTATCTTTTTTATCTTTTTTCAGGTTTAATTTACCCCGAGACTAAAAGATTCCCGCTCAAGGGAGGGCCCGGCCTCGATTGAATCTGGGTCCTGTTTCTGCTTCCTCCATCATCCTCATCCTTCCCCCCCCACAGATTTGCTCTGGGCTGAGGTCAACGGTCAAGCCCAAGCATGTGGCTGATCGCTTTAGGGAGCTGGCATATGTGTGGCGTCACGTATGAGGTGTTGTCTTGGCATGTGGGAGGAAGCAATTAGCCGTCGCTAGTCACAGGCACCGATTTGACTGGGCGAGAGACAGAAAATGGTGACTTCACCGGGCAGGGGTGCTTGTCTGGGGCTACGATCACGATCACGATCACGGCTGAGGGGGGATGTGCAATTTCGCTGTGGCTAGTTCAGGACATGGGCTTCAGATTTGCCGCGTTTGGGTGCGGAGAAAGGGTTGTTTGAGATGAAAATATGCATATGACGAGCTCGCATCCGAGGTTACACAGATATGCCGTGTTGCACATGGAGATTCGGTCGCATCACCGTCCGTGTTTCACGTATTAGAAACGGAGAAAAAAAATTAATTAACTGAATGAATGCGGATAAGAACTAAACAGCTTCAGGAAATGGTATTGCGAATCCTTCTGCATTCAATTGTGATCGACGCCTTATTACGCAAAAGGAGGAAGAAAAAAGACGGGGTCGCGCATTATTGAATCGAGGATCTTAGAATGAAAAAGATGAGACATTATGGGGACGAGGGTTGTGACGTCACGTCTTGAGAAGATGGTACGACCTGGAATTTTTTCTGCATCTGCATGAGGCTTATCCTTATCTGAAGGGGAATGTTATGCGGGAAAAAAAAAGTTGAATGGATGGGAGAGGATAAAGTGCTTTTTTTTGGTGTTTATGCGACCGACATGCAACATGCCGTTTGGGGGAGTGACACATTGATGACATCGGACGAGCGTCAGATGGGAAGCGGGTTTGATCGTTCCCGTGCGGTTCAATATAAATTGGTTACAGGGGATTTTGGCCAATCGATTGGAATTTTTTCTTCTTGTTTTTTTGGCTGATGTTGCTTATCAGAGGGGTTGAATGACGGTTTTGGAATTGAATGCGTGTAGGTGACAATTCAGCGGGTGGCTGAATTGCTCCATATAAGAGCCCCCCTGGAGTTGAAAACTGGTGTGAAACCACATGCCGCTTCCTAGAACACACCATACCGGCAATACTTTATGCAGCGATTCGGAAGTTTTTGAGTCGCCAAACACTATTTCTTTACTTTGAATGATCTCATTTTTTCAACATTGCGCATCTGAATAATTTAGCCGCCGCCAAACGACATCCAATGACATTTAATACCAAATAGTTAGAGCTTTGGACGACCTGCCAATCAAATGAAATATTCTCCTCTTCATCGCTCACATCCAAGTCTCATGAGAAGGAAGACCAATTACCTATGGATACTGACAAACATGAGCTACCCTATATTTTCATACAACTTTGCTATCAACCTATTTCTTCTCAAGAAAAGGTTGCTGCTTTAACAACTTCCTGTATAGCGCCATATCAACACCCCGCCAACCCACCATTAGCTCCGGAGCCATCATCCGGACTTCTCTCGGGCTAACATCCAGCGAATCTGTGATATATCACAGCCGGAATCACATGCCGGGGATGGTATAATGTAGTTTCATAGCTTCAGAGCTCTCATATAGCTCTGGATTCCGCGCCAAGGAGAGCTCACTTACCTATGCCTGCTTATACATCAATCGATAAAGCTAGAGTGAAAGTGAAGCACACCTCCAACTTGAACCTCCAGTCTTGGCATTCGATATCCAACAACACCAACTTAGACACTGTTTAAACCCCATCTCATACAATACAACCAGTTATCACAGCCATGGCTCCTCTCGGCGTCAACTTCGCCTGCGCCCTCTACGACCGCATGGTCCCCCTAGCCAGCGGCGAAGTGCCCACCCCCGGCCTCAACGTCAACTTCGTCGAGGTCCAGCACCCGCGCGACATCTTCGACCGCATGGTCGCCAACAAGGAATTCGACGTCTCGGAGCTGTCGGCGTCAGAGTACGTCACGCGCTACGTCGCCGGCGACCGTAGCTTCGTCGCCATCCCCGTCTTTGCGTCGCGCGTCTTCCGGCACTCCTTCATCTGCGTCAACACAAACATCATCAAGAAGCCCGAGGACCTCAATGGCAAGCGCATCGGCGTGCAGCTGTACAACATGACGGCGGCGGTGTACATTAGAGGCATCTTGAAGCACGAGTACGGCATTGACTTGTCGACGATTGAGTGGGTGCAGGGCAAGATGGAGACGCCTGGGTCTCATGGCCAGCCGTCGGTGCTGCCGCTGTTGAAGCCTGTCAATATTACCAACAATACAGACCCGACCAAGTCGCTTTCAGATCTGCTGGAATGCGGAGAGATTGCAGCTACCATTGGCGCTGATATTCCTGAATGCTTGGGTCGCGCGCCTCATGTTCAGAGGCTCTTCCCCAACTTCAAAGACGTTGAGAGCGACTACTACAAGCGAACTGGCATCTTCCCCATCATGCATTTGGTCGCCTTCCGTCGCGAGTTCTACGAGGCAAACAAATTCGTCGCATCAGCATTGTTCAATGCTTTAGAAGACAGCAAAGAGATTGCTCGAAAGCGAATGGAATCACTTGGTGCTCTAAGATACATGTTGCCGTGGCTAGGCCGAGATCTGGTTGAGATCAAGGAGACGTTTGGAGGAGACTGCTGGCCATATGGCTTGGAGGAGAATAGGAAGACATTGGAGGCACTAGTGCAGTTCCTTTACGAGCAGAACATGATTGAGCGGACAGTGCCTATTGAGGAGCTATTTGCTCCGGTTCGACGAATCAACTTTCGCATTGGTTAGATGGGATGAGATTCCATCTCTAGTATGATTATGACTTGTATAGATCTAGTGGGTATTTAGACTTGGATGTAGTATTATGTAACTAAGAAGAGTTATTGAAATAATAAATCCCCACGGATTATACAGTTATATAATCGTCCCCATCAACTGGTGACATCTGTCAAAAGAGTTTAGCATGTTCCATCCCCAACATTGAGTCTCTTCCCCGGATTCCATCCCAACTCTCCGGATCTCTCCTCCGCACAAGTCCCTTTGTATTCATTCTGCATTCGGCTTAATCGCTGTACCCCGCAATCTGAATTTAGCCCTCCGAATAATAAAACAAATCTGTGTTGAGATATGGAGAACGCCAAGTCGGAGCGCCAAGTCGGAGCCTGAGAAACGCCAAGTCGGAATACATTCCAACAAGTACCTCCAACAGTTCCTTCGGAGCGTCTCTCCGGATTTAGTTCAGAACTATCGCAGACTCAATTCATCCCACACAGCCCTACCCCGTCCGAGAAAACTCACTCAATAGATTCCAGCGTAATCCTGTCACAACTTTAAAATTTTCTCTTCGACTTTACCAGACTATTGGATCGACACGTGGTCACCAACCCCCCCCTACCCTACCGCCAAAACACCCCCGGATGAGACATCCCCATGGCAGTTTTTTTATTAGTCCGTCTTTCTCCTAGCCTCTGTCCTAGATCTTAGGCCAAAGCAATGTCAGAAAAAAGAAAGAAAAAATCGAGAAATAATTACAAAACGACTTCTATCCAGTGCTTATTACCCCGGAATCCCCAATTCCCCGCGGTCGGCGGACGCGGGGCATTAACAACCGGGCTTATAATAAACTCCTCCCCCCTACGCCCAGCCGTGGCTCATCCGCATAACTAGCACACAATAACGCGATGGGCGTAAAAGCGGCCTACACCGTTCTTATCGTGCTTCAATACTACGTCGTGTTATATCAACCCATGTTCTAATCCCTCCCCCCTGCGTTTTCCCTTTTATACCCGACGTCGCCTCCAGCCAACACTTTTCCTTTTTCCTTTTTTTCTCTCACTCCTCTCAACCCTCTTTCACCTTTTGCTTGCTCAAGAATAATTTCTTCAATCGCTTGCATCCAGCAATGGCGTTGAAAGCCAACCGCGTGGCACCTGCTGCGGCCCATGTGGAGGAGAGCCCGTCCGGGTATGAGAATGAGAGCAAGGAGCCAATCTCGGATCTGAAGCTTGATGCCAACGGTCTGCCTCTGGTCCCGCAGCCGAGCGACCACAAGGATGACCCTTTGGTATGTTGTTGCCACCATTCCTTATGAGAGCATCGACGATTGAGTGAGTGAGAGATGGTCGCTAATTAATGTTTTCAATGTGTTTTTTATAGAACTGGTCGTACTGGTACAAGTGCTTTGTCCTTGGTCTTCTCTGTCTTCTTGCCTTTGTCGTGCAGTGTAAGCTTCGTTCATCCCAATGTCGATTTTGGTCATGTTGTAACACGTTATTCGCGAATATAGTCGGTGCCGGCATGGTCCCCGCTGCATTCGGCCCCATTTCCGTGAGCTATGGAGTCACGAAGCAGCAAGCCAGTTATCTCACGACATCGTACACGCTTCTCGGTGGTGTTACGCCCCTGCTCATCACCCCCTTTGTCAACCTCTGGGGTAGACGCCCTGCTTACTTGGTACGCGAAAGATGCCCTTTTTTACCCCATGCTAGCGTTATATCGCCTGCTAACATGAGTTTCTGAAATAGCTCTTCACGCTGATTGCTATTGGTGGCAACATTGGCTCGGCATACGCGCCATCATACGGTACTCAGATTCTGTGCCGATGCGTTGTCGGTATCGGTGCTAGCGTTGCTCTGGCTATTGGTGGTGCCACGGTGAGTTTTACTCTTTGCTCGTGATTATTTGGCAGTATGGATAGGATACTGATATGATACGATGCATTAGATCTGCGACATGTTCTTCCAGGGAGAGCGTGGAAGATACATTGGTTTCTACGCCCTGGCCTTGACCAACGGTGTGAGTTTATGCCTCCTCCCATCATTTTTGATACCAAAACAGGCCTCGCTAACACGACTCCAATAGCCGCACTTTGGTCCCATTGCCGGTGGTTTCATCGCCCAAGACCAGGGCTGGCGCTGGATCTTCAAGATCAACGCCATCATGATGGGCGGCGTCCTCGCCGTCTACCTCGTGGCCTTCCCCGAGACGCTCTTCTCCCGCACCGAGTTCAGCACGCTCGAGAACCGCACCTACTGGGGCCGCCTGGCCTTCCGCGGCAAGGTCATCAACCGCAAGCTTAAGCCGTCCGACTTTCTGTCCAACTTCAAGATGCTCCGGTACGTGGCCGTCGTGCTGCCTTGCATCTACTACATGACCACCAACACCTACGGCTCCATCGTCTTCGTCTTGACGGCGTCGAGTATCTCGGAGAAGCTGTATCACTTTGACGTTGCGCAGAACGGTCTGCTGCTCGGTGTGCCGCTGACTATTGGCTGTCTCATCGGTGAGGCTTGCACGGGCTGGATTTCCGATTGGTTGATTAACCGATATGCTCGTCGTCATGATGGCTACAGAAAGCCGGAGGCTCGTCTGCACCTCGCCCCTCTCGGTTTGTTCTTGCCCGCCGGTCTCATCATCCACGGTGTGTCTGTATCCAACAAGGCGCCCTGGATTGCCCTGGCCATCGGCATGGCTGTCGCGTCCATCGGTGTTCAGGCCGGAACGACTCTGACGTACTCGTACATTTCGGATTGTTACAAGCCCCAAGCCGCCGAGGTGTCCACCATCATCAACCTGTTCCGTCAGATCTTTGCCTTTACCATTGGTTTCTACGCACTGCCGTTCGGTGAGAGCGCTGGTTTCGACGTCGCGTGGGGCGTGTTTGCCGTCATCAACTTTGTCGCGTGGCTGCCATTGCTGCTGTTGATCTACCGCGGCGAGGAGATCCGCAAGGCTCAGGGCGTGCCTGAGATGCACCAGGACTTGTAGATGGTCGGTCACGTAGAGTGGTTGAGCATGTACGGCGTAGATAGCTACTTCGCTTACACTGTCACGTATACGTCTAGCTGGCAGGTTTAATATAATGATGCATGCTCTATTATATCCTTCATTCAAGTCTTGAGTCGCGTCAGAAATCATATCATGAAACATGAAATCACATCACAGATCATACCACGTATCATGCCATCTTCTCCACACTATGAGAGCTCTGTACAATGCGAGTTTCGTTAGCGTTTGATCCATGGATAGCTTTAATTCTGCTAAGATGAACCCCAGAGCTCCAATTCAGCCTTTTGGTGGTCAGAAACGCTCAAGTGACTCCAACAACTGAGCTACCGAACGGCAAACAAGGGTCAGTGTCATTATAGCGTCCAAACTGGAGACGATTTTATCTCCCCGAACCTCTGCACCCACACACGTGCGCGGGAATATTTTCCGAGCCAATGAATTCCTTAGCATCTCCTTGCCCCTCGCCGGATATCAGCTCCGGATATAATTCTCCCAGCTTCAGTTCTTCGTATCGAATAGACATCACGAGCTATGCACCCCACGCCTCCGGACTCCGGATTCCGCCCTCCGCCCCCAAACCATCCCCCACGACCTTGAGAGATAGCCCGGCAAATAATCTGGAGAGCAAGCAAAAAACGAAGCGGCGTGAAACATAGAACCGCAAGAAACTAAGATTTCAACCAAAATAATCGCCAATTATCTTTTTGCCGCCATTTCCGAGCAGCTGAGACGAACCGTCTGACGAACCCGGAAAGATGGAGCTACTATTGATCTGACCGTTCTTCTCGGAACTCTTCCCCCCATTCCCATCTTTCTTCTTCTTCTTGTCCCATTTCTTTCTGCTTTCTTTCTCTTGCGTCTTTGTTTCGAAACTCTCTCCAGCGGCAACTATATAGACTAGGCAGATCTCGTGCTTTTCTACTTTGCATCTTTCTTGGCATACATTAGTATACAATCTTTCCCTCCCTCTTCTCCACACTCGGGTAAAGAAGCAAAGATCGAAACCAAACAGCAATCATGGCCATAGTGAGCAAACCGACGGTCTCGCCAGACACCTTCACCGTCGCCATTCTTGGTGGTGGTATCGGCGGTCTTGCCATGGCTCTCTCTCTGGTCACGCAAGTCCCTTCTCTCAAGAACATCACCGTCTACGAACAGGCGCCGGCTTACAAGGAGATCGGAGCTGGTATCGGCATCGGCGTCAACGCAGGCCGCATTCTCAAACGCTACGGCGTCTTCGATGCCGCAAACGCCATCTCGGGCGACCGCAACGGCATCCACCGCAGTTTGAGACGCTGGGACAACGGTGACGAGATTGTTTCCGTCAGCGCCATGGACGAGGACGAGGCCAACGGTGGCGTTCGCCAGTTGAGCGTCCACCGCGCCGAGTTTCTGCAGGTTCTGTACGAGCATATCCGGGACACGACGTGCGCCAAGCTGGAGACGAACAAGAGGGCTGTTGAGATTGTCGATGATGCAAAGGGCGGCAAGGCAACCGTTCACTTCGCCGACGGTACCAGCGCCACGGCTGATCTCATCATTGCCTGCGATGGCATCCACTCCAACGTTCGCCGCCAGCTTTCCAAGGCCACGGACATGGTGCCGCGTTACTCAGGCCGCGTCTGCTACCGTGGTCTGTTGCCCATGTCAGCCGTTGAAAAGGACTGGCCTTACGATTCGTTCGCAATCTCATGGCTGGGACCGGACAGGCACTTCCTCGTCTTCCCCATCTCTCAGAACAAGACGCTCAACGTCGTTGCCTTCGTGAGCAAGCCCGAGGCCGAGCTTGGTGATTTGAAGGAGAGTTGGTCAAGCACCGCCCCGCGATCAGAAGTTGAGAAGGAGTTTGCTGGCTGGGAGGAGACGGTCCAGAAGGTGGTTCACGCAATGGAGCCGAACCCTGGCAAGTGGAAGCTCAACGACCGCGAGCTGCTCGACCACTGGGTGTACCTTGGCGGAAAGGTTGCCCTTAGTGGTGACGCCGCTCACGCCATGCTTCCTCACCAAGGTATGAATCTCTCCAATCTCGATGAACATGAGTACGTATAAGAGATTAACCTTTCAATATCAACAGGTTCCGGTGCCGGCCACGCAATCGAGGACTCATTCGTCATGGGCCAAGCCGTCAAAGCCTTCTTCGAGAACCCTTCTCTCGGCCTAGAAACATACATGAAGCTATACCAAGAGACGAGACTGCCTCGCGCCCAAAAGGCCCAGCTGACATCCCGCCAAGCCGGCGACGTCTATGAGATGCAAGGCCCCGACTTCGACGGCCTGCACTTTGACCAGCGTCTACAGGTTATCCACGATAAATTCAAGGACCGCATGACGTGGGTTTGGGGCCACGATCTGGAGGCCGACTTCATTGCAACTCGGACTCGTCTTGGGCTTTAAAGGGGAACAAGGGGGGGATTTTTACATGTAGTTGAACTTTTGGCATTTGGTTTTCGTTTCTGGCTATAATTTTCCTTTGTATCTTGTATATGATATCACTTGGGTGTATTTCTGCTACGAACTTATACAATGCTGTCATTGGTACATAGAGCGAAATATAAAAACATGAATACCATAATAGAAATGGCGTGAACACGGGATATATGTAGGCTTTGGATTAAGCACTATGGTGGTTTGGCGAGCTGCTAAAAATAGTTAAAATGCACAATAAGCTTAAATCCCTTGATCAGATTGCCCGGTCACGTCGTATTCCTCCTGCATATACCTGGGTAATTGGGAACCAATCATTCACAACCGATCAACACCAACAGTAGGGATTGGGCAACTTTATTTTTTGTGGAAAGAGTTATCTTAACAACCTTGAAACATTGGTGAGAAAACTGATGGAGTATCATAATAATCGACAATGCCTAGTGGTATTATACAAAACTTCCGTAAATGATTGAACAGCATCAAAAATAGTCAGGTATTCATCCTTGCGCCCAGGGATCCAAAAACCCAGGCCCCCACCCACTGCTATCTAACAAAGCGCTCTGTATGACGGCAAACTCGTCATCAAAGCCAGCCCACATGAATCCATCGTCACCGTATTCCACTCCTCGGTCGTTATTGTCTTGCTCTTGATATCCCTCCCCGTTATAGTAACTGACCCCACTGTGCTCCTGGCCGTGGTCTGGTACGGCCATGGATCCTTTACCTACACTTCCGCTGGTAGCTGAACCAGCATTGCTGCTGCTCTGGTCAGAATCAGTTGTGGAGCTTGCTGTACAGGCCTGGCCGTAACCTGATGCACCATCCTCCTTCACCGACACAGCTTGCTTACCACGCACAGCTAATGGTGGCGCGTTGGCGGAGAGCGTTCCGATTGCTTGCAACCGTGTTTGCAGTTGTTGGAATGAGCGGACGTAGCGAGAGGCTAGGGGATGTATCTCGCCACCAACACGCTGTAAGTGATCCGTACCCTGGCCGATGACGACGTCGATATCTGATGAAGGGGGGAGGTCAATCTTTGACCGCGATTGAGGGTCCAGGTGCTGATAGACTAGCAAGACACTCAAAGCCGTGAAGACGTCTTATCATCGAAACAACAATTGTAAGCATATTGATGAATAGTGCAGATGGGAGGATTATCAAGAGATGTGACATACAGTGTGAGTTATGCCATGAGGAAGATAGAAAGTTGTTTTGTTGTAAGAGATGCACCTGGTGGATTGCATCGTGGGCCGCCATGACACAACGTCTGATGCACAAATGTGCCAGATCAAGCTGAAAAGGATCGGATATGCGACGCAAAATATGGTACAGCAGTGTTTGACGGTGAATAAGGAGACGGATATGAAGAAATCTATCAAGTAAGGACGTCAGTTAGCCGAATATCCAGCCCGGGCGGCAGTCAACATGTCATAATTGTATGGTGATGACCTACCGCATGAGTAAAACGCTCCGCTGTCGCTCAAAATGCCAATCTGTCACGTCCGAACCTGCGCGTAAATGTGGAGGCAGCATGCTCTGCCACACGACCAGCTCGCCATCTAGCTGGATCGACATGGCTAGGAGATCCGGTAAGTCAGCTTTGATGCGAACTCTCGTGTCCCGGCCTGCTGAAGACGAGGTACTACTACCGCCAGCGCTACCGCTGCTGCTTGGGGTATTGTCGTACAAGGTGTCGAGTACCTTTGCAAGCAGGCGGCATTGGGTCACGATATGGTTGAAGTATTCAATCTTGGAAGGGACATTGCTAGGCTGAGTATACTTGGACTCTTCATTGAGATATTCATCATCAACCGCAAGAGGCAAGCCGACGCGAATGGCGGGTATATCGTGAATCGTGGGCGGCCGACCGACCTTGATGCTGACGAGGCGGTCGATAACGAAGCAACCCCACCACACACGCTTGCGTATCTCCTGCTCGATAATATCCTTGGTGAAGTTGGTAGAATCGAGATAGAGCCCCAGCTCTTGTGCTGTGCGGATTGCCAGCCCAATAACAGTCCAACAATGGTTGAGTTCCAGCGAGCCGTGTAAATAATGACTCATCAGCAGCAATGCCTGGACGAGCTCAATCCTGGCTTGTAAGATGCTGGAGAATGCCAACATCTTGGCTCGTTTGAAAAAGCGAGAACGGTCCGGCTTTGTTGGTGCCGCGCCGGCTGGACTTCCGTGATATGGAGGACGGATCTGCACATGCTCGCTTCCAAATGCAAATACCATGTTGACTAACCCCAGCCAGGCCAAGTTGTTAGGAGCCGCCTCTTCACCGCCCACGTCCTTGCTGAGCCACAGTTTCGAATAACGGTGACGAAACGTTCCTTCATGTAGACATGGATTCAGTGGATGTCGATGTTTGAAATATGATGTCACCAAGCGGTCGGCTAATGATCGCTGGGGTAGTTCAAACAAGTCACTACTTCCGTTGCCGTCCCCTATTCCTCCCCCAATGCCCAGAAGCTCTTCGAATACGACTGTTGACGGCGACGACTCTGCCAGGGATTCTGAATTCAAGCCACCCATTCCGGATGCCTCTGCAATACTTCTTCTCGCGGTAACGGCGTTTCCTAGTCGTCCCGTCGTTGAGGCTTTGGAATTTGTAGTGCCACCAGTGGTGGCACCTGTTGTAGGAGTTCCGGTAGTTGCTACTGAGCTGCCAGCTGTAGCTTCGGTGGTATTCGGTGACGTTACTTTTGTGATGAAATCGAATGCTGATGACTCCCCAAAGTACTCTCCCGGTAAGGCGGAATGGCTACTCCTTGGTCGATCACTGGGAGGATTGCTGTCAGACGGGCGTTGTCGACTTCCAGGTGCCGTCGAGTGTTCGTTGAGTAACATGCTCCGGTCATGGTGGTGTTCTGGTCTCCCGTCTGCTGTAGATATAGGTGAAGAAGGATTTGGGTATTGGTGCTGCCGCGGACCGTCGCTTGGATTACGGTCAGAGGATAGTCGCGGAGGAGCGAAAGGCGATTCCTTTGAGTAAGTGCTCTCATGGCTGCAGGGATAGGGGCATTTAGTTGGGAATACGAGACGAGGGAAGTGTCAGGTTGTTAGACTTACGGTGAGTGAGAGCCCTGAGGTTGCTGGTTGGCTATATGCTCCTCGAGCATACGATTCCGTGCTCGTAGATTTTCAATGTACCTGTGAGGCGAGTGAGTAAAAGGGGGGAAGGCAACAGGGGCCAATGGCTGGCTTATTCGCTGGCGGTATAAAGATAGATGGGGTTTTAAGCAAGGGGAAATGAGAGAAACTGAAAGATGAATGAGAATTGTAGACAGAAAGACAGATAACATACTCTTGCGTCACGGAAATCTTGGTTCGTTGGGGGCTGTAGACACACTCTTGGCGCCGCTCCTTGCACGGCCCGCAAGAGGGTCGCTCGCCATCGCAGCGGTTCTTTTTGGTGCGGCAGAGATTGCAGGCATAGCCTATGCGGCGCCGTTTCGTCGGAGGCTGTTGTTGCTGCTGCTGCTGCTGTTGTTGTTGTTCTTGTTGCTGTATCTGCGGCTTCTGGTCGTGAGAAGAACTTGAGGATGAATGATTGATGATGTCGGGATGGCGGGAAGACTGCTGTGGATGTGGCTGAGATTGAGGTTGATGAGGCAGCGGCAGCGGTTGCGGGTGGTGAGGTTGAGGTTGCGACTGTGGCTGAGCCTGAGGCTGCGCGTACTCGTAGGGCAGAGGCAGATGATGGCCTCTCCCCGCGTCGACGGGGACAGACGGCGTGGGAAAGGGCGCGGTGGGCGAGGCGGCCATTTAGCCAGTAGCCAGTGCCAGTGCTCGGTCCAGTCCAGTCAGCAGACAAAAGCAACTCTCCACCGTCCCCAGCTGAGAATGGAAACGAAGATGAGCGGACAAGTGATCCGGGCCTCGCGATCGGAGTACGGAGTCGAGGGTTATAAATGCGAGGTGAGCGGTGCTTGGCGGTGGAACATCCCCACGCCGCCCTAAAACCGTGCGGGGATTTGGTCGCTCTAGGCCGTCCACCTTCACCTTCTGGGCTCAGTACAGTTAGGTAGGTTCCATTTGCTAGCGGGAGGACTGGACGCTACAGTGCAGATGTACAGTAGTCGGGGGTGCTAGCTCGATGCATCTTCAGTGGCAATTAGCGTTCAGCCTTCTGGTCGGCTAGGGGGGGTTACTTTACTTTACAGGCTACTGTACAGCGCTACTGTACAGGCAGCAGAGATCGGCTTAGCGAGCGAGGATTACGCCAAGCCAAAGCCATCGAGCCGCATCTACCGAGGAAGACGAAACAGGGGACGGAGACACATGCATTAACAACAGCCATGCAATGCCATGCAAATGCCATGCAGGGGGGCCTGACAACGTTGTAATAATTCGTATTCAGGTTGCATTTTTACACCCAACAGCATTTTTTGATGTTGCAACTGGAACCTTGGAAATCAAATTTATTCTGTACATGCATCCAACCAACAACCAAAATCACATGCTGCTCATACTCAACAAAACATCCATGATATATGTACACATTCATAATCACACCGAGTTCTTATACAGCGAGTGCCCCTTCACCTCCGCCACCCACAGCGGCCACGGCTTCGCTGCTCCCGCAATCGCCGTCATGCCCGCATCGTGAGCCTCGCGCTCGGTGAAGAACTGCACATCCCCCATGCCTCCCGAAAGCCCCGCGGCCGCCCTCTGGATCTGCGCGTTCTGCTGCGTGTAGATGCTCTTGCTGATGGCCATCTCGATGTTGTTGGCCGTCGCCACAAAACCGTGTCCACGCATTAGCGCAACTGGATATTTTGGCAATCCTTCGCTATCAGCAGGGCCCAACGCCTTGGCCAGGGATGCTCCGGCCCCTGTGCTGCGGACAAGCATGTCCTGACTTGCTGACGGATCCTCACGATACACCGTTGCGGCGTCCCAGACGGGAACGGACGTGCCTAGGAAGCCGGCCATGTGGAAGCAAGCCCGCAGAGGCGTTGACGAGATGGAGAATGGGACGACTTCAAGTGAATGAGAGTGCACGACTGACTGGACCTTGGGGTATGCCTTGTAGATTTCAGAGTGGATAAAACGCTCTGAGAAGCCTGTGACCATCTCATAGTCAGTAGAGATCATCGCTGTCTGGTTGGTGTCCTGGTGTCCTGGTAAACAGACCTCTAGGCGCATCTTTCTGCAGGGCTTCGCCAGTCTCGACATTATACAGCACCATGTCGTCTGTTGAAGATACAAGCGCGGGTGCCATATAACGCGACATCATAAACACCGACTCACTCAATCGCACCGACAGATGGCCATACGCGTCCACCACATTGTAGTAGTGCAAGATGTGGCATCCATGGATGTACTTGCGTATCAATTCCAGCTCATCAGCTGGCAAGCGATGGCTCTTGCTGCCCGAGTTTGTAGCCATTGTAAGGAGTAACTTCTCACGATGACACGAACGAGCTCAGCTACGCGTATTTGTCTGGTAGTGGATGGGATGCAACGGGATGAGCAAATGGCTTAGCCAAGGTTAGGCGGTGCTTCTAGACGACTTCCTAATCCACGCAGGGAATCGGGAATTAAAGAGGCGCACAGACGGATCAACAACAGCCTCAAATACCGTCGACGCGGGTGTTGATTTCGACCGAAAGCATCCTAATCAACAACAATAACGCCGTTGCTAGTGAACAAAAGAGTCGGGGAGATAAAAACAATCGTAGCGCCGGAGATGCACTCCGTGAGCTCACACTAGCCAAAGCGGGGCAAGGCGCCGTCAGATGGGGAAAAAGATCCAATTCTCGTACTCCAGCTGAGGCGCAAAATAAAGCAGCGACAGGTGGAGAGAACGCCAAGATCTGTGGATTCTGGGGTTCAATTGTTTTTGGACTCGTCGGATTGCTTCAGGCTGACGTGGGGCGGCTGTAATAGTTCCTGTTCCTTGAGGTCTCATGAACAGCGGTCTCGGAAGTTGCACGAGCTTACCATCAAATGACTATTGCATTATTTTGTCTTGTCTCTTGTTAAATTTCCGATTGAGTAATGAGAACAAGCGCATGTTGCAATGTGGAGTCAACACCAACCAATGTCAGAATCAATGAAACAAATCATCTATATGAGTCGACGAGGGGATGATGCTTGATATTCGACGTGTAACACGATGCTTCACATGAAATCGAAAAAAAGGTGATAGGCATACCCCTCCTCCTCCACACTTAAACGACGCAGATCTCTTGACATGTTTCACTGATTCACATCGTACTCGTAATAAGTGGAGGAGGGGGTGAGGCCCTTGTAAGAATTAGCATCCATCTAACCACCCCGGGAATGTGGAGATGGTCGCACGAGACCCTGAGTTGTGAGATGCTGAAGAACTTTTATTACAATATTCAAGTTCAAGAAAGAGTGGTATATGTACATATGTAAGTATGATGACAATTGTAAAGAATGAACCATATGTACTATTCACAGCCCAATATAACCCCCAAGTATCAATCTCAACCTCATCCACTTACTTACTGTTGTTACTGCGGCTTGCAGAACCTGAACAACGGGCCCTCACGGTTGCCGGTAACACAAGCCCACATATTGTGATAGCTATCTCGGATGATACCCGCTCCCGCAAAATCGTGGCAGATCTTGCCATTCACATTCAACGCCTTATTGTCCAAAACTTCTTTTATACCCTCTAGAAAGTCGTAGAACACATCAGGGTTGCCTGCCTCGATCGTCCTACAGTAGAGATCATCGTAACCCGCAACTTGCTTCAGGTGCTTGCTGTAATTATGGTCCTTCTTGGGGATTTTGTCTAGAATATCCAGGATTCTGGGATCTTTCGATTTTGCGTCTGGCTTCTCGCAAACATGAATATGAATCTGCTCGTGCGTTCTTGACCGAACAGAGTTCAACGCCAGTGCATGGGTTCCACGATCGTAATTTCCTTGAGCAAATTTCCAGCCTACCTCGTATCGCGAAGGGTTGTTGGCCATCTCCAAGATTCCCGGAAGCAGGTCCGTGGTAGTCACGAGTTTCTCGTCACTGTTCGTCAAAACGAATATCGCCTGGTTCGGAGGTGGGTTCGAATACGATGCCGTCTTGTTACAGTCATCATACCTGAGACAGGTACAAAGCGTGGAAAACCATAAGCCGCATCCCGTACATTCCTTGTCGTCATCGGTACATCCGACAGCGCAATGAGGGCTCTTGGTGAATCGTAATTGGATATCGGCGTTGCCAAAGCAGGCTTTACATCCAAGTTTATGGCACGTGTCTTTGTGTTGAGGCTCGCAGGCACACTTTGACACGTCCATCTGACGGATGTCCTTGATGGAACAAGCAGGTGGGGGTTTAGGCGACGGCGACGGTTTTCCTTGCGCTTGTGCCTCTATAAGAGACGCGAAGGCAGATAGGAGAATCAGGAGGAAGCCGGTGAATTGAGCCATGATGCAGATGGTTCCTTGTGTTGAACGAACAGATCAAGCGCAACAATGGCGATTTACTTCATTTGTGACAATGAAATACTTTGACCAGAGGGAATTGTAACAATTTCTTTCTCCTTTCATTCATTTTGTTTTATAGCTGAAATCGTCTCCAATTTTAATCATCAGTCTGGTTGAACTAAGTGCAACTATCTCCAAGCCGATGTGTCGCTTGGAATGCTTGGACTTAGGAGTGTCCGACCCTCCCGCCAAGACTGATGCCTGGCACCCATCCACTCATCTGTCTGGAGAGAAGATGTCCGTGGGTCCAGCTTTCTGATCTCACATCTCGTCATGAGATTAATCACGCCGCTTTGCTGGCGTTTAAGATCCAATATTTCTGTTACGCCGATTTGTGCCCGAGTACATTCAGTCTTCGGTAGCGCTTTTGCTCACCCAGCCTAAGCCACCTAATAAAAGGCGTCAGTCTACAACGACTGATTTTGCTGGCATGTGCTCTATGGGCGGATAGTATTTGATCGGATGTCGATAGTTTCGGACAATTGTGTACATGGCAGAATACCCAGTAAGTGGCTGTGTCTGTCTGGAGGCGCAAGTCAATTGCTGATGCCAACGGCTGATGCGTCGTATAAACCGCCTCTTGGGTACAACTTCTAAGTATATGCCCGGCATGCTCACTGATCCGCGCCATAAGTTGTTTAAGCTTCATTATGTGAAGGGTCTTGTGTCACGAAAAGGGTATAATCCACCCCCGCATGGGCTGATTCGTGTTCAAGAATGGTCTTGACTTAAGACTAAACCAAAGTCTAACGATCTCCTGCAGCCTAACTTAGAAATCTGCCGATGGCCCGATTCTGTGGCTGTCAACGCGCCAGACAATTTTCTCGATGCAGTCGCCATGCGTTTGATCTCAATGGGAATATAGAGCCCAAATGGCGGCGCACTCAGCTTGGCGCAATGGATTCAGCAGACATCAAGTTCCTTCTACCGGTTAAATATCCCCAAAGTATGCAATTGTTTCAGAAAGACATCTCTTTGCTCTAGTTCTCCGGGGGCATCGAGAAAGGATCAAAGAAGTTTGCGGTTGAGGATCGCTAGTCCCACTCTATAACCTTCACGTCAAGATGCGCCTTTTCCTAATGAACACTAGCAACAAGGCATTGCCGTCACCAATCATCGTTTAGACACAAATTAAATCTCCAATTCAATTGGTTCAACTTCAAAACCATTGCTTTTTGCCAAGGCTGCCCTATAAGGCGAGTACGGATACACGGCAGGAATAGCTCTTTCAATAGTTCCATACTTGGCACACAACTAATTGCGTTCTTATGCTATATTTCCTCACCTGTTTATTTCTACAGGTGACACTACCGCAGCTCTTCTTCATCTAGAAGCCCAGCTGAAACAAAGTTCATCCAGCTTTACTCAAGGCTGCTTTGCCACTTTTTAAATGGCATTTCTCCGAAGTTTGAGCCACTCACTCTGACTAGGCCAGCGCACACCGATCCCATGCCCTAGATCAAGCCGCGTGGGGAATTCACAGCCCTTTTTGAAAGTATATATCAGATTTTTAAATGACCAACTGAATCCCAGATGCTCTGATGAGAGGGAATGACATGTGACCTTCTTTAAACCGTAGACATTCGGATATCGGTAAGACGACAGCCACAGAAAAGTACTCGTATCCATTACAAGCCCATCAGCATATAAAAGCGAGATATTTGTCTGCCTAATTAGAACTCATACCCGTATTACCTAATGGCTCTTTTGAGATGCCAAGAAAAGTCAACTGCCGAAACAGGCTCGGAGAATTGTTTCAACAGCAATCTGCTTTATCCTTGTCTGCCGCAGTGGATCATTCAGCCGTGCCAAGTGTCTTTGCTTGGCATATTATGTTGGTTCGCAAAAGTCTTGGCGTACTTGAATCGGAAGGTCCATCTTCCGGGTGATCGTTTAGTAGTTTACGACCGGTAAAGCCGAAAAAATGTGACGCAGAGTAAGACATTCGATCTGTAAGGAGATGGATACTCTCTTAACTTATTAATACACTTTGCATTGATGTATTACTCAATGGATTGGGAGTAGTTTCCCATTTTCATATTGTTGGATGACACTGCGCTTGGGATCACATCATAGCAAACCAGGGCACAGTCGAGCTCGATCATAGGCAACAATCACAATCCCTGAAGATATTCACTTCAACTTAGACAAGAAGGGCATTTACACAAATAATTGGCGAATTTCTGATTCGCCATCTGGTGTGACTTCGCTTTTACCCACAAGCCCAGACTAGGAATAGCTTGAGAGGCTGCTCAGGTCAAAAGCCACAGGAACCTTTTAAACAAAGGAAACTTGGCTCGTCATATATAGAGTTTTCCTTCATGTCTAAGGCATAACTTGCCAGTATTTTATGCCGAAAATTAAAATGAAGGCGCTGAATGTTGGGATATTGGGCAACTTATCTCCATAAGATAAAGCTGGCTAGTCACTCCATGTCATCAATATAAATTCTATGCAAGCTTATTATCGCATGGTTCGCTCAAATCATCCTTCAAATCATGTCATTTCAAGCTGAAGACGATTGCTTTCCAAGTCAACCATCATGGCAACATGGTATAGCCTACCGGTCGAAATCCAGACGATGATTCTAAAGCTGCTCCAATCTCACAGCGATAGCGGTACTACAAGCAACTATGCAGCCGTTTCGAAGGAGTGGCAGCTATACTTTGAGAGATTCAATTTTCGACGCTTGATTCTCCACCAGTCATGTATCCCAGAATTTGGTCGAGTCGTCCGCCACCACCGGAGGGGCATGGTCAAGCACGTTTGGCTACGAGTTGAACTTGCTCCATACGTCTGCCCCGCTTGCGAATGGCCGGAGAGGCCATTTGAGATTTTAGATAATAACCAAACTTTTACAGCAGCTATATATCGACTACTCGAAGTCTTCAGCACCTGGAAGAAAAACGGACAGTATGGTGTCTCTAATGGCGGATTGGTCTTGGAGCTCAGCGCTTATTCGCCGAGCGACTCAGAGCATTTTTTCAAATACCCTCTTGGCAAAGACGATTACCCCCACAAATACGATGAAACCTGCATAGTAGATGATTCCGTAAAAGCTGGGCCCTCAGACAATCTCCCAGAAGATCATACCTCAGAGAATAATACCTCTCATCGGACTTTCGATACCCCGTATATCAGAGTCACACCGGGAACTTGCCGCCTCTTTGGAAGTCTTCTTAAACTCGATTATGGAAAGCTCGATATTCCAAAGGCGAATAGAAGGCTGCCAGGCGTTTCAGTTGTCAAAGCATTGCTTCACCGCCGACGGTATCCTCGAAGTTTCCACCCTGATACATTGCTCAACATTTTGGAGAGCTTGCATGGTCTGGAGAGCATGGTACTGGAGCCTTGTATTCACGATTACCCATGTCCCGACAAGAGTAAGTGTTAGACGTAACAGAATGTATTTACACATACTCACCGTGTGTAGATGCCCAATGCGGATTCGATGTGTTTTTACGCCAACTTGGTTCTCTAAAGCGCCTTTCTATCTATGGCGATCACCAGGATGTTGGCACAAATGGGTATCATCCCTACAAGATTATGCCATCTTTGGGATGGACATTGACGGATGAGAGCCACTCGTTCGAGCATCTGTCAATCGCCTTTCTAGCAGATGCAAAGGACTTTTTTCAGGACTTTTGGCCAGGTTATGCGCCAAAGTCCGCCGACATGTCACGGAGCGGAGTACAAAGAGCTCTTCTATCTCGTCTATCATCTTCCGGACGTCGTGCTATGGGCAAACCCCGCAGGTCACCAGATTTCGAACGAAGGCTTGCTAAAGAATTCAAGCGCATCAACGGAAAGCAAAGAATCCCTCCATCAATCTATAAGCCTACATGGCCGAATTTAGAGTCAATAGCACTCACCTCGTCGCTGTTCGATGTGGCCGCGGATACAAAGTCTATCAACAATTTCCTCCGGGCTGCAGCAGGTGCTGCTTTGGAGATGCCCAAGTTACAGACCATGGAAATGTTCAGCCAAAGGGCCATGAGTGTGTTCGTTTTCCAGTACTGCCGTAGACTGGACGGAATGCCCACAATCACTATATCCAGTTCATGGTCTCACCCTCTTGAGCCGGAAGTAGTGAGCGCTTGGGATCGTGTAGGGCATAAGCATGAGAATACTGGGCATAAAATTGCCGTCATACGAAAGCGCTTGAAAAGATTCTTCTTCAGAAATCACGGCTCCGTCGTTTATATGTTAAAACTTCAGGACTTGATACTACACCCGGTATCGTTGTGCCAGTTTATATCCGAATTCGGCTGGCAAGACACATTTGCAGGTGCGTTTGGGCCGCAGGCGCAATAAAACAAAGAGATATACGGAATCTATATAAGTTAGGTATTGCCTGACTTTATGTTAGCTGAGGTATAATGTCAATTTGTGAACTGTTTAACGGCTGGTCGCAAATATATGGACAGCTCCAAAAGCCGCCTAGTCTCTTTTCTATTGTTTTGTATGATTGTCATATATCATCATTCCGTCTTTATACACTCATGGATAGTTCTGTGCAGCTTCTTCAGGCTTACTTAATCACCGCAAGCCGGAATGAAGACGTGACAAGCAAGTCCCACGCTGCGGAACCTGCCACCGGGCTGGCCGGGTTTGTGAATACACCGTCGGCTTAAACAAAGAGCCATGCGAAACGAACCAACGAGTAGAATGTTTAGAAGAAGTATAGGTGTAAATTTGAGCAATTAATCTATTTCTTAGGATGCCAACTGCGATACTTTGCTATGGCAGATGCTACAGTTTATGGGACAGTTTAACATAGATAGTCTGAGCCTTCTCATATGTGGTTGCCTGTACCAAGGAGCAGTTACGGCTCTATGGTACTTTAAAGAAAGTGGAAATGAACAAATGCATAGAAATTTGGAAACGTTGGAATCCAATTTGTAAACGAAATGGAGCATTGCGGGTGGGCTCCCCCTCAAAACTAAAGATTCATGGCTTCGAGCACCAGTCCATGCCAGGTGAATATCACATGTTAGTGGAGAAGCAACGTTTGCGAGTGGATATCCTTTGAAAGAATGATGGAGATCAGTTATGGATCAAGGACAGCCATGCGGGTGTGCGGCTGCAGCCGCACCACCTATGCGTAGTTTACAGTCTACCATCGGAAAAGTACCGAACGTCGAGATTCAATAGATGCGCAATGACGCCATTTTTACTGATTTCATTGCCACTTACTTCAGATTCGACTCAGAAACAACCATAGTTTGCCATTTGACAGCTGGGGATGATATTGCTGGACTGAAAAACATAAAGGGGTCGCCTTCAGGACCGTCCACGTCACATCCTCATCCGCAACTAGGGGATTGCTGATCACTTAAAGTCTCTTCTATTGCCTCTAAATTACATCATCAATTTCAATAAATACACAATTATGGGATCGATAGGAAAGCTGATTTTAGTTACCGGTGCGAATGGCTTCATTGCTGCACATACTATTATTGCTCTTCTGGATGGGGGTTACCAAGTCCGGGGAACCGTCCGATCCAAGGCTTCAGCTGAGACAGTTCGAAAAACTTACTCTGCCTACTCAGATAGGTTTTCTGCGGTGGTTGTTCCCGACATGAGCGTTCAAAACGCCTTTGATGAGGCAGTCAGGGGCATTGACGGAGTAAGGACCTCCATGAAGCGTGTTACAAAGTGAATACTAATGATGTTGACTCAGGCTCTGCATATCGCCAGTCCATTTACGTTCAGTATTAAAGATAATGAGGCCGACTTGCTGATTCCGGCTATTGAAGGAACTAAGAACCTGCTGAAGTCAGTTGCTGCACATGCGCCTCAAGCCAGGCGAGTTGTCGTCACCTCCTCTTCTGCTGCAATGGTCGATTTCTCCAAGGGCCTTTGGCCAGGTCACGCATATAACGAGGCTGATTGGAACGAAATCACCTATGACTACGCCAAGACTGCCGATGCGCCGGTAGCTTACTGCACTTCCAAGGCTCTGGCGGAGAAAGCTGCTTGGAAATTCGTTGACGAGCAAAAGCCTCATTTTGACCTAACTGTCCTATGCCCTCCCATGGTCTTTGGTCCTACAGCCCACGCCTTGTCCTTGTCGACAATGAATACCAGCGCTTGGGATATTTACCGATTCCTGTCAGGCGAGCTCGACGATGTTCCTGACACAGCTTGCTGGGCATTTGTTGACGTACGAGATCTTGCTAATGCCCACGTCCGTGCTCTGGAGATTCCTGAAGCTGGAAATGAGCGCTTCTTTATCGTCAGTGAGCGTTACAGTTACCAGAAAACGGCCGATGTTCTACATGCGTCTCCCCGTATTGCCAAGGACGATAAAAAGTTGATCCCTGTTGGGAAGCCGGGGCAAAATTACCCATCGCCAGAGGTATACGAGGTCGATAACTCAAAGTCAAAGAGAATTCTCGGATTAAACTACCGCTCGTTTGAAGAATCTATTGTTGATGCCGCGGTCAACATGATTCAAATTCGCAATAATGCCATTTAATAGAAGCGTTGTGACCGATCCAAAAAGAGCGACTGGATATAAGAGTTCAATTCAATGCAGTGATTCAGATAGTTTGCTTAGTCATTTGTTAACAAAGGATCAAGACTTAATACAACATCTCTACTCATTTGTGACCCTTGTACTCGGGGCGGTTTCCTGTTCTCTATGGATCTAAGCGCTTGACATACATGTAGTTATCCCATCTAAAACCGCCGCGCCGGACCAAGAGTGGCTTGCACCAGATTTCAAGCCCCTTGAATGTTATTGTATAGCAAGTCCGATCCAATGAAGACTGTCCTCAACTATTATCAGACTTTCATCGCAGCAAAAGCCTTTGTCTGATGATCCTTGGGGTTCATTTCCCATCATTCGATTCGACAGCAGGCAAGACAAAGGAAAAGCTGGGTGCCTAGCGTCCTAACCTCTTCTGGAAAGCCTTTGTTGCTACTTGAATTGATAAAGAACATGTAAATACAAATTCACGGCAACTAAGCCGATTCCGACTTCGATAGCATTTCATACTAATTGGTGTTTGAAGAGCTTGGTGGTTGCAGCAAGTTCCGACCATGATCTCCTTAGATGGGCCAAAACTAGATGGCGCGAACGACATTCACGACATTATTATTGAGTGCAAAAGACTCTTTGAGTCACTAGCTGAGCGAGTCAAGCTAGATCATGGCGAGAAGGATGTCAAAACTGAAAAAGGCGAACAAGAAGATGAACAGATGGCTTTTGGAGACCGAACTGGTAGCTCAAAGCTAAGCACTGACGAGATGGAAAGTCGCTTCAACCTCTGGATCGACGACTCTGGCGCTCTGGCGGCCGACGTCAGCAGATCTCTCGATACGCGCCTGTCCGCCCGCCGAAACATCAAGGAGATGGTCACTGATCTACTCCAGATGCTCGCCAGGAATCTCAAGTATCGTAAGTCTACGTCCGCAATGCAGCTACATATATATTAATCTACTATTACTACTGTTTCTACCACTCCTATTGCTTCTATGTTACGCTAACAACGAATTTCCAGTTCACAAGGGCGACAGTGCCAATCCGGATGTTCCAAGAGGCAGTAGCGGCAACAACAGTGACACGGATGAGTTGGAAGGCGAAGCCAGGCATGCGATCCAGTATGCTCTGGATGAACTCCACTTCATGGCGTCTGCCATCCGTAAGTCAGAAGAATGCAGTCAGAAGCACAGCCTCTCGTCTAGTTTCCATCAAAACTATGACAGCTATCTCAAAGAGCAGGCCTGTCGCCGCGTCCGGCAATACTTCAGAGACGCTCCGCGCTCTCTGTGTTATCAACTCGGGGCGTCTCTGGCCATACGCTGTATCAAGCTTCTCCGGAGGGTATGGCATGAGGAGAAGCTCAGCACTAGGCGCAACCCAGATGAGTCCAAACATCACACGGACGAGGACACGGAACCCTACGTCTGTCTCTCTGAGGACTGCACGTCTCCCATGCTGTTCTTTGTCAACATGAACGACTGGATGAACCACATGGAAATGTTCCACTCAAACCAATGGAACCATAAGATACACATGAATACCTGGTATTGTAACATCGGCCACAAGCCCACAATCCAATTCGATGACCACGAGAGCTTCGTGCGGCACATGAAAGACCCGGCGAACCACGAGGGCCGTGAACCTCCAACCGATCGGCAGCTCGAAACGCTCTCCCGCAATAAGCAAAAGTTCCTCTTCCGCGACGAGTACCGTTGCCCCTTCTGCGAGTGCGTTCCCAGCGCCCTAGAGCCGGTAATCTTGAACAGTAGCCCCGACGAGATCCGGCGCCAGCTGTACGAACACATCGCAGCACACATCAAGGACCTCGTTATTAAGTCAATTCCGACTCTAGACGAGGTTGAGTCTACGCAATTTGAAATCGATAATGAAGATCAAACGTGGTTGAGGGGCGACAATTCGTGGCATCGTGCCTGAGTGAGATGGTTGAGCTTCGACAGGAGACAATCGTGGCTTTCGCGGACAACCCGGTCCGAGACACTGTCGGCTTGGGAAATGAAGTTTATAATGAGGATTTTTATAGCATGGACGGACTAAATACCTCTGGGACAACCCTGAACTTGTGGAATACTGAGGACACGAAGCAGCTCCAGACGCCGGGAGGCTAGACGCTATCCCGGACCACTTCACTCAGACCCAGCAACACGATCAGCGTGTATATGCATGATCTCTACCGCTGTATTGACTTTACTCTCCTTCTCCTGTTTCCTTTTGCCTTGCTATTTTTTTTTTAAATGCCTTATAACTTCTTAGTTGGCGGATATTCGTTCAGTGAACGAAGTATGGGTCTGTGAGATTTAACCACCTCGATCATCACTCATGTGCATGCTGCTCTTTTGCTCGCCCAAATTCTCTCCTAGGGAATCTCGTACATTACAGTTCATTTTTCAATGCACAGTATATCTGATCTCACTATTCTCTCCATCTTGAACGTCTGCAGAGTCATCTTACATCTTCCTGTTGAATCACAGTGACAATGAGTCATCTCTACCCGCTTGCTGACGGAATAAGCCGATAAAGGAGATTAAGAGTGACTACATAGACACAATGCTCCAAATAAAGTTTTCTTTTTCTTAGCTGAGACAAACCAACTTCAAAAACTTTATATAACCTGTTCGTTTTCCATGTGTTATAAAAATACTCCATCTTTTCTCCCAAACAACAGACTTCCACAGCTAGTCGGCAACGCCACACAGCTTCGTGTTGTATCTATCACTATGGCAGCGCCTGTCGTCTGGATCAATGCATTCCCGGGAATGGGGAAATTAACCGTTGCCAGAGAACTCATTCGCCTCGATCAGTCAAGCATTCTGATCGACAACCATCAACTGATAGACCCGGTGGCAGCACGGTTCTCTCGAGACCATCCCCAGTACCAAACAGAGCGAAGACGCGAACGCGAACGTGCATTTGGCAAATACGTACTTGAACCAACTTTTATATCAAAAACAATCGTCTTCACAGGTAAGCCAGAATGATCATACATAGCGTTCGCACAGCTAAAGCGATGCCGGCAAGATTGCCAATCAGACGACGAATTAGGCCAAGCTACAGCGCAAGAGTATCTACAAGCCGCTCTAAAAGCTAAGCGACCATTTATTACCATCTATCTATCCTGCGAGATAGAGGTCAACATTAAAAGGGCCACCAGTTCCGAACGCGTCCAGGGAACCACGACAAAGCTGACTGACGCCGTTATGTTAAGAGACGCTCTATCGAGATGCAAAATGTTTCGATTCGAAAACAGTCCGTATGAAGCATACAACATCGACACAACGGACTTAGCACCTGTGGACACCGCTTTGAGAATACAGATATATATCAAGGATTATCTATCCGGTTGCAAAGCGAGGCGGTGTGAATGAATTACGCAATCATGATTCAAAAAGGAAGCACGGTGGATATGGATGCCCATGCAATATGAAACAGACATCCCTTTGGGAAAGGAGCATCAGTCAACATATGTTTAAGCGAGATAAGCGAATTCAATTCAACTGAGAGACTTTGAAAGCTGTTATGAAGGCCATACGAATAGAAGGACCAAGGCACAGAAGCATACAATCTAGCAACGGAGATGCTGTCTTAAATCCGGTCTCAATCCATAACTCAGGAGATATAGTCAACGGACACGGCCTGGGATTTTACTCCGTCAAGACCCCAGTTATCCCCGAACTTCGGGATCCACTTTCAACGTTCATAGTTCCTCTGCTTCCGTGTATTGCCAGATTAGGATATCCCCAGAGTAATGTCATTCCCTTTATGGCATTCCTCTTCCAGGTTAGCAAACAGATATAAAGACATTCAACTCTCGAGAGATTGGTTTCAATGATGCTATCAGCCGCGAAGACTTACTGAGTTGGCGAAAGATTACATTTTAATCTCAGAAATGCTTCTTAAACCCCTATTGTGCCTTTGGGCTCTAAGCTCTTATCATCTGGTCACTAGGGCTCAGACTTATGAGTCAAGAGGCGAATTGTGGCTCGCACCAACATCAAACGAACCGTCAATACAAAACCCATATGTGGTAAGCAATTATCTTCCACTACCATTTGCTGCATCCATCCCTTGATTACAAAATCATCTAACATTCTTCAGACATCGGGACCCACATTGAACGTTTCTTTGAACCAAGCCATCCGCGTCCAATCACCAGCCGGCTTTAACTCGCATTGGGTTGGGCACTGGATCACAACAACCGAAAATCTTCATTTCGTCTTGATTACATTTTCGAATGTCGTCAACGGAGGCCCTGACAATTCAACGGATGGAGACTCGGCCAACGGCTGGCTGATTTACTCATTGGCGTCTGGTGGCTCAAGCTCGTCATTCATCGCCGGAAAGCTTACCACCTTTGGACAAGACAAACTCAGAATCCAGTTTGGCGATCAGTACGAGTTGCACAGCTTAACAGATGATAATATCTCGGCCATCAACGTCATCGCAAACTATACAGAGAGCAATTTTAGTCTCAACACGACATTTCAGCCTCGAGGTTCTCTTTTGTTCAATGGTGGGAGTGGAAGCCTCTACTGGGGCTCAGTTTTCAACCATCAATGGTCCAGTTCAGCTGCCTATACCACAGGAACGTTTTCCACCAATGGAACAAGGCACACCATCGATCCCAAGCGCTCAACGACATGGTACAATCGTCAGTGGGGCGAGGAGAATCCAACGCAAGGCTAGCACTGGTTCCCAATCCAACTCGAAAACGGGGTTCGCATCTCAACGTGGGTGATCCCCACAGAACAAAGCGACGCCATCAAGGCCTTCGCCACGGCCTTGTATCCAAATGGAGAACAGGAAGTGGTTAGCGTGAACCCTGATATCAAGCCGAAAGATGCGTGGGTTTCGCCGGCTACGAACCGCACCTGGTATGGATCTTTTGAAGTCTCGTTTTTAGATGAGTACAATAGTGTGATCACTGCTGTAGCCCCGGATGTCATCAATCGGAAATTTGGAGAGGCCAGCTTTGGACCATCGTTTGCATTTTGCGATTCTTTCACGGTCTATAATGGAACTTGGAAGGGACAAAGCGTTCGCGGCTGGGGAATTGTCGAGCAGTGGCCGGCGTCTTGAGTTTTTCCTACGGCCTGCTTAAGCCATAAGAGGGGTATATACGCATACATTTTATAGGTATATGAGCAATTATAAAGAACGCTGCGCAAATTTCTGCCGGTGATCGAGTAAGCCCCATAGTAATGCATTTTGCACCAGCCACCAACACAAACTCACAACAAAAAGGTCCGATATGTGTGAATATCTCTCATATAATTGTTTGGAATCTCTTTCTTTATACTCTACTCTTCTATTCTTTCTATTCTTCATCGAATCGCTTGTACTTGAACGGCTTGGCTTACCTAGGAACATTGATTTCCTTCAGGAGAGACAGTAAGCCTCCGATTTTGGACTATAGTTTCTGCCTTCACCCGATGACTAACTCTGGGCATCAGACAACATGCATTCACAGCGAGACACGCTGGTGTTGCCGAAAACGTATCCACCTCCGTATGAAGAACACAATGGCACGGCCGAAGACGCCAAGGATGTCGACAGCCCTAATGAGGAAATATTCGTTCCTCCACAGATCATGCAGAAAATCATGGCACTGAAAACACACAAGGAAAGAGTTCGAATGGTCGAGGAATACATGAGGAAAAAAGGAGAAATTGTGAAAGCGAAAGAGAAGGCATTAACTTGTCAAAAACGTGCACGAGCTCGAACGATCAAAGGTGCCAAAAACGATGTTAAAGATATCCAAAAAGCATACTGGGAGACTGTGCATAATATTATGGATGCAAAGGATCAGAGTTTCCGATTGTTCTCTAGAGGTTATGGGTTTAATACATGCATTCGTGCATGCAGGTTGCTGGTAACTGCCAGAAAGGATGAGGCGCGGCGTTTCCATGAAACAGAAACGGGGAAGATTGAAGCTATATATCAGAATGCGTTCAAAAGGGTGGATGAAGAGTACAATGCTCTTCTAGACCTCATGCTAATCAGCGACAAGCAGAATGCGAGAGCCGAGGTTTGAGGTATGACGAGGCTTGTTTTCATTTATCACAAAACTATTCTCTTGTTGGGAGATGATACCTCTAAATCTTTGGCAGCTTTTAAGTGATATTATCCGATTTCTATGTCGCAAAACATACCCGATGACTACCTACTGACGACCGGGCCGTTCAAGCGGACTGCGTCCATTTACCAGGCAGGTAAAGGCGGATCCGAGTGTCCCTAGGGGTGCCTACTAGGTAGACAAGATATATCTACCTCCATGTTTATTACCTTTTGGCCCAACAAGTATAAGCTCGCATTGAAAATCTGTCTCAAATCATGGAAATATGTTAGCACTCAGCGTGCCAAAGTGTACCTACCCAGTAGGTGCTGCAAGCACATGTACGTACCGTGGGCTGTCCAGCTGGCGACAATTTGGCAAGAGCAAGTCAAGCAGCAAGAACGCTTCGGGTCACCAGCAGAATCGGCGATGGTTTGGCCAAAGAAGAACGGCAGGAACGATTTACCACTCAAGGCTGGCAGTCAGTTGGTGGCCAGTTTGCGGTCAGTTGCAAATGGAAAGAACTCCCTGCACTCTTTCTCCATTTCTTCTTTTCCCATGCCCTGCCTTTCCTTTCCTTTCCATTCTTTTTTTTTTTTCCTTTCTTCCTCTTTTTCTTTCCCTTTCGCCACACGCAACAGATTCTTTCGTATCGACTGACTGCTTGCGTTTTTCTGATCGATACAGATCATGTTCTCGACAATTTTTTCATCGACTTCCGTGGACTGGGCGGCCATCGGAGCTGTTTTCACTGGAGCAATCTTTTTGCTCACCCTTCTTCGGGCCCTCAGGCCTACTTCGTTTCCTGGTGGCAAAATTCCCAAGGAGGTCATAAGTCTCCTTCACGGCGCCAACTTTGGGAATATCCGAGACAATCTTGAGGCATTGAGGAGAGACGCCGGGGCGTCGATGACGGCAGAGCCTGCTGGGGAGGCACCTGCTGAGACGCTTCGGGACATTCTCGCCTCGACCAGAGACGAAACCCGTGCAATGAGGGAGACATTGACGGGTCTAGCCTCTGCGTTGACGGCTGCATACGCAGACCTAGCTCCTGCGCTGACGGCTTTCACTGACGAAGTTCGTGCGATGAGGGGGGCATCCACGGACCTAGTCGGCGAAATGACGGCAGTCAGAGGCGAAGTCGGCGCGATGCGAGAGGATGTTAAGGGGCTGAAAGCAGATGTGGCGACTTTGGTCAACGCTCTGCCTGAGGTCTCTTCTGAACTCCGACTGCTGAGGACGGACATCTCGAAGATCCAGAGAGCTGGCAACTCTCCCCTGCGATCCCATTTGGGTTAACAGGGCTCTCGCCAAATTGCCGGCGCGAGAAGGGATCCGGCGACACCTCCAGACCATGCCCGCGATGGTTTGATGACACCACCCGCCGTCCAGGGTGGTGGGGGCCAGTGCCGAGAGGCATTGCGCTCTCCCCAGCGTCGGCTCGCACCTCATCGTGGTGCTGGGGTCTAGTAGCCTTTCCAAAGGCGAAGCCAAGACGAGCCTGTGTCTAGTGAGTATTTTTTTGATTGATCCATCTACCTGCCTCTATCAATCAGATCTTTATGCTACCTGGGGAGATATGCCCATTCTCCTGTGGGTTCCAGGAGGATCTCATCTGCTTTGTTCCACAAGTGCCTCACCATCCCTGGCCTATGCCCCAAACGATACCTGGATTGCCGCTCTCCCAACCTATACCTCGATGGTACCATGCCACTCCACTCCCAGTCAAATGGTGATCTGACTGCTCCAAGCTGATTGTAGGCAATGACCTTGATCGCCCAACGCTTCTTCTGCCGAGTGATGGTGATGCAGTAGTCCGTGAGACATTCAGGACAAGACTTGATAGATTCATGACATGGAACGAAACAATCTGCAGAACTTCGAGCAGCTAGCTCAGGAAGTTGTTTGTGAGGCCAAGAACGAGCGCTAGTTGTAAGATGCGGGCATAGCGGATGCGGGGCGCAATCGACAGTATTCTTAGGGTTTTCTTGATTCTCGTTGGGATATATCGTAATAGCCGATGATATCATTAATTCGTCGCCAACAATACGGGCTTTCCAAACTGTATGATGTCTTCCATCCCAATACCCGTCCCAAAACGCGTAATCGTTGATTGATGTTGATAATACTTTTGGTAGAGGGCCATGTGCCGCCCCATGGAAATGCCGATTCATTATCACTCGCGCGAGAGGATACAACAAAATTGGCATCCCATGGTGCTCGATTCGATATTTTTCTCTGCAGGTATCTCTGTGCATGAGATAAAAGTCTGGAATCTCTGAATTGAAATGCCAAAACCAGGACATGCGCCATCGATGGAGTTTGAGGCAAAAATGGCAGAAATAGTAATGAGGCGCGTCCTTTTCTAGAAGGGCCAGGAATTCTTGCTTTTCAGTGGACGATAGCTGAAGAGGTTGAGGGAGGTAATGGAGAAGAAATGTCCGGCAAGTTAGAGCAAATGAGAGAAGCGAGGGTCGATCGAGATAGGTTATGATCTTCAATATTATCTCTGGAGGGATGGCGAGGCTGCCGACCCAGGGATGAGGTCGTAGGTAGATGATGGTGCGTGAACTAAAACTGATTCTCGATATGAATGTGAAGGGCATGATATATTTGAAGGCCATGTTGATGGGCTGATGATTGATAATTAAGAATTGATGAGAGAGAGAGAGACTGTGGCCAGGTTGGGAATATCGAATGATTAGTTCCATGTAGGATTGCAATTGCCCACGGGCGGCCAAAAGAAATACTCAAAAGTTAGCTTGGGTACCCAAGCTAACTTCAAAGCTGTATTTTAGAAAGCGTTGAACAAGGTAGATGACGTCAGAGGCCTATAAGTGCTCTCGCTGCGAGAAAGCTAAAAGAATCTTTCGAGTTTGAACTTAAAATACTGTGGCTTCAGAAGAGGATATAGAAGACAAAATAATCCCCTTTGTGTGAAGAAGTTCGGAGGTAAATACAGCCATTACCAGCTTCCTAGCTAAGGGATAGCAGTGGAAGCCCAGCGTCTTTGCCTCTTTGACTCTTCCGATCATCCTCATACTCCAGACTCCTGACAGATGAAGAGTACAACGCTCTTCTAGACTATATGTTAGATAACGATAAGCAGGCTGCAAAGGGGGAGGTTTGAGATAAGTCGAGGTTTCTTTTTTTTTTATCCGTGCAATTATTGTACTATCTGTGCCCGTGTCTTTAAATCTTAAACCGTTTTTGTGTGATGTTATCGTGTTGATTGATGTCGGAACAATTTGAAATATCATCGGAGGCTAGATGACACTTGGGCTGGTAGTACTTGATGCTTAAAAAAGCAGAAGTTTTCTTTTGTTGGACAAGCAAACCGACGGACTTGATAAAACTCAGCACTGGGTTCTTTTACTCTCACCTAGTTTATCTAAAGCTTCTCCTCTTATTGACTGTTAAAATGAGACTGTATAGCACAAGCCCCAGGCGGGCTGGTAGAAGAAATGCCTGTATCTTACCATCAACGCTTGGCCATAATCGTTGCTGCTATGCAATGCCTTGCTGCAAGCCAGTCACTGCCTTACTTAACCTACCTAGACATAACGTCTCCATTATCCAGGCTGCTTATTGGTCAATTCAATAACTCTCCCCTGTCACCATGGTGAAATCAACCAGGATGCTCATGATCGGGGCCGGGGTCCTGGCCTCGCCGAGTGGGGACTTCTCTACTTTACTCCTTGCTTATTGGTCTCAACGACCCTGTGTGTGTCTTCTAAATAGTACTCGTAGGCCGACCAGATGCTAATGATTGAGACTAGGGTCCTGGCCTCACTGAGTGGAGAAGTTCTGTATGATCCTAGCATATGAAGAACTTTAGTAAACGACGCCACGCCACAGCCCGCGTGCACGCTTCTTGGTGCCAGAGCCTGCAAGTCTCGAGAGACCCGGTCGTCCGCTGGCTGCGCTGGATATACACTCACGCCCGCCCTTGGCCCCGCTGGTGCCGTATGCAGACACCCCCCGGCCTGGTATCAGAACAGACTACTTAATCCTCTCTCAAAGTGGGAACAATAATCTCATAAAGGCTTCCTTCATTTACTGCAAAACTATTTTATAAATAATAATGGCTGCTGTGGAAAACATACTGAGAATTCTTTATCTAATGCATCAATGCTTTGTTCACATCCAGCACGCCCGGGCATTTGAAGAAGAATTCGCAAGATACCAGCTCCGCCTTCAAGCGCAACTTTATCACTGTTCAAGACTTATCGAAGATATGGACCGTGCCGAGAATTCTTTGCCCATGAATGCAATCGATGATCCAGAGAATACATCAGAAGGAAAGGAACGATCAATAGTAGAAGTGCTCTCTGACGCTCGAGACGCCCTCCGCAAAGCGCAGCGCGAAGCTGCAAAGATTCAAGCCGAGCTCGCCACAACTGCCCTCCAGCTACAAGACGCCAACTCTAACACCACACTCAATCTCAAAACAATGCATGTTCGGGTTACGGGGTTTCTTGATAAACGAAAGGTGCAAGCAGTAAAGACAATTGAAGCAATGAAGTGGGTTTTTTACAAGAGAGACATTTGCAACAAGTTAGTTACAGATATCGCTCTGCTGATGAACGATCTAGAGCGCCAAGTCGTGAGTGATACCAGGATCATGTACATTACACAAACACATCCTTCAATCATATTCAACGCGGAACGTGATGACGTTTAGTAATCGAATCAGCATGGGAATTTGGCATAGCGTTGACAGCGAAAGTTATTTTTATTAGTATTCACAGAAAACCATTTGAATTGCTTATCCAGTGCTTTCTCCTTGCTCTTCTTCAGCTTCAGCTTCATATGTTTTCTTCTTTGGGAAATTTTTTAGGTCGCGCCGGCGCCGGCGGCCGCTAGGCACGGCAACGCACCGGTCCAAGAAATTTAGAGCTCCCCACAGCCGATGTACGGAGCCCGTTCACCAAAATTCTAGCTCTGATCATCAAGACAAAGAAGCCTACAATATCGTTTTGCCGTGCTTGGATCTTTACAGACAGGTCGCCATGAAACAAGAAGACTGCATCTCAATACCGTATATAAGGGTATAGATAAGCTGTCTGTACTGTAATTCCGCCCTGACAGGCGCACGACGCGTTTCTCCACATTTGGAGTACTTAACCTGTCCATCATCAGTCTTTGAAGTCATTCTATGTTTACTTTTTTTTTAAAAAAAAAAATTAAAAAAAATTACTCATGAGACCTATGGGTTTGGGGGTTTTTAACTTTAGTCTAAATAGATAATGTTTTCTCCCAATGAAATTGCTACATATCCCTCCTTTTACCATTCCTGCTTTCATAAATAATTCCTCCGACTTCAATGTCTGCTTCATTGAACCACAGAAAAAATTGGTTTACGAACCCCCGTCACTAAAAAATGGCAAAAGTCCTCGGCGATATGCTGACAGTGATCCAGTTTCCTCCATCACTCTGAATCTCGTACTCCAACTCCGGAATGTCGCGATAAATTGGACGGAATGTAAGATTCTGAGTGCTTTCATCAGGCGCAATCTTGAAATCAATGCACGTTTATCCCATGATGAAGATGTGTCCCCGTGTTGCCACGTTCTCTTCGCGATCGGGCGACCAGAACCGCCACAACGACGCATCGCCATACAGATTAAGTGATTCTAGACACCTGGGGAAACCGGTGCGAATATCGACTTCCTGAGGTCGGATCAACGCTGGACGGGCCTCCAAAATCTCGCAACTCATAGGCTCTAGGTCTTCGTGCATAACCCATCTTCCCTGGCGAATAGCCTTATCCAAGAATACGACATAATTTCGACTGCGGAGGCTAAAAAAAGAGGAGGAGGAAGAGGAGGAGGGGACTAGCTTAGTACTCTTCCAAAGTTGGTGTGACTGTGGGTTGTTCGTTTGCCAACTGTAAAGGCTCAAATGCACAGGTACATGTAATTACATGTACTGAGTCAGAAAAAGCACGTTACCGCGATCGCATTACGTATACCAGAAGCAAGCTCGGGCTGTACAAACAACCTAACAAACTAACAAACAAACACGGTCGGGCCAACCATTTTCCCCTCCTCATCCTTCTCTTCCCTTTACTCTTCCACCACTCTCTCAAGCAAAGAACTTCACAGCACAATTTATAACCGTAAACACCTTTCCTGAGTTTCCACTACTCACTGCGTTGATACCAAAATGACGAGTCTCAAGACTATTGGCGCCAAACAGCCCGAAACGACCTACATTGGCCGATATGCCGTTCGCATTGTGGCTCTTAAGCCCTCGAAGGAGATTGCAATAATCTATGTCGACAAGGGAAACTATTATAAGCTACCGGGTGGGGGGATTGAAAGAGACGAGGAGCATCTCAGTGCCGCTCAACGCGAAGTTCAGGAAGAAACTGGAGCTATTGTCTCTTTGCGCAACACCAACTGCATAGCCACTACGGAAGAGTTTCGCAACGACCTTCACCAGATTTCCTATTGCTATCTTGCCGACGTCCTCGATGCTACAGGCAGCCCCTCTTTAACCGAAGAAGAACGCGTCGACGGGCTTAGCCATCAATGGATGCCAATCAACGAGGCTTTAGAAGCCATGGTCTCGGTGAAACCAACATCCGAGCTAGGCCGCTATATACAAGAGAGAGACATTTATCTCCTTACCGAGGCAAAGAAAGTTCTGGAGGACGGATATGGACAAAAGGTTTAGGGACTGACCTCATACTTGTGGTTGGAGGCTGATGCGAAAATGGCACCTCCTGGCTGTGCAGCTGACGAAGGGTTGAAGTTGATAACGTATACATGGCGAATATCAAGTCTCCGTAATACTGATTACATGTACTATTGATATCGAGACACAAGTTGTGAGCTTCATTTGTTTGGTTAAAATCAGGTGACTTAGCAGTAGAGTTTTTTTTCCCTTAAGGTGGGGTTCATTGTTGTTTTTTTATTAAAAACCCCCGGAATCATACAGCTCCAAATTCAGCGTCTTAGGATATAGGAAAAAAAGAAAAAAGGGGAAAAGGGAAAGAAAGACAAAATGACCAGGTAGTCTGCGCTGTAATTTGCTGTCTAGTGCTTTTCTTTTTTGCAGACAGGGTGCACTTTGATTCCTCCCTGATGGGCACATGGCGCTTTTCTTTAGTTTTAGAGTACAGATCATCTCTCCGACGACATATTCCACTACTTCTAGCACTGCCTGGCTCCACCAGAGGACCTGGAGCTTCAATTCAAATGGAAGCATACTACCTAGGAGTAGGCTCATACCTTAGTACAGAATAAGGGGTACCTGACAGCATCTGATGATCTATGAATAGAGACGTACTACGCATACGCAGCCACAGAGTCGACTACCAGCAAGTTCGCAAGGAGAGGCATAACAAGAGATATTGGATGTTAAACCAGCGAGGAACGCACCCTAAACTCTGCTGCGTTGCTGCACTGCCGTACCTGTACTTGCCATGGCCATAACACCTCTACGCCTTCAAAGTGTCAGAAAAACTTGTGACGTCCAATCCAGTAAAGCACCACGGGCGTTTAGGGATTTCTTAATGGAGATTAGCGGCAATACTGCTAGCGCAAGGCAACTACCTGCCTTACACCCCTCTTGAAGCTCAGGTACTAAGGGTTAGGAAGCCGTTACCAAGTACCCAGTGCCAGGGACCTCATTTGACACGGCGCTGCAATGTTTGGAGCGGATCCGCTCGGGATGTACTGGGCTCGGCAGTCATTGGGCGATCACGTCGCAGTGGATGCCACTAATGCTAGCACTCACCCTTAGCGCCAAATTCATCCCAATTGCCCACCTGGCGGCACCTCCGTGCTCCCAACCGGGGTCGCGGTACGTACCTCAGTACCTCCGTACCTTAGGTACCTGGGAAAATGTCAATTCAAGACCAATGGTCCATTGGACAGCATCCTTCTTAATGCTCTTTGCCCAGTTGGCACGAGGCTTGTATAATAAACCCTTGGTGCCTACCTTATGTATCAGAAGAATTCCCCATTGAGTTCAAGCCCTACTTCATGATGCCTCACAAAGTTTACAACTTGGAAATTTTTATCTAATAATGGATGCTGTAGGCGGCACAGCTAGCATCTTCCACCTTACATATCAGTTTTTCAGTCGCATCCAGCAAGCTCGGGCGTTTGAAGAAGAATTCGGCCTCTACCAGCTCCAACTCAAAGTGCACCTCTCCCGCTGTGCCACCGTCTCAAGCATCCTCTACAACATGAACGGCGCCGATGATATTCTAGCGATACATGGAACAGATGATCCAGCAAAGGCATCAGTAAACCAGGAACCAACAATAGCGGAGATTCTCTCTGCAATCCAAGATAGGCTCCGCAAAGCGCAGCAAGAGGCTGCAGAGATGGAGGCTATCTTCTTGAGAATCGGCACACCGCGACCAGAAACCGCTGACGGCGTCGAAACGATGCGACTTCGAATGACAGGATATTTCAACGAACGAAAAGTCCAAGCAGCGAAAACCGTTGAAGGAATAAAATGGGCTTTTTATAAGAAAGATAAACACGATAAATTTATCGCAGACATATCCGCGCTCATCAAACACCTTGAGCGCAAAGTCAACACTAACAGCGACGGTCTTTTACTCGGTAATTCTCCGATCATATACATTGCGCAAGCCCATTCTTCAGCCATTTGAGGTATGAAGTGGAATGCGACGATAGTATTCGAATAGTCAATTAGTATAGGGGCCTGGCATAGCGACAACAGCGTAATTGGATTTATTTATTGTTTTCTGTTTTGATGTTATTGCGTGCACTTCTTCTCCTTCTTCCTGTCCCTGTGAAAGTTTGCCTGCCGCTTTGTCCTTGGCAAAATGGTGATAATGACGGTTCTCCCTTGTTTGGCATTGGGGGCAACTGACAGGAAGGGCAGTTGAGACAAATATGGCAAAAACCACAAAAAAAAAAACATACAACAGCCGGTGTTCGCTGATGGTCACCCACTCAACTACTAATCTGCCTCTCATTGGCTTGACTCTGGGGGAGCAGACGGGACCCCGTATTTTCCAATGGATATGGTCGTATGTGCTTGGATATAGAATCGATTGTCTTATGAGTCCTTCAGGAGAAGGAGCACAAAAGGGCAAAAAACATACAACAGCCGGTGTTCGCTAATGGTCACCCACTTAACTACTAATCTGCCGGTTAGTGGCTTATCTATGGGGGAGCAGACGGGACCCCGAGCTCTCCACTACCTATGGTCGTATGTGCTTGAATATGAAGTCGATCATCTTATATTTCCTTTATCACAAGGAAGTGAGAACTCAAAAAGAAAAAACATACAACAGCCGGTGTTCGCCAGTGGTCACCCACCTGACTACTAATCTGCCGGTTAGTGGCTTGTCTATGGGGGAGCAGACGGGACCCCGAATTTTCCACTACCTATGGTCGTATGTGCCTACTTCTCTTTCGAAATACCTTATAACGACACTTTCTTTGCGCCGTGCATCCGGACTCCAAGGCTCAATCGTCCCACATGCGCTTTGCGGCACCCCGATCTGATACTCCATATTACGGTAGGTAGCGCCGGCCGATGCCCTGAGTGTGTTCCGTTTCATGGAGCGGGCGTCACGCGTTTTGCGTCCACCCCTCCACCTCCGAATTTCTGCGTCGACTTTTGACGAAACCGGTCGACCCGGTGGAGGGCCCCTTGGGGATACAAAAACGCGTTTAGCCACACCGTTCCAGCGCTCCTACCGCTTCATCTATAGGCCACAACCCAACGCACTATCACCACTTTCTTTAAGTAGGCGAGCCTCTTTTTAAATTCACTTATTGACAGAGCTTCTTGTTCATGCACAGAATTTTTTATTATACATACCCATAATAATGGATGCTGCTGTGGGAGGGACAGTTGCCATCTTTCGTTTCATACACCAATGCTTCAGTTACATCAAGCAAGCCCGTGGCTTTGAGGACGGGTTCGAGATCTATCAGCTACAACTCGAAACACTTCTCTCTCATTGTGCCTCTATTTCAAGAACTATTCACGATACCAGTGAGTTGGGCAATCCGATCGCAGATACAATAGATCCCTCAGATAACAGATCGGAAGACCAAGACCCAACAACCACCGAGACTCTCTCTGCCATTCAACACGCCTTGCGTAAAGCCAAGCGTGACGCCGCAAAGATACAAGCTGATTACTTTGCAACAAATAATCTACCTCTTCAAGACCTCACTACAGATGACCATATACCAGTACGACCTCGGATGACGGCGTTTCTCGACAAGCGAAAAACCCAAGCGGCGAGAACAATTGAAGGAGTCAAATGGGCTTTATACAAGAGAGAAATACGCGGCAGATTTATCGAAGAAATATTCATCATGATTCTACAGCTCGAGCGCCAAATTTACTCGAAAAGTCCTGCGACCGAAGATGCTGGGTTGATGTACCTACAAAACGAGCCCGTGGCTCTGGTGTGACAGAACACGGCAGTGCATAATAGATTAGGAAGGCGATTGGCATTCTGTTCATTTCATGGCGGAAAAGGTGTTTTGCAATTTTTACATAGTGCCTATAGAAGGATTATTCAGCTCCGGTAGACATTTTGCGCTCTTCTTTTTTCCCATCTTGGTCTATACTCTTGGTGTTGGTAAACTGGTGGGTGTGGGAATAGCGAGTGGTGGAATCGCCCTGTATCGCACACTGCTCCACGAGCATCATGAAACTGAGGCGGGCGCACTTGTGACTTGCTTTTTCGACATCCACCCAGAATACCGTTTCCGTTGCGGACTTTCGACGCGAGGCGATCAAAGGACGGTGAGCTATTGATGTTTGTGAAAGCCGCGCGCACTTTGGAGTGACCACCATCTTGTAGCGCCATTGACTGGAAGCATACAGGTACAATGGCATCATTATACACAGCCCTTTGCCCGCGGCATCTGCCAATCCCAGCATCTCTCGATTCAGCCGTTCCTAGGGTCATCCATCGGAGACTTCCTTTTGACCATTCACAATGATGTATGCAGGTGGGCGAGTTTGGCAATCTTTCCCAGCCCCATCAGATCAGCAGGAGCGTCACAACGGCCAGCACATATCACTTGCATGTTCCTTTGTAGCCGTGACGGGACAAGGAGTGCGACATGAGTAATCGCGAAGTTCATGGTAGATTTGCGCTTTATTATTATCTCGTCAAACAGTCTGGCGAGTGTACAAGCAGGCCCAGCAGTCTCAGGAGCCGTCAGGATTCCCGTCCCGCATCTCCCCTTTTCCATATATTAGAACAAGTACTAAACTTCTCGAATGTCGCACATGTGGATTGTCGAGCCGGTACAATGGTCGAGTCCTTTTGGCCGTTCCAGCGCTTCTTCGACTCCAACTTGGCGTGCATTCCTCTGAGTTAACGAAAGGCTGACCCGAAACATAGCGAATAGCAATAAAGTCTTTTTTAATATATGCCGATATTGCCGACCAGCTAAAACTTCATAGACTGGTTGCCTCGAGGTTCATGCACAAACAACGAATCATAACAATGCCTCTGGTGATCAGATGAGACAGCGCCGCTGTTGCCTCACCCTTAAGCTTAAAAAAAGCGCGCGCGCCACCTCATATTAGTAGGATTCATCTTGCATCAACGCTTCCTCTGAAGTAGGGGGAGCGGATCGAAAAAAATCTCTCCGACACTCGTGCCGCTCCTGGCGCAGCGAAACCCAACCAATGGTCAACTGTGCAATTTTGAGGGTGGTACAGTGACATGTGTGGCATTTCAGATCCGTACACCGCGAATAGCGCCAGGTATATGTTGCCAATGATTCGACGCCTGTAAGCGTCCACACGGGCATCGGTTGTGTAACTAAGATACATTAATGTCAATGTCAGATACGTACCTGTAATTTTGAGCTCACTTCCCACTTACATAGAGATCTTGCCGTTTGCGAAGAGATGCATTTCTCCGAAGTGTTGAGGACATGTAAACATGTATTTAGCCACGATTGTATTCGGAGGTGGATTCCATTCAGGAATAATACTCAGTCATGAATAATCGGCATTTAATAACTGAATGCGTATGCGTGGAGTATCTCAGCTGAAGTACTCAGATCTTGCTTGTCGCCAATAGCGTCTTTGTCACCCGAGCTGCGTGCATATATGGTACTCGTGAGTGTCGCAAAGAGTTGTGATGTCTTGGCGTCAACAGTCTTGAGTTATAGGGGGTTCGAGCACCAAAAATAATGGCGGATGACAGGCACACGGAAAAATCATGTCGCTTGAGAGTACATGTATTCGGCACTTCCATTCCAAGTATTGGCGAAATCTGAATGCTTGTCGGATGAAGTATGCCAGTGTGAGGGGGGCGGCGCATTGTCATCTCTAGAAGTGAGGATGAAGCTTGACATAAAGAGTCGTAGTCAACGAGGCGGTAGACTGGAAGACAATTGTGTTGGGCGGATTTGTGCAATATGTGATGGGTTATTGCAGTTTTCTTGGACTTTTGAGCTCGGAGTGTTGACTCTTGATTGACACTGCCGGCATAAATTTGGATGAGACTTGGAGTCTTGAGTAATCGAAGGTCGAACTCCAATACACAGCATGTAGCATGCAGCAGTTCGAGAGCGATATAGAAGATCGAATGCTTTCGTTGATGGAAATTCCATGGAACGTTAGGTACACACACCGGGGTAATCAGTTAAAGTGTACCGGTACACTTTTACTGATTACCCCGGGGTGTAAGCCTATCAGCCTTGTGTTGTGTAGGTATCTGAATGGTAAATGTAGTTGAGTTGAATGCGTTTAGTTTCCCCGTCCCGAGTGATGATGAGATGAGAGTGCCAAGATGGGCCGGGTACTCGTCCCCAATGCTACGCAGAAGCAGCATTCGTATTGGGGTCTGTTTTTTTCAGAGGTTTAGCAGCTCCTCCACCGCCAAATCGTCAAGCTGGGGTTTGGTTCGACAAAAACTGTCACGGCAGCCTCCCTCTGCCGTAGCTCGACAAGGTCCGGCGTTGAGACTCCATCACGTACTGTGCAATGGACTGCTGTCCTGACGTTCAAGATCGCCATCGTGCCTTGTACTGCCGACAGTCGAGTCTTGAGAGACGTCAAGAGCCGACAGCGTCACGATAGACATGACTAGAGCTGCGATTATCAGGAATACCAGAACGGCAACCCGATACGCGCCCCCTCTTGCAATTATCAGCGTGACCATGGTGGCACCTACACCAAGGACACCTGCAAAGATCCCGAGCATGACAAAGAGGAAAACTCGCCCCTAACGAGTAACCACAATGCCAAGTCTCGGACAGATAATCGCAAGAACGCCAACCAACGCCGAGAACGAAGAGAAGCATGTCAGGCTCATGACAACGCGATAAGATATCACGCTGCGTTCCTCCGGCAGCACTCTTGCCACGGCAACGGCGCAAAAGGCAGACGTGATGAGACCAACGGCGACGATATATCTGAGCCGCTGACGCAGCTCGTCAATCCCGCCTGCTGCTGCAGGGTTGGCATCCATCAGTCTGATCCGAGACGAGATTGCAGCCCCCAACAACCTCGTCTTCTTCACAGAGCCGACGAACACCGCCCACAGCGCCGCAAGAACCCAGACAACGCAGAGGAACAAACGGATGGGCCAAAGCCGCATCCAGGTTTGCCCAACTGGGTCGGGCCCGTCACCAACCACGGGGGTATCCGATCCGGTAGGGGGGCGATTGGGGCGGAGGTGTCCCGGGAAAATGGAACCGCCAGACAAAGAGAAAGGCATGGCCTTTAGAATATAGAGCAGTTTGTAGTTGTAAATAGAGTGTAGAAAGAGAAGGTCGCTTGTACGTGTTTGGTTCTCAGAAGTCCAGTTGGTACAATGTGAAGCTGCTCTTGAGGAGAAGAAAGAAGGAAAAGAAAAGAAGAGGAAGAAAGAAAGTTTGGGTGTCAAAATGGGCAGGTGAAATTGATTGCCAGCTGTGTCAGCTGTCCAGGCACCCGTTTTCTCAAATTTCTCGGAATTGGGAGTGTTGGCAGCTGGCTCTTTTATATATCAACCGGCTGACTGAAAGGGCGGCGCAAGCTGCAACTGTTGACTGGATGAGGCCAAGCATATGTAACCACTAAGGTACTGTAAATACATCAGATATCTCTAGTATATCTAAGTAGTATCAGTAGCATCTCTAGTATATATTCTTTGATATACTTGTAATGTCTTCTTGGTACCTGATCTTTGTTTCACTTCACCCCGCTTCGGAACAAGACAGCATCATGGCTGAGACATGGCTATAGCAAGGCTGCGTTTCCCACCGGGTTCCAAATTCAGCTCCATCCATCGCACAGCCGCAGACAAAGATCACTACTGCGAATTCATTGGCCTGAAGAAAATCAGCCTTGTCGCCTCATCCATTTCTGTCTCACAAGGCCCGTGCATGTGTGTAACCTTGGCAGCCGAGTATCATTGCAACACGTAACATGCAAGGGTGGGATCCTTCAGCCTACTACTATATCTAGCCCACATGTTGCTCCCATTCTAGATCTTCTTCTTATCATTCTTTAGACACACGGTATAAAGTAAGCTCATAACGTATCTCAAATATTCCCCCCTTTCATCTTACCAGTGTGGGCCGCCTCCATGGACCATGATGATAGTGTTACACAGCAGCCTTTGATGTCCAATATGAGCGATGAAACAGAAGCATTTCCAAAGCCTCAATCCCTGAGCCAAGAAAGCGGCATCGAGACAGAAGAGCAAGAAAATTCCACACAACAACAATCTTTATTATCCCACACTGGAGACAGCACGGAAGCGCCTCCAAGACCTCAAAACTCGAGTCCTGAAAGCGACGCCGAGAGTACGGCAGAACAAGGCAATGCCAATTACACCACTGTCGATAAGAAAAGACCTGCTGATTTCTGGTTTACTCGGCTTGCCTCAACATGGTGGATCGAGAGCATCACCATCTGCATCAGCTTCGCCTGCATGGCCGCCCTAGTCTGCATCCTCGCCCTCTTCCAAGACCGTCTCTCCACAGACTGGTCCTTCTTCATCAGCCTCAACGCCACCATCGCCATCGCAATCACAGCCGCAAAGGCAACACTCCTCGCCACGGTATCAGTCTGCCTCAGCCAGGAGAAATGGAACCGCTTCAGGAACAAGGTCCACCACCTCCAAGATCTCGCCGTCATCGACACGGCAAGCCGCGGGCCGCTCGGTGCTATACGGATGCTCTTCCAGGTCTCGTGGGGGTTTGCGAGTATCAGTGCAGTGGTGGTCATTCTATCCATCCTCACAGATACGCTTGTACAACAGGTAGTGGATCTCGAACCAGGCACAATTTACATCTACCAAAAGCATTCGGCAACGTTCGGTTATGCTTATGGCTTTGACGGGTTGGAACTCGAAGAGGATGAAAGTTCGTATTTACATAGACTTGGTCCTTGTCTTCTTTGGCGCGCGCTCTAATATAAACTGCCCTTTAGACAAGATCGATGAAAACGTCGCAAGCGCCATCCTCAGAGGCTTATATCAGAAAAGTTGGCCAGCCGCATTCACTTGCACCTCAAATTGCACCTGGGACGGACCTTATCTCACTCTGGGCTTCAGCAGCACTTGTGCCAACGCTACAGAGGAGACCATAGACACTTTAGAATGTGATAATGGCGAGTATTGGCCGGGGCCTTGCCGCATGAAGACGCCAAAGGGGGGCGTACAGTTCAATTTCGGTGAACAGTATGCACCCATGACTCTGAACTCGAGCGAAGTAATGTTTGAGCCTTTCACAAACCTCGAGCTGGACGACAAGTCCAGTCTCATCAGAGATACCGATCTCCTCGCAGCTTCCGTCTGGACTTTTACCCAGCCCAGCTTCTTAGGCGATAACCTAGTTGACTTTCAAAAGATGCTCCATCGAGAGTCGGTGATAGTTGAGTGCACGCTTGGCATCACTCTATACAACTATACCAATGTTTCATCAACTTCAAACGTTTTCAACATTGGCACCACCGAACAAATACCCATCGGCAACTACAGCGGGTACACATCGAAAGTAGGATGGGCTTCTCAAGATATCTTCACCCGCTGGTGGAATGATACTGGTCCGGGACTGCCAGACGTTTCTCTCCTCTCCCGTTACGTAGACATGATTGTCATGTTCATGAAGTCGGGGGAGTTCTCCGGTACATTCTATCAGTACAGCTTCCCCATTGATAGCGATGATCGTCCAGGCGCCGCGCGAGCGTTTGGCTACGGCAGCCTGGAAGAAGTTTCGTTCATCTTTGACAAGATCGCAATGAGCCTGACGGACATGGTACGCCAGGGCATCTCGATGCAGACGGCACAGGGCAAAACCAGCCAAGCCGTCGTCTTCATTCGCGTGCGCTGGAGGTGGCTCATCCTACCCCTAGCCGTTCATTTCCTAGGAGCCATTGCCCTCGTCGGAACCATAATTGGAAGATCCAGGGACGTGCCATTATGGAAGGGCTCAGCTCTGGCAGTTCTATATCACTCTGTTGACAAAGATGGGATTTTGGGAACTCAGGTGAAAAACCTAGAGGAGCTAGACAAGGTCAAGAGCATACAAGTTATGCTGGAAAAGAAAGAGTAAAATTTCCGATTTCGTAGTCCAATGCCATGAAACACGTTGAAGTATCCATATATCTAATCCTCCCATATACCACGTTAAGTAACCAAAACCGCCGCTATCCCAAAAAAAAAAGACTATTTTATAACAAAAGAAAAGAGAGAGAAAGGAAAATTCCTTAAGCGGGAGCCTTCCAGTACTTGGCAGGGGTAAATGGCATCTTTGTCACGACAGCCTGCCTCTTGCGGCCACGGACAACGACATCCACCTCGGTGCCAGCCTTGTGCTGTCCGTCCTTGATGTATCCCATGGCAATGTTCTTTCCGAGTGTCGGGCTGGGAACGCCGCTGGTGATTGTGCCAATGGTCTGGCCATCCTTCTGAATCTCCGCGCCCTCGCGAGCAGGAGCGCCCTGGACGACGAAGCCGACACGACGTCTCTCGACGCCGGAGCCGCCCTTGGACTTTGGTGTGAGCTGAGGGAGAATGATCTCGGCGCCGTGGAAGCCGCCTGCCTTGCGGCGCTCGGGGGAGATGATCCAGCTAAGACCAGCTTCGACAGGAGTAGTAGTGTCGTCTAGATCGTGGCCGTACAGGCACATACCAGCCTCCAGACGAAGAGAATCACGGGCTCCAAGACCGGCCATCTGAAGACGCTCAGGACCCGCAGTCTTGATGAGAGACTCAACAGCTTTGACGGTGCTCTCCAGAGCAGGATACAGCTTGCCGTTGAAGGAGATTTCGAAGCCATCCTCTCCAGTGTAGCCACCGCGGCTAATCAGGACAGGGTGAGTCTTGCCGCCATCCGCAAGCTTGAGCTCAGCCTGAACAGTGTTGCCAAAGTAAAACTCCTTGAGGTTGATATCAGTAGCGAGAACTTCGCTCAGAATCTCAGCCGCCTGAGGTCCCTGCAGGGCAACCAGTCCTGATCCATCCAGCCTCGTCCACTTGACATCACCACCAAACTTGCCCAACTCCTCATCAATGTACTTGGTGTCCTTGTCGAGACACGCTCCATTGGTCACCACATAAAACTCATCCTCGCCAATCCTCGTAACAATAGTATCATCAACAATGCCTCCCGTGCCAGGCCACAGGAAAGTCGTCAGCTTGCCACTCATAGGAGCAACATTGCTCCACGACGAAGGCGTAACTTTTTCCAAAAACGCCGCCGCGGCAGGACCCTTGAAGATGTGCTGAACCATGTGGCTGACATCGAAAAGCGATGCGTGGTTCCGTGTGAAGTGGTGAGAGTCCGCCAGAGACAGAGACGAGTACTGGACGGGCATGTGGTAGCCCGCAAAGGGCACCATCTTGGCGCCATTGGCTACGTGGAAGTCGTACAGCGGCGTCTTCTTGAGCGGCTCTCCGCTGGAGGCATTGGAGGCGCATCGGATGCTTCCTGCAGTCGACAGGCGGCCTGCAGCAGAGAGTGAGGCCGAAGCCTTAACGCGGGGCGATGCCCGAGCAATTCTGGTGAAGCTCTTCATCATGATGGCTTCAATTGATTGACGAAACGCAAAGGGAAACAAAAAGAAAAGAAGAAGAAATGAGAGGAGATTGTGAGGATGAGATTAAGAGAAAAGAAAAGAAGAATTGGCAACGGTCGTGAGAGGAAAGGATAGACACGAAAATCGCCGAAGCGGCGGTTGTTGATAAAGTTGGATATCAATTGGGTAATGGCAAGATTATTCTGACGGTGGGGCGGGTTCGGGTAGCTGCGGATTGCTGCAGTGAGCTGCTAGATAAAAACCCACTCTCCGATACCGAAGTCTGCTAAAAAGTTCTTTTGGGGGATCTGTACTTGAATCGTTCGAGTAGAAAAGTTAGATTCGCTATAATGTTTAGCCGAACACGACGACATCTTCCGGTAATAAAAACACTGGGGAGGTATCGACTCCATCTCGTCCATTGCAGCTGGTTGATCAATGACACGCTTCATCAAAAAGGGCGGTGACAGCTTCAAAATTCTGCGTCTTTATTGTCATCATACACAGTCAGGGCCAGGGTCTAGCTAATCCCAGGCTTGGCTTGGTAGGTACATGTAGTAGTTATGCCAATTACAATCGATGCTCCAAAATGATGCTGCATCCACGGAGGCATCCAGAAAACAAGAAAACAAAGAATAATAATAATAAAAAGTCAACAGCTCCCCCAGTTCTAGTTGGACAAAGTCGCTTCAGCTGCCCAAGACCGATTCCATAATTAGGAAATAAAAGAGCGGAATCCAGTCAATGGCTCTAATTGTCCTCAAAGCTGTACTTGAGCCAGCCTCCCAGGGCACGCAGACTCTCCCATCGAACATTTTCGTCGTCGGATGCCATGAGCTCCATAATCCGTCTCTTCAAACCAATCTTCTCAAGTTGTGATCGCTTCTCGGGAACCTCCTTGACCAAGCAACCAATATCATTGCATGCAACAGCCAAGACCTGCTTGTCATTATCCCAGGGCTTCTGCATAATCTCGGCCAGTTTGCGAGGCACTTCGCCGTTTTGATACTCAAGGATCTTTCGTGCGTTCTCTGCCCAGAAGATGGTGTTTCGGTGTGGTGGTGACCAGCGGAGGTGACCTGAGTGGACTTCGGCCAGGTACTCGTCAAACGTAGTCTTCGTCTTGGTATATTCTTCCAGCAGTTCCTTGAGGCTTTGCAGGTCTTCCAGCAAGTCAGGGTCGGCAAGATGGCGACCACTGAGATTCTCTAGCAATGCGGGTAGACGGGCAAGCACGGCAATAGGCAGGAGCGTTCTCTGGTTCTTCTCCAGCAGGTTGTAAAGAGTGGCCAGAATCAATCGAGTCGTCTTCTCCTTTGGTGAGAGTCGAAGAAGGTGAGTGTACAAGAGGATGATGTCGTATTCGCTACAACATGGTTAGTTGGGAACATCAAAGGCTAGATATAGCACGCAGAACCACTCACTCGTTTAGCTCATCTCCGATTTGTTCTGACTCAAAGCTCATCTGCCACAAGACCATGAGAACATGGTACAGTAGCTGTAAGCCAACGCCTCCATTCAGAGAGCCCTCAAAGGTGCGCGTGCTCGCAGTGCCGCTCCAGAGATTAGCAGATGAGTCGCCACCATTGCCAACACCAGCAGCTGCTCGAAGAATGTTGACCAAGGGCGTAACGGTGTCGCTGCGCTGCTTCCAAAAGTGTTCTCGAGAGACATGTCCGAACAGCAAGGATGAGTACTCCTGCACGGCGAAATCTTGTAAGCCAGCATCAGAGCTCTGAGCCAAGCCGGACAGGTAGGTGAAGATGAGGGGCAGGGCAAGGACGGTAGGCTTAGAATCATCTTGCGCCAGAGCCATCAGATTCGACAAGGCGTGTGCGGTAAGGAGCGGGATGGGATCCTCGTTGGAGTGAGCGCGGAACAGCGGCAAGAAATGCTGGTATGGCTCGGGGGACTTGAGGAGAGCCTTGGCGAGGAATGGCACAGCTATTTCGCAACCAGAATATCGTTAGCAATAGATTGAAATCGATGATGTAGAGAAAAGAGCAGTATAGTTCAATGATGAGAATGATATCTTTCTTGCAGCAGCGCACAAGACTTGTATTGCAGGACTGGTGCCGCTTGTTGGGTGTTGAAATACTATTTGATGTTTTCATGTTGGTATGCAAGTCAAAAGTCCCGACTTACCATCAAGCAAATCAGCCAGCAGCACCAAGATGTACTGGACGAGGCTGGTATTCTTTCCTGCCTTTTCCAAGACGCTGGGGCTGCCGTTGCCGCCAACAAACAGCAGCCGATATCCGTCGAGGTCTGCGCTCACAATCTCCTTCCTCTGCTCGGGCCTTTTAGCTTTGTCGACGGCGCGGATCTTTGCGAGCTGGTCCTCGGTGAGGCTGCCTGCTCTAACGGCTCCATCCCAGGGGATCGGGCGGTGGCGGATGTTGTTTTGCAGAGAGGCCAGGTAGGTTGGCCCATCGAGAGACATGATGGCGACGGGAGAGCGAGTCTAATTTCGAGGGAGGGGAGATGGATGGACGTCGGCGAGGCGAGGCGATGCGAGGCTGTGACGCGCGGAGGGTTATATGGACAAGGAGAGTGAGAGATGGAAGGTCAATAGCAGTCGATGGAGATGAATGAAGAGGCTGAGAGAGAGAAGAAATCAATTGGAGAGACGATGGCCGCCTACCAGCTTGCAGCGGGCTGTGCGAGGCTGAAGAGCAGAATTGGAATTAGGTGAACCGGAGAGAGTGTCACTGTCCTGTCGCAGCTCAGCTGTGGAAGCTTTGCTCTGCGCCAGCCATGATGCACCCCCACCTTTTTAAGACGGGTTTATCCGGCGTTCGGCCATAGATCAGGGACCGTGCTGTATTTTTCAATGTAAAGCAGCAACGACAGCAGCAGAAGCCACAAGCTGGATAAGCCACCCCACCAGCCACTTTTTGCCTTGGCTGAAGCTGAGGGGCTTTTTTCCAACCACAAAGGATTCGATGAGGGGGAATCGAAAGAGATTGAATGACCTTGTAAGAGTTTCCTTTCACAGGTACAGCATATACTTGCTTAATTTACATGTATTAGATGAGTTCTTTGTTCATCAACGAGAAACAATTGGTATGTTCTCCATGTAAAAACCCACTCAGAATGAAACAAAATGCCAATGCGCCGCTTTTTCTCTTCTACTCACGCTCCGGAGCACTTTGTAGGCTCCGAAATGGCTCGTCGTGCCTTTATAAACAGGCGCCCTGCACGCTTAATGGGAGCGAGAAACCTTTCCAATCAACTCCCTCGTAATCCTCCGTAGCGCATAACCCTTCGTCTTCCTTTTGTTTTCTTCAGTCTTTCTTTTCTTCTTTCATCGCCACTCAAGCACCATACAAATCATCCAGTCCAGACATGCAGTTTGTGACTAATGCATCCTCACAAGCGCACGAGGCGGTCGACATGCAGCTGCGTCCCCATAAGTAGCGTATGTAGTCTGCGTCTCTGCCGGATTGTCCAGCACGCCAAGCTGGAATAAGAAGTGTGGGAAGACAAGTCGATCCAACTCCAGTCAATCAGAGCAATCGGCGCAAACAAGGTCAGCCCGGCCCAGGCCCCAGGTCGCTTCGCCTGGCCAGCCCATCAGAAGCTGCCAACAAGGCGCCCACTATCGATACCTACTTGATCCTGGCCTGATTGTGTCTTGATGTCCCCTCCGTGTCTCCGGTGCTTGTAGGAGTCTGTCGCATCCATGTCTGTCCATCCATGTTTTCTTGAATCTTGTGGCGGCTCAAATGTGGAAGTCTGATGCCAGCTCATCCAATCTCAAATCTCCCCCGCTCTGGGCATCTGGCACCCCGTGCTTCCGTAGGGCCAACCCGAGCCTGTCAACGATCACTATCCGAGAAGCGAGACAAAAAGAAAAGATTGAAAGAAAACGCTCCTTGGCTGCAGCTACTGGAGCGCCTCATTCTCGATCCGGCATCTCCAGATACCCTGTAACATTCCCATCCACCTCACTCTCTCTCATTCTTCTCGTGACCGCCAACCGTTACTCGTAAGACGCCAATGGAGAATCATCACAAGTCAGATTCCGGCCCGGACCCTTGCTGCATCTTGCATCTTGCCACTTCTAGTCAGGGGCTCTAAATTCTTTTCTTTCTCATCGTCTCTTTGGTGTGTCTTCTTTTACTTTCTACGAGTAGGCTAGGCGACTCTCACTTGGAGTGTGTCTGTCGGCCTCCGCTCCGACTTTTGGGAAACCCACGGCCCCCCCATGTCAGGTACCTCACACACACAACCAAAGTTGCTCGTAGCCGCTTGTACATACTCGTGTCTGTACTGCGCGAGACCAAAGAAAATGGCACTTTTGCTTCACCGCGGCTTGCGGGCCGTTTAGACGGTGTCTGTCAGAGAGCAGAAGGAGGGTGTGTGTGTGGGTGACATTGTTGGTTCAAAGAGCCATACGAGTACCTGACGTGCTGAACCAAGTAATACAGGTTAGAGGCGTGCGCAAGTAGAAGTAACTAAAAAGACAAAAGACCGAGAGGGTGTGCAGCAAGTACCGCATACGAAGCGCATCATGGATCTTTTTTTTTTCTGAGTCGGACAAAATGGGAGGGGCTGGGATTTTCCTGCGTCTAAGTGGGAGGAGGTTGGGGATTGTCGAGCTCTGCAGGCCGATAAAAGTCATCGTGCAGCGCCGAGACCGCCAGCTGCACGCTCCCATTCTTCTTTCTCCCAAGTCTCCTTTTTTTGACTTTGGAACTTATGCAAGGTTGAAAAAACGGCGTCGTCACTCAAACGGCATTGACTTCTTTTTTTTCCCTCCCTTGCCTCTTCTCGTGGCTTGAACATCGTGAGACTTGGACTGCTTGTGACGTTTGGGCCAGCCAAGCCAGCCTCACGAAGAAACTCACCGGACTCTTCCGAACACAAACCCTTGTCCGTTTGAGCTTTCGTGAGAGGGAAACAAGAAAGGCGAATTCGTTTCCTCGCCATGCGCTCAATCGCCCGACCAGCGTCCGCGCTGCTGGCCGCCGCAGGCATCGTGGCCGCCGGTCCATACCCCAGAGGCCCCGACAACGCCTACGCCTATCTGCTGCAGCGCGACGGCTGTGATGGCACGCCCTGCGGCTCCGACAGCCAGTACTGCTGCGACAGCACCGAGCTGTGCACGACGCTGAGCGGGAATGTCGCTACTTGCCTGGGCGGAGGCGGATACGGCGCATACACAAGCACCTGGACCGAGACGCGCACCTTCACCACCACCTACTACACCCACTGGGCGCCCGTGCCGTCGCCCACCGCCGGTGTCGATTGCGTGCCTCAGGACGACTCGCAGTCTCCCTGTGGCCCAATCTGCTGTGCCGGATGGCAGTCGTGCGCTTTCCAGGGCCAGTGCTCGTCCAAGCCTGGATACGCTGAACCGACTCCCATCGTCGTCGTCACCAACGGCCACACCACCACGCAATACTCAGCTCCCTACCGAGTCACTGGAACCACGACCATCACCACCCAGGTCGTGCAGACGGGCACCGGAACTGCCACTGAGACGGGAGCGTCGGCCACTGAGACCGGCGACGGCGAGGCCATTGGCGCCGACGGCAGCAAGGGAACCAACGGCGGCGGCCTGAGCCCCGGAGCCATTGCCGGCATCGTCATCGGCACGCTGGCCGGCGTGGCCCTCCTGCTCCTGCTCTGCTTCTGCTGCATCGCCCGCGGTCTCTGGGCCGCTCTCTGCGGCCGCCGCCGCTCTGGCGACGACAGCGTGCGCGAGGAGGTCATTGAGGAGCGCTACTCAAAGAGCGGCAGCCGCGCCGCCTCCGCCTCGGCTCACTCTCGTCGCGATCGCCACGGCACCTGGTTCGGAGGCAGCAGCCGGCAGGGAACTTCGACGGTGGTGACGGATCGCCGTGAGAAGCGCAAGAGCAGCGCCGGCTGCTGGACGTGGCTTGGAATCGGAGCTGTGGCCGCCACGCTCTTCACTCTGCTTAACCTCAAGAAGGATAAGCGGCCAAACTCTCGCAAGACGCCTTCGCGGTACAGCGACTCTTACTACAGCTATACCGACTACACTAGCAGCAACAGTAAGTTTTACTGTTTTCTTCTGAAACTGAAACTGAAATGTCAAATGTCCGTCTTACTAACTACTCTTCCCTTCTTACAGCTAACAGCTCTGGCACTGGTCAACGATCGCGTCAAAGATCGCGCAGCCGCCGCAGCAGATCCAGCCGTGGCGGACGATCACCGCAGTACAGCAGGGGAGCGCCCAAGCGATAAACTGGTCACTCTGAAACGGCGCTGCTTTAACGTTGCGCTTCTCATGGGCGGTATCACGACGATTCCTTCACTGTGAACATATTCACAAGGGCACCCATACTTTGTGGGACTGACCCTCTACCTTTACGTCATTAATTCTTGTTCCCAGCCACTTTTTTCCTCTCCCCTACCCTACTACATTTACAATGGTTACATTTGGCGTTGACGGCGCGGAAGGGGGCGGTCTGCAATATGCGTCCTCCCCCAACTGGTTTTTTCTTTTCTGTCTTTCCTTTATCATCTTATGAATTTGGTTTTTTAACGTGCAATATGTTTTGAAATGAAGGGATGAGAGACATGAGGGGGGTCAGACATGATGAAGCATGAAAAGGTACATACTACGAACGAAATGAAAACGAGACTACGCTGTAAGAAATGAATGGCCGTGTATATGTGAAGATCAAGATGAAGATGAAACATATGGTGAAGAGCAAGTGATGTACATGAAAGTTGAGCTTCGTGGCAATTTATATAGCATGGCGATATTGAATGGGACGAGTCTAGGAGGAATCAGTCCTCAACACAGTCGGTATCATAAAGTGACACAAATATTCCCAACACAGCCAGTATCAAGCCGGCATTAGAAAGTGACTGAAATATTCACATTAAGTAGATGAGACTTTTTTTTCCCTCTCCCCCACGACTCAGTTTTGGAAACTCAAACGCCAAGATTCACAATTCATTCTCTTTCGTCGCCAAGGACAGTCTTTCATTCCCAAGTTCGTAGTACGGCGTAGGACGCATCATACATGTAAGTCTACAGCGAAGAAAGAAAAAAAAAGTGGTCATCGCTTTCACTTTACTTTTTAATGTATTTTTTGTAAAAGAGTAGCCCCGTTGCTACGTGACATGCAATGATGAACCTTCGCCACTCCGGAGTCCCAGAAACGCAAAAGAAACAGAGATCCTTGTCCGGTACATTTAAGCCTCCTCAACAACGTTGCCCTTCTCGGAAACGTACAGACCGTCCAAGAACTAGATTGAGACAAAAGTTAGCACAAACCCATTATGGATAGAGACAAGAGTCAAGTTGAAGAATTTTTTAGCATGGTTGTGAGAGCGTTGTTCCGTTCCGCCCCGGACAATCGTCCAAATTGGTTGCAGAAATTTGCATGAGAAAACAGATATAGGTCGTACCTTTCGGATATCCTTGTTGCGCACCCGGCAGATCTGCTGGATATCTGCGGCGCTCTGGGAAACGTTCTCGAGTGAGTTGCCGGTCAGGATGAGCTCATCCTTCTGGGCCTTGGAGATCTCAACATCGACACCCTCGTGCATGGTAACCCGTCGGACGATCTTCTCGCCGATGAAGTTTCGGATCTCCACCTCGAACAGACCGGTCTCCTTGTTCTTGTCCAGGTTGACGTTGATGGGAAAATGGGCGTAGACGTATCGCATCTTGTACTTGAAACCCTTGGTGACACCGGTGATCAAGTTCTCGATGATGGAGCGGACGGTACGGAGAGTGGCGACATTCTTACGGTTGCCGTGGTGGATCTCGATGGAGATGGTGTTCTTCTTGGGGTGGCCGAAGTTGACAGCCAAGTGACCGAGGTTCTTGGTGAGCTTGCCTATAATCCTCCAATGTCAGAATTCCCAATTCGGTTTTGCCAATTTGCCTCGAAATCTGTCGTCGAAGAGTTTTGCGTCTTGACGAGCGATTTGTGGGTGGTGTTTCGTACCTCGGGGACCCTCAACGGTGACGATACGGGTCTTGATGTTGACCTTGACTATTTGCAGGAAAAAATTCAATGTCAGCTTCGTCTTCCTCAGAAAGTGCGTGATCCAAGCCGGCAAGCAGATTTTCGATCCATCGTATTTCCCTCCCGTTGTTCCAGTCCAATCCCTCATCTCCAACAGCAGAGATTTAGTTCCACCTCTTCCTTTCCATCGTCATCCAAGACACATTTTCCTCCAGCGCAATCGATCGAATCTGCAAGGCCGAAATAAAAAAAAAAAAAGGAAAATGGTGAAACGTACCGCCCTCTGGAATTTCCAGGATCTCCTGAGAGTGAATGTACCTCATGGCTGCTGTGACTTGGGGGTTGTCGGGGCGTTGAGGGTATCTGGAGTCGTCCGTTCCGCGATCACGAATTGTTTGGCGAAATCGTGTGGGCAGGAAAAGTTCTAGGGCTCGCTCCACGTGAGCGCAAAGAGTTGTGCAGCCGAATTTGAGCCGTGTGGGCGTAAGGTGGGGCAGGAGAATTCGCAAACGAAGAGAGGTGTGACATGGCACGTGATTGACGGAATGGACAAAGAAGAAAAGAGACCCCACAGTAGGTTGCTGACTTAGCAAGACCAAGTGGGATGTTGATACGACGACAACACAGCCAATGGGTGTAAATTCCACAGCATGCAGTGGGTAGTGGATGAATGGCCCAATTGATGGTGAATGATAACAGTCTCTCTCTTCTGTTGGCTGGTCCAATCAAGCAGATCCAATAATGAAAACTGAGTAAAAAAAGAAAAAAACAGAACTTTAATACAACTCTTTTTACACTTAGACATGCATTAACCATTCTGCTTGCACCCAGTGCCCATTGCCAGCATCATCTGGCCGCATCCCCGTCTCATCGACACTCATGGTACACTCTACATGTCGCATCAGCCACTACCATACCACACTCCGCGTACTCTGTACCTCTCCAGCCCATGACTTTCCCTGGCCCAGCTCTCCACCAAAGCTCTGTCCTCCCAACATCGTCCCCCACTAGCCATAAACGTACGTCAGCGCAGCCGCCAGCCTCGCAACTTGTACGCGACAACGTTGAACCGCAGCGGCGCATTTTAGCTCTTGCGGCATCGCCAGTTGTGAAGCTCAATTTCAATTGCCTGGAATTCGCCGACTTGATTGGCCTCGGACCTGCGTCTCCCGTCGAGCCGAATTCGGACCCGAAACAGCGAGCCATTATACGGGCATATCGAGAACAGATTACGCTTAGGGGAGTGACATTTGCGGGACAAGAGGAACAACAAGAGAAGAAGAGAGCGGGTAGAACGAAGAAGGAGAAGAGTAGAATACAACATACTCTCTCTATCTCTCGCACAATACAAACAACATAGCACAGCACAACACGCAAGGGAGACCGCCGCCACCATGTCCATCTTCTTCTCAACCCCCGTCGACATCGACATCGTCCTCGACGATCCAGATGACCGCACCATGGTCGACGTCAAGCTCGACAAGAACCGCCGCGAAAAGGCGCCCCTGTACATGGACGGCGAGTCCGTCAAGGGCGCCGTCACGGTGCGGCCCAAGGACGGCAAACGCCTCGAGCACACGGGCATCAAGGTCCAGTTCATCGGCACGATAGGTACGCAGCTTGACTACTATGACCAGAATCCCGGCCGGTCCTCCTCCTCCTCCTCATCATCATCACCATCCTCCCTTGCCGGCCTCCTCTGGACTGCGCCCGCCATCCGCTTGGGGCTTCAGCGGCGCCGACTCCTTACTGACGGGCTGGTAGAAATGTTCTTTGACCGCGGCAACCACTACGAGTTCCTCTCGCTCAACCAGGAGCTCGCCGCGCCGGGGGAGCTGCAGCACCCGCAGACGTTCGACTTCAACTTCAAAAACGTCGAGAAGCAGTACGAGTCGTACAACGGCATCAACGTCAAGCTGCGCTACTTTGTCCGCGTCACCGTCTCGCGCCGCATGGCCGACGTGATCCGCGAAAAGGACATTTGGGTCTACAGCTACCGCATCCCCCCGGAGATGAACAGCAGCATCAAGATGGACGTCGGCATCGAGGACTGCCTCCACATCGAGTTCGAGTATAGCAAGAGCAAGTACCACCTTAAGGACGTAATCGTCGGCCGCATCTACTTTTTACTCGTACGCCTCAAGATCAAGCACATGGAGCTGTCCATCATCAGGAGAGAGACGACGGGCGCCGCGCCCAACCAGTACAACGAGAGCGAGACGCTGGTGCGCTTTGAGATTATGGACGGCTCCCCTTCAAGAGGCGAGACCATTCCCATCCGACTCTTCCTCGGCGGCTTTGACCTGACGCCCACCTTCCGTGATGTGAATAAGAAGTTCTCTACGCGGTATTATCTCAGTCTCGTTCTCATTGACGAAGGCAAGTCTACACAGAAGCCACTCACCCCCTATCCCCATATATATCGTACTAATATTCCCTTTCTCTGCAATCTAGACGCCCGACGATACTTTAAGCAGTCGGAAATCATCCTCTACCGCCAAGCTCCCGACGCCGCTCCCGCCATAGCAGGAATCCAGAGCGTACCTCCTCCCTCTGAAAACAAAATCGCCGCTGTCCAGGCATGAAGCTAATAAAAAAAATGCTCATACCTGACCCCCTCAAGATAAAGAACCTATGGGCCAACTTCTTTTTGAGTTTTACATGTAGCGACAGCAAACTTTCCCATTCTACTTTGTTTTCCATTTCTAGCATAGGGGGAGGGGGTTATTAAACTAACTGGCGTTAACGGGAGATTACGAAGTGTTGTGTGTTGCGTGTGTGGTTTTTTGTACGAAAATGTGTTGTCGTAGATGATATATAGGTACATATATTTATAACGATTATCCCGGTCCTAGAAGAAAGTTGAATGAAAGGAGAGGAAGAAGAGAAGGGAATTAGTAAACCCAAGAAATTGACACTCGATAACGAAGCAAAAAAACCAACAAATATATCCCCTCATTTGATCCTGTGCTTATTTCCCCCCAAGGTATCTAAACCCATGTGGCCCTTTCTCCTCTCATCTCCTTAAAAGTTAAGAGGGTACAAGTATTAATCTACATGCAAAACATTTTTCTGGTTGCGTTTTTTTCGTCTAACATTGATTCATCCATGCCTCTTCCCTCATCATAACAATCCCCCCCCCCCCCNATTTCCCCATCGATTCCAGCCGAAATCACGCAATATCCATTATATCGCCCGCCTCGAATCCAAACTGATTATTCTGGATCGCGGCAATCCGATCCAGCTCATCCTGGTACTGCTTCCTGATATCCGCCAGCGTAACAACCTTTCTCTTCGCCTCCTTCTCCCCCTCAGGAACACCTTCATCGAAGATCCACGCCTGCTTGGCATCCACACAGCTGAGCGCGTTGATAAGCAGCAAGTACTGCTTCGTAACGGGCGTGTCGAGCACGTCTTCTCCCGCAATCTGATCTCCCTCCCCAGCCAGCCTCAGCTTTTGGATCTTATCGAGAATGACAGACGCCGCGCCCCGGTAGTTGTTGTGCTTGATCCTCCACGAGTAAAGGACCTGGTGGTATGGGAACGCATGCATGACGTCCATGATGGTCTTGCATCTTAGCGCGAGGATGTCATCGACCTCTTGTTGCATTCCAGGGAACGGCAATGTCACTAGCTCGGAGTTGTGATACGTCTCGCACATCTTATCCACGAGTTTCCGCAGGTTGTAATGCCTCAAGGCTTCATCCTTCATCGACAACAGCGTCGTGTGGGCCAGCTCAAACTGGGATGTGGCCAGCGCCGCGTTGAAAAGGCGGCTCAGCATGTCAGTCTTAATGCTAGCATTCTCCGGCTTGGATCCGGTGAACTGGACAGATAACCGAGCAAACTCAACCACATATGAGTACGCTCTCTGCTTTTCAAACAGGGCGACAATGTGTGAGTAGTACTGAGCCATTCCGCTGTTTAACAGATTCCACTCTGTGTCGTCAAGCAGACCACTGCTATGGCGCTCGAGCTCAACTGTTTCGCTTCCTATGACCAGTGTTAGCATAGGCTCGTTGAGCAAACATAACGTCCTTGACTTACCCATTCCGACAGCTGCCTTCTTGAAGTTGATAGATGCCGACTCATAGTCTTTCAGCGCAAGCAAAACCCTGCCGTGAATATAGATCGAAAAGGGATTTTGGTCGCAAAAGGGCTCAAGATCCAGTGCCAGATCTGCTCTGTCGCGCTTGATGAGGGAGCACTGGATGAGTGATGGGGATACCTCGATATCTCCATTAGGAGAACAGAGATTAGTAACGAGATCAGTGATGCTAATAGCAAGTGGTTCGTCCGCCAGCCCCTGCAAGCCCAGTAAATGGCCCACATTGGCCTCCAAGGCAGTCACCACTTGGACGTCTTCTCCCCTCTTTGTCAGAGAGGATAAGCTGTGCTCGGGTAGCGGAATGGCTAGTTCGGTCTGTGATAGCCACTTGAGAAGCTCCAGCCTCCTCAATGTCGCAATGAGTTGTCGGAAGACGGTTCCGACATCTATTCTGTGGTGGAGGGCGTCTTCTTCATTGTCGAACTCAAACTCCATGTGGACCAGGAGGATGAGCTGACTGAAGCATACTTTCCATTGGAGAGCTATGTTCTCTTGGGCCGCCGTCATGACAAGCTTCCTACCAAACTCCGTCAGGGGGTGGTTAGGGTTTCGGGTCTTATCATCTAGCGGGGTGACGAGGAGACCCAGTACTTTTCGGTAGAGATCATTTGTCACAGCTGCAAAATTGGTGTCCAGAGTGTCAACTACCTGCTGAGCATCCTCATCTGTTATGCCTCTCCAAAAACCAGCTTTGTCTGAGAAATATTGTATCCGCTCGAGGTCTGTCTTAGTAGACTCTCCAAACAGCTCAGGTCGTAGTGCGGCATTGCAAAGTTGCATCAGGCTATCCGGGAACCCTTCCACAAGCGTCAGTCCGGCGCCGATTAGAGCTGCTTGTGGCACAGACCCTTGATCCGGCGTAGCTAGGTTGTGGTAGACTCGCTCCAAGTGACTGCATTCTCGAACGGAAGAGATGAGATCCGCACAAACCAACCAAACCATGTCGGCATCGGCATCGAATACCATGCCGATGGCTTCCCCTCGCTGTTTATCAAGCTCGTTCAGCAACCGGTAGAATCTCCTCCACTGTGTCTCGCTTGACGATCGGAACTGTTCATAATCCATCTCGCCCGATGACGCGCGATCCAGAGAGGCAGTTGAGCCCAAGACTGAGCAGATGGACTCGGCCAATGGACGACCCTTGTTATTCTCCTTTGGAGCACCTAATCCGCGCTCATATATGGCCAGCGCCGCTTCCAACGTCGCCTTGGTGAATCTCCCCGGTTGCAAAATCATCTGTAGCCATTTCTCCGTAACATCGGTAGGGTCACAGGGGCCAGACGTTTGTACATCGAGACTTCGTGGCTCGAAATACACACCGTCCCAGCTATCCTCCCATGACTGCGCCATATTCTCTGGATCCAGCACCAGACGCTGCACTCGGTACGTCATGTTGTTTTTCCATAACGTCCATAGGCTATTGCCTTTCTCTGTTGAAGTCAACGCGAAATCTGCGAGCGTCCAAATATCTGAAGATGATGGAGTGATTGGGATTAATGTGCATTTAGAAAAGAGTTCTTCAATGACCACGTGATGGGCATCCTTGGCAACCATCTTCCAGATCTTGAACTCTCCAGGACCAATAGGTGAATAAGTTGCACAGATTCTTTGGCCCCGAGTTTGGCCAACAACCCGGGTAAGATTGAATTGTGCCGGATCAATTTGCCACTTGCCGATATCTTGGGGGGCCCTCTCAACGTTCAACATGTCGATTGTCTGCAGAATCTGCCCGTCATTGGCATTCCAGACACGGATTCGGTGGTCGAGACAAACGGTGACGGCAAATAGGCAGTTCTCGAGCCCAAAGTCGGTAATCTCAATGGATGTCGCAGTGCTGTATTCCATGTTGGCTTTTCCGTACTTGATCGTATTCTTGCCCTGGAACGGCAAGAGACTTCGTAGATTCTGCGCCCATCCTTGAACATTGAAGAAGGATTCTTTCCATAGCGTAGTAGATGCTAAACAACAGAGTTAGGAAACGCTTTTCATGGGCGTTCTTCTCTCCAACTTACCGTCATCTCCCTTTTGCTTGTCAAACCGAATCATGCCGCCATCATTGACCGTAACAAGAAGCGTATTCGCCGACACAGCCACCATTCGATGAGGATATTTAAAGCTGAGGCCAGCAGGAGATTGCACCTTGCAGATATCAGGCAATCCAGCATCCACGGCGCCTCTCCTCTTAAAAAGATCCGGTCGCAGAGTAAACGTGTATAGGTAGCAGGCCTGGTCCAGCACATGCACGCACAACGCATCATGCTCCTCCGGGTCCGAAAACACAACGCATCCTGTCTGAATCGGCACCGTGAAATGAAAGTTGATAATCAGAGACGCATCAGCCGCCTTGTCCTTCTTGCTAACGTCCACGGCCCGGATGCTCAGCAGCGTACCCTCCTCCAGCACCCTCCACAAAAAGTTCTTTGGCGAATCGTGCCATTTCCGACGATATATCGACGCTGCGGTCGCCAAGTTCTTCAGTCGAAAAGTCGTCTCGTCCTCGGCATCGTACGACAGCTTGGGGCGGCCTCTGCTGCCAGAACCGGAGGGCACTCGAATGGTCACGACAGAGGACGGGGAGGGAGGTTCGAGGTTCAAGCGGGTCTCTTTGAAGAGATACTGAATCTCACCCGAATCCATCTCGCCTCCCTGAAGCGCATGCGTCGTGCACTTTGTGAATTGAGGGGATGGCGGTGAAGTGATTGGCGCAAGTTCGTTCGTTTTGGTGATGCTCAGAGACGGTCGCGTTGCTTTGCATTTGCAGGGCAGAATTTCTGTTTCGACTTGGACGTCGCGCTGCGCTAGCCCGATTGGGAAACCAGCTTGGCTACACAAACATGCAGAACATTTGCGCCAGATTATGTATGGCATTGAATTGCATTGGATTGAGACGGCAAAACAAGATAAAAACTAAAATCAGTGGGATATATACAGAGCTTGTATACATTATGGTACTTGAATTGATCATGATCTATACTCGTGCGTTAATGCATCGTGCATCATGCATCTATCCACCCATCTCCCTCCCCTTTATAACTGATCCCGAGCAAACATGTAATAAGTAAAGAACAGCCATCCATCCATAAAGAAAACGCCAAAAAGGTCCATAAAACTCTCCCAAATGACTCCGATTTTTTCATTTCTCATGCAAATGCAACATTTCTCCATTATTTAGTCTTTCTCCTTGTCCAAATCCTTTGGCGCAGGATCGCCAATACCGTCCTCTTGAATGGCAAAGAGCGTGTCACTCTCTGGCAGACAAGGACTGTCGTAAATCTTGGCAATTCGAGTCTCGCCACGTCCCTTCTTCAAACTGATTCGCGTTGTACTGGCATGGGCAATGATATTACCACCAATAGGCTTCTTTGGATCAGGGTTGAACATGGCGCTGGGTCCACCATCTACCTGAGCAACAACTTGGTTGGTGATGACAACGGCAATGCCGAATTCGTCAGCCAGTCGCTGCAAGGTCCTCATGAATTTGGCCAGATGCGTCTGACGGTTTGAAAGTTCGCCTCGTCCGGTAAAATCTGTTCGATAGAGTGAAGTAGCACTGTCGACGATGAGTAGCGAAAATCTCGTCTCGCACATCATGGCCGCTGCCTGATTCAGCAGTTGAAGCTGGTGATCTGAGTTGTATGCTCTCGCATATGCAACATTGTCCAATACTTCTTCTCCTGACAGGCCAAATCGGTTGGCAACGGCCAGCAATCGTACAGGTCGAAAGGTGCCCTCAGTATCAATGTACAGGCATTTGCCTTCGCCACCACCCATATCGAAAGGCAGCTGACAGGTCACAGCAAGTGTGTGGCAAATCTGGCTTTTGCCTGTTCTAAACTCTCCAAACAGCTCAGTAACAGACCCAGTCTCAATACCTCCCGCCAAAAGCGTATCCAGATTTTTAGACCCGGTTGTGATAGAGATGAGTTCACTGCGTCGCTGATGCATCTCAGTGGCCGTCGTAAACCCCATGGGCACAAGTTTCGACGCTTTGAATACAGTCAGATTTTTACTTCATGCCTCAAAGACACAGAACGCAGTCGACATACCCTCAGCCAAAATCTTGGTCGCCTTCTGCTCTGAGATGCCCTTGATCTGCTCCAACACCCTGCGCGGGGTATAAGCCACCGATTCGACCGTGTTAAATCCGCCATCAACAATCAGTTGGATATCACGCTTTGTCAATCCAGCAACTCCCTATGAAATGAAATCATCAGCACCGTCCAAGCTTCGTTATCCAGCACCATCATCATCAGTCATACCTCCAAAGCAGATAGCGGCGTGGGCGCACCAGGTCCAGTCATGCCACCCTCGTCGCCCATCTGGTTCTCCTCATCGTACTCTTCACTCATCTTGTCTGTCAAAAACGAATTGATTGGTCCACGCAAAGAAACAATAGATGAAGTTCACGCTATGCAGAGGATTTTTAAAGGCCCAGCAGCCACAATTAGGCAGAACTGAGGCAAATGAGACGAGGTATGTTGACAACCAAGGCGCGGGTCGACGCGTCGAGTCAGGCTAGCAAAGGGATAATTTGACGCCAGATCACGTGATATCACTCTTGATTTCTAATTGAAGGCTGTGGAGAGAGAGAACAGGCATCCATGACACATTTACATTTCACATTGGTAATGATTCATCTTAATACGAAAAGAGTGTATTATTGCAGTTATTGCTCTATATGCTAGTTACCAAAAGCAAGCCAGTTCCAGAAAAAGTGCAGACGTTGAAAATTGACCGTTGATCCCAAATCCCCCCAACTCCCATTGATGCAATCGAGAAAGGCAGACAGCAAAGCTAATCCCAAGGTAGATTATAGTATTATTCCATTGTTGTGAGATGTTGTGTCTTTTCCGAATTGTGAAATGGTTTACTGGATGAAGATACGGTGTGCCTCGTGCTTCTTCGCCTTGGGGACGGTGATGCTCAGAATACCGTCCTGGAAGCTAGCACTGACAGCGTCGTGCTCAACCAGACCAGGGAAGTGGAAGCTGCGCGAGAACTCGCCAATACTGCGCTCGGTGAGCCAGTACTTGGCCTTGTCGGCGGGCTGTTGGGGAGTCTTGGTCTCAGGCTTCTTCTCTTCTTCGGTGGTCACGACTTCATAGCCCGACTCGCGCTCGCTGGCCTCGTCTTCGTCCTCAACAGTCGCCTGGTGCGAGTTTCTGCGTTCAGACTCGGCCTTCTCAGTGATAGTTTCTGCAGAAGGAGTGTTTTCGACGGAAGCAGTGGGTGATGTGCCGGCAGTGTATGTGCGCTCAGTCTTGCCGCGGACAACCAAGGTCTGGGCGTCGGAGAATTCGATCTGGACGTTCTCCTTGCTTATGCCGGGAAGTTCGCCGTGGAGCTCGTAGGCCTGGGTGGTCTCGCGCACGTCAAACTTGGGCTGCCACTGGGGAACTGGCTGGCGGCGGACATTGCAGCTCTTGCCATTCTGTCGGCTGTAGCTGTCAAAGTCGTCGAGGAGACGGAAGAGAGGCGTGAAAGAGGCCTCGGTGGGGTGGTAGAAAGTGCGAGGGAAGAAAGCCATTGTGATTGTTGAGTGTTGTTTTTTATGTAGTTGTGAAGATGTTGTCAGGTTGGTTGATGTTGTCGTGAGTTGTGTGGATGTGTGTTGCGGGAGTGCTTTGCTTTTGTTGTTGCTTGGGTGTTTGCTGTGTATCTGAGTGGTGTTCTGATGAGGAAGGGAATTTCACTTCTGCTTGACTTCATGGTGTACTTTATAGTTGATTGCATGACTTCAATTGTCTTCAAAATCAGGCAGGCAGATTACGGACGAGATGTTCTAAGAATGCGAGCGAATCTACTAGCATCTACCATATCAGAGAAATGAATGCGCGGTGCGTCATAATGCTGCTTACAAGCTGCACATGTCACTGTCTGGGCTACCTAATCGTGGCGACTGCGAGCTTCTTCCAGCAGGCACTAGAAGATTCCACACAAGTACTAAGTAAGCAGCACATGTGAGGAATTACACTCAGCAACATTTCTCCCCATGGTTTAAAAAAAAAATTTCACATAAAAGTAAAATATATTTGCATCTCCAAAACAATCCATTGTCTGCATCATAAGCCATTAATAGAAACAAGACTATAGAGTTCACACTGGACGTTCTATTCACATCATCCCGTGCCTGAAGCCTCTCCTCATGCGTCATTGTGGCTTTCCAAGGAACCCTTGGAGGGGGGCGAACTGTGGCTCATGCGCCACTGATGAAATCCAGCCACATCAAGCCACCGCCCAATTGACTTCTTCCAGGTTAGGCTCTCAAATTGCCAGGAATTCATGAGGATTCAGAAACACAAATGCCATTGATGAATTGATTAACATGCGTCATCAGTCAGGATAATTCTGTAAAGAAGTTGGAAATATACGGAGAATCATCTAGTGTCTGTTGTCAAGTCATCAGCGGGCCCTAATCGAAACTTGCACGTCCCATCTTTTGTATGCCGTATTATGCTCTTTTGATACGTACCCATGCATAGAGTCGACTTTATACAAGGCAAACAGCCACATTTACTAAAACGAATGACGTCCATCCAAAGCTGACCCATATCCACTACTTGTTCAGCGTCCAAATAAATGTTCACCAAATAGGACATTTTGTAAATCAAAGATCATCCTTCATGGGGAGCTGTATTATTCTCCACTACAGTTGTGGTAATGGACAAGGGCAGTCTTTTTGCCACAGGCACTTAGCTTGACTGCCTGAGCCTTCTCCGTCTACGGTGGCCATGCCAATCACAAGAGCAGAACACAGACAAAGTGATAGTTTAGTAAATGTAAAGACAATTTGAAGATAGAATTATCCATGCATATAGCATTACAAAAATAAGGTTGCCTTGAGAAAAACCACCTATAGATGTTCCTAGCCGCCTGTCCCTTTCCGTTGACCTGATATTCGTAGCATCGTCTCCATCATCGTGTAGTCGTCAATCCAGGAACTTTGGATCTAAAATACAAGGCAAAGACTTCCCTAACATTCCCGGAAAGAACCAGGGCATTAAAGAAGGAGAGCAATAGCAAGAAGCCAGCATACCAGACAACAGAGAAATATGATGCCATGGGTGAGACCAGGCTATGGTGCATATGATCCCATTTGTTGATATCGCGACATCGTGCCACCGAGGGGTCTCGCGGTTCCCGAAGATCCAGCACCTTGGCCAGTATTGAAAAGACCAATAAGCCTTTGGCCGATAGAAGGCTCTATCTCGGTGCCGTCTCGCGCAATCTTGACCTCTCTGTTGGAATTCCAGGGGTTTCGTAACCCACGAATCCTGTGAAAGGGAAGACGAGATGTTGATAGCCACTCGACTCGGAAAGGCTTCCCCCAGGCTTTCTCTTCCTCCTCTTCGTTGACAACACCATCTGTTCCGTTCAAGCCGCCAGCTTCATTATCGAGGGTCTTTTCAGAATCATCTTGATATATCTCCCAAAAGATTGTTCCTCTGCTTGGATCATGAAGGATTCTGCCTTTGGGAACGTATTCGGTCGCGTCCGTGAGGACTTCTTTCGGCAACTCTACATCGTTCGTCGATCGTGGTACGGGTGCAAATTGAACGGTCGAATCAAGGGATGGGCTAAACTCGGAAGCCATTCGTGCATATCCAAAGTACTCGCCAGATTTGTTGGCTGAAAATATTAAATATACGTTGTTGCATTGCTTCAACATGTTAGCCAATGAAAGACAACTCTCCAAGGTGATGACTTAGATCTCTTACCCTGAATGCACCATTCAATGTTTCTTCGTTATGAGATTGTGTTGCCCAAATTCCCGTTCGTACACTAAGCTCAAGGTCATCAACTGTCAAACTTTTCAAAATAAAAAATCTATCATGGTATTTGAGTGCTCCCTCTGATGGGGTAGCTGTTGGCTTATCCGCGTGATCGGTAGTTGGAGTCGAGTTTCCATCTTCGATTTTGACGGCAGATTTACTTCTAGCCGGATGGATCGGTTGAGGAAAGTTGGCTGGGCCTGACGCCGGCCCTGTTGGCGGAGAGTGGCCAGCATTGCCATCGATTTCATTCCTTCGTAGCCTGCTGACAAGACGAACCGACTGGAATCTGGATTCGTGCAGTTTGAGTTGAGCAGTGATGCAAGAGGCCTCATCTTTGAAGTTAGCAAAGGCGCAGTTGCTCTTGGCAATCAAAAAGAGAGATTCGAGTCCTGCTGTCTCCTTCGAAACGTGGCGTACGAGGCTCATTAAGTCGGTTTGGGGTGGAAGATTTCCGATCCAGACGGCATTTCCTGAAACAAGGGCAAGTGTTAACTTTCTACCGTCAAGGAAAAGGAAAGGCAAAAGAAGAAATAGAAAACACAAGGTAAGAACAGGGAGGGGGGTATACCGGTTTGTCGAGGTTTACGCGTCGAGCCTCGAATAGAGTTTTTCTGCTCGTCAGGTTTTACTGGGAATCTTAGCTTTGTGCTTATTGGCCCAAAAGAGAAGGAGAGGGAGAGGGAAGTGGTGAGAGATACCCTGAGTCAGTTTCTCAGTTGGAAAGGATGGAGGCGGGCTGTCTAGAGGCTGGTTATGGATTAAGGTTCCTGTTGATGCTTGTTGGCCAACTTCTGCTCGATGCTGCTGGCGGCCTGGAGCGACAACATGCTGTACACTGGGGAACTGAATAGGATACGAGGCGGCCTGATGGTAATAATATTGGGTGATCGGTTGCCCCATGGCTAATGGCGTTGAGTAATATGCCACGTTTTGTCTCTGTAGCATCGCCGAGCCAACATGGTTGACAGGTAGATGGCCACCGCCATAGTACGGTGAGATGTGTTGAGCTGGTTGTACGTAGTAGCCCTGGTGCACCATGGGCATCTGCGAAGGTCCGGTATACTGAGGGATCGGTGGCATGTGCTGAGCCATGGGCGGTGACAGCCCGGCAGTGTATCTTGGTTGAACCCCTCGCTGGTATTGACCATGGTGATAGTTGTCCTGAGGCAGGGCACTCGCCAAGGGTGTCATGTTGTATGGGCTATGGCGGTTAGGGAATGTCGACGCGGGTGCCGATGTATACTGTAAGTTTGCCGGGTTGTTGGGCAGACCTGGGAGGCCGTCGGGCCCAGAAGTCACCCTCTCGTGGTCTGGATTTTGAGGCATTACAAGCCCCTTGGCAGTCGCTTCCGGCAGGACGGGCTCGACCTTGCCCGTCCCAGAGTCGGGAGGGACTGAGACGTCGCCCATCGAAAATTTGAATCTGAGCAGGAATCTAGGCTCTTTGATGTTGCTAGGTACTTGGTCCGCTGGGTCAAATGTTTTGCTTTTTGTGTAGCCGATTACAAGGGGTCTTGGGAAGAGTGTCGTGTGGCGGAGAGGTGGGCTGAATAATCGTTGTCCAGTTCAAATCATCTAGTCAAATCGCAACTGCTGATAAGGTCCGAGTTTTCCATATGCAAGGAGCTGTGTCTTTGCATAGTCCGGAATGATTAAGCCCAACGTTCGCCACAAATGTGTTGTTTGTGAGGTATCGCGCCTACTGAAGAGGAGACCGCCTGTGCCACTATTCTGAATCTCAAGGCTGTGGCAACGAAGACTCCTTCTCCAGTGATAGAGTGCAAGTATTAGGCGTTGATACTCTCTAGCTTGTGACCGTTCAGGTGACGTGAACCAATGCTAATTGGCCTCAGGGGTGCAGGAAGACACGATTTGCCTCCGGGGCGGAGCGACAAGGAAGGGTCAGCCCGGTCTGGGGAAAGCAGTGACTCGGATAATGCACCCAATGGCACTGTAATAAGAGAAATGTGCCTGTAGCAGGGGTGATAATACCCTATGGGGGCCTTTTGGCGAGACAATGCACGAGTTGAACAGGGACAGCCACAAAGCCGGCAGCTCCTCCTGGGAGAATCCACCTCCGCAACAGAGAAATATGGTGACGACTGACAGCAGCTCAACGCCACTGAAGTGAAGAGCAATATAGAACCAAGATGTCGGCTCTTTCTAGAAGAAAGACCAGGTTTGATGGCCTAGACAATCGATGACGGGCGATTGATTCGAGACCCAAGGCAAACCAACGGCCACCAACCACATCAGATCGTGCCAGAGAACCGGGTCAAATTCACGTCCCAGGTACGAAAAGTACGTACAGACAATCTTTTGGCGGCGGCTCAGGTGCCCAGGTAGGTCGTGGCTTTAAATTGAAAAAAAAATAAAAGGGACAGCGGAGCTAATTGTTCGTTTCACACCCTTTTGCTGTCCACACCTGCTGAACATTGCACGACAAGTCAGTGCTAAAATTGCAACACCCTGTCGGTGAGCAGCGGCTGAGTTATGGGATTCACCACTCACCAGTCAAGGCAGCGATTGAGCAGTAGGTGAACGATGGGTCCGGCGGCAAAGGAGGCGAGGGCGTCTAGAGCTGCAGCCTTGCAAGTCACCCCAAGGAGTGGGCGTGGATATTTGTCGAGCTCAATGAAGATCAAAGTTTTAAAAGATCTAGGCCAATCTCTGTACAGCTAAATATACAGGGCCGGCGGCGACGATCCGGTTATGCCTGGGCTGGGGGGCGACGAATCGAGGAAGATGACAGGGCGAATTCAGGCTCGAGAAGCTACGGTTGCCGATTTGTTTCTGCCGGGGCCAGGGCTATGTGAGGTACTTGGAGGAAGTCTCTCGAGGTATTCGTAAATGCTAATTGCAAAACACTGTGCCTGATCCAAAGAAACTTTCTTGATTGTTTCCAATCTCGAAGCCTGAAAGGCTGCCTTTGTGGCTGAAGATACGGCCGCAATGGAGCGACTTCGCGGTATCACAGGCTCCGGGGCACAGTGTGGCTAGATTGAATGTACAAGCAGAACACGAAGCACGGACGGGATGCTGTAGAGAATTCAGACGTACCAAGTACCAACTTGGACAACCCTACCTAGGTGCTTGATGTCTGGACCAAATCGAATTGTGGAAGCGGAGATTTGCGTAGCCCCTGGTCATACTAAACATAGAGCCAAGACTACCAGAGCTGCCAACATTACCGGTGCAAATCTTCGCGGCTTCGTCAGCAGGGACGAGGAGCAACCCAAGTGGCTTATCTGCATGAATTCTTGTTATGGATATGGAGAGTCAACCAAGGTGGCGTTTGGTTGGGCCTGACAAGCGACCATCTGCATGTGCTAATAACTGGATATGTAGCTTTGCTATCCAGTCATAATGAACAATTGCCCTGTCCACAAAAGCAGGGCAAGACCTCGAAGACGGCATAACCTGTACGGCATTAGCAGCCGTCAGGAGACGCCCATCCCAGCCACGATGGGAGAAAGGGCGCTTGGGGGCGTGTGGACAAGGATGGAGCTAGGCCATGGAGAATGGAGCCCGCAAGAAACCCAGCAGGGGAGCAAGACAAGCAAGGTCGCCACTGGATATCCAGAAGCAGAACGTCTGTACATACTCCATACAGGCACAAGCTTGGACGCAGAGCTCGGTGTCAGTCAGCTGCTAACTCGAGCCCTGGAACTAACATCTGAAAATGTGGCGGGTGTGTGGACAGCCATTGCGAAATCAGACGCCTCAGTCACACGAGGTTAAAACAAACCGGGAACCGGGAACCACATGTGGCTTTTCCTTGTTCGCCACCACGGAGCTATGTCACGATCCGTGGCTAGCCATAGTAGATGGGCGAGACGAAAAGCATCACTCCGCCGTCAGTGGAAGTGATTTCTGCTTCATCACACTGGCCGCTAGCCTCAATCCAACATTTCAATCCACATCGTGTGTAATGCCACCAGTTTGACGTCGTAAGCACCTTCACACCACCCAGAAACCATGGCTACGTGTTTCAACTATTTTCGGGGCTTTCGGTTGCCAACAATTCATTGTATAGGCAGACAGATTCAAAAGCCGGGGGAGCAGTTCCCAGGCAGCTGACTTGCAGCCAAACGGCTTCACCGAGTGGTTCCCGGTCGGTCTAAAAAAGGCAAACCAACTTGATAGATCAAATTCTTGGTTGAATCTGAATGCCATGGCCTCGCAAGCCTCGGTTTCCCCCCCAGCAAATGGCGCGCCACTTGTTCCATGGCAATTAGCCATCAAAGCCACTGAACTCCGGTGCGCTTATGGATACATGTATGAAACGAGAGCCCCGTTGGCATCCACAGATGGAAGAAGTTTGCCCAAATAGCGTGATTGTGGCTCTGATCGGCAAGGCCTATCCCTCGTGGACGGGCTGTGGCTGACGTGCGGAATAGCTTCAAAATGGCAAACTCGTTTTCTTCGTCCTTGTCCCTCTTTCTTATCCCATCATGGATCACGAGCCATGGATATGCATGCGCAAGACAGGGCTAGCGATGCAGCCCACTTCCAACTTCCCCAGCAAGCCCAGCCCTCTGAACTCCGTGCCAACTCGCTGCCTCGTAAAGCCAACGGCTCCCGCATCCGCTAGAGCTTCAGAGGGCGCCCAGAGTCCGAATCAGCATGATCGGCATTCAATGACTGCTGTCAGAAGTCGAAGCCTGCAGACAGCTAGCCGTGGCAAGTTGCTGGTTCGAGGTCCATGGAATCTGTCGATCACTTTCCATCTCTGCGTCTCCCGGCCCACCCACCACGTCCTTTAGTAGCCAAGCCTCCTTAACGCAAGGGTGCAAAGCCCATCCCGCGACCTAAAAATTCCTTAATCGACCGCCTTGCTGGTCACACACGCCACGGCATTGGTCCCAGCCTCAATTGACGATGGGGGATGGGGAAATACCGGCTTCTCGATGCAGTAAACATCGAATTTCACGCAGTTCCCCATACACCGACCATTGACTCCGTCTCCCCCCTCCGTCTCTTGCGCCGCGGGCCGCTGCTGGACTCGTCTAGGAGAGGATTCCAGTTCGTCCCGTCTGCTCCAGCTGATTTGTACTCGTGTATTTACAGCCAAGCAAGCCATGCCCATGTATACTCCGTAGCATGCTCGACATTGGCCATCGGCAACCCCTCCGAGGCCACAAGAAGGGCTTGCTTCCCTTGAGGCGCTTCCCCGCGAACACCGCCACCCTGGCTTGGACCCTTGGACTTGGACCCTGGCAATGAAGTCAGAGGCACAAAAGTGGACAGAGCCAAAAAGCAGGTTCTCGCCAAACCTTGACCCCCTCGTTTAATTCTGCCCACGGCCGGCCGAGTAGCGCAGCCCAAGCCCGTACCTATCCATCTCCGTACTGGTACAAGCCATATCCACACCCAACGTCCAACATCCAGGAACGTGCTGCTGTATGTGCTTTAGCAGTACCTTCTTGGTCATTGGTCAGGACGCTACTCCGGAACTGGCATCACGCTTCGTACCTTGACGAACCTCGGCGGACAGGTTGCTCCGGAATACTCGAAGCCACGCCGGCATTCGGGCATTGTGGGCAAGCTGCACGGATGGATTCCATTAGGCGTGCTCCGTAATTCCCATGGGCGCGCGCACAACCAGAACTAGGTACTACTAGGTAGTAGATAGAACTACAGTAGTGCTGTGCTGTATGCAGTAAAGACAAAGTCAAAATCATTGAAGCCCATCTTCTTCCCAGGCCAGGGCTGCATGTCTCAACGGCCAGTCGGTTTTTGTGTGCATTAGCGGCTGCGCATGACTGCGTTGCTGCATCTGAGTACGAAATTTGCAGGGCTGCCAACCGCTATCGCGACGCTTATCCAGCTGTCTGCTGCAAGGGCGCCGATCTTGCCTGGCTTGGGAATGACTGCTTCGCGCACTCTATTCAAGATGACGACATGCTCCTGGGCAAACCTGCTTGCTTTGCTGTACTTCAAGTCAAATGCTACGGAGAAATGTCTGTCAAAATACCAACTCCCCGCATCGTATGACGTAGGCAGCTCGTTTGTTGTTTCCAGTCGTTGCTTCGTCTTCTCTCCAGCTCTCCTGCGGCTTCAATTGCGTCTGCGTCGAGGTCAAAGACCAACATCAGGGCCCGGATGGAGCTGAAGCGGCTCCGTCTCCGTCATGTCACGCCACCAATTGCAAGATCCATGGCCGATGGAGAGGATCGTGTCTAATCCTCCGCATCGCCGGGGGTCTTGAAACATGCCTCGGGCCTCAATGGGCCGTGTTCGAGTACGCCAAGATGCTCAATGGCCCTCGTCGCGAGCTGAGCTAATGCTGAGTTCCAGATGCCCTTCATAACTCCTTCATAGAGACCTCGCCTTGATCAAGAAATTCCAACGTTTAGATCGACAGCTCGTCGCTCGCGCTCGGCATTGATACTCTCAACATTCGACCTCGGCCCACGCTCAGCTGGCAATGTACCCCAGTTGCCCTGGTGGCAAAGTGTTCGCAGCTCTAGTCCATCCGGCTCCGATCAACATTCAAAAACGCGCGGCCCAAGAGAAGAGATGCGATTCGCAGCGTGTAGGCGTGAACGGTGGATCGTGGTGATGTTCGTGTGCGGATGAGGATATGAGCATCTCAGGAACGACGTCTAAGGATTCAGGCCCAGGTCCAGACCCAGGCCCAGGCTCGGAGGCGCTGTGAGGAGAGCTTCGGGGCGCTATTACCCGTCTTTCACGCCACGATGGCTGCATGGCCAGCTCGACTCCTCGCTACGGTCACACTATATGCGCCCAGTAAATGATAATGTCGGCAAAATCTCTTCATCCCTACTTTCCGACTGTTCATCCCTACTCCATGCGCCTAGTGCCAAATCATCCATCGATGGATGACTTCTATTGGACCACCACCTGCTGCGCCTTACGACTGCGATGCTGGGATAACGGGTGCACAAGCTGCAAATCCATGGATATACGTGCATATCAGGTTGAATAACCGCCGCGGCCTTGGCCTCCCGAGCCCTCCCTGTGCTCGGCGTCCAAAAATTGCGCCAGAGGGGGCTCAATGGCATCTTGCGGAATCAAGAGGGGATTCCCCGCCATTTGATCTGGCCCTTCTGCTGGCCTTAGGGAGATGGGGAATGGGATCGGCCGCTGTACGCGCAGATTTTGGCCAGCCATCAACAAGCCGCCCGCCAGAGCTGCCCAGAGAGCTCTCACCACGTGGTTGAGGTCGACGTTTGCTGCTTGCCACGTATTCGTTGTAGGGCTGGATCCTTGCTCTTTGCCGTTAGGTCCAATGCAAAAGGCCAGGCAGCGAGATGCGTCTTTGATGCGGATTGTCCATGGCCTTGTTTCTACAGCGAGACGCTTTCAGCTCGTCAGGGCTGTCAGTCACAGCCGTGGGTTCATCCGGGTTGGCTTATCTGATTACTTGTAGTGATCTGATACGGCGTAGCGTCGGGCAATAGAAATGGATCGAACGATCAGATGGGTCATGTATTTTGCTGTAAGGGTTTAGCAAAGGTTGCTTCCACTGCCGTCTACACAGCTTCTGAAGCCAAGTACAGTGCATAGATAAGGCAAAACACACTCGTATACCCCCTGTAGAAAATCTTGTACGGCCTGGAGGGGAAGTGTTTCCTCTCAACGCCATGCTGTAAACTGTTACTCGAGGCTGTGCTTCGCTCTCCCCTATTAATAGTGTCTACAGTACAAAGCAAGATTATGCAGCCACACCAATAGCATTACAACCCCACAGCATTGACGTCCCAACAAGGAGAATGCTGCTTTTACTGTAGTATTCCGTATACTAGCTTGGATTTCGCAGTTTTCGCAGTTTTGCCTATCAATCAGCCTTACCCGAGATTCTTCTGACTCAGTAGAATTATGATTCCTATTTCATACCTGTCATACAGGATACTAACGGCTTCAAGGGATTCGAAACAACATGTGCTTTTGCCACCCTAAGAAAAGGCAAAGCCAATAACAACAAGTATACAGGCTATCACAAATACTGGACAGGAACAAGGTCCAATCTTACCCTGTCAAATAGATAACCCCGAATTCCGAATTCCACGCCACTTCTACTGTGAATAACCTCAAGTAATTGAACTACACCAAAAGTTGAAAGCCGAAAATACCCAGCTATGGAGGGGTATAGAGACAACATCTCGGTCTTATTCTTGCCATCACGTGAAAGTCAACGGTCTTAGACATCTCCGTCTGTCCGAACCGGTCTTTCGACCTTGCCCTCGTAAAAAAAAGAAAGAAAAAAATGTGACATATTTGTTGAGGCCGCCGAAATCAGCTCAGCTGCAGCACATCTTCTCCGGGATTGGCTCTCTTGCCAAGGCCGGCCACCCAACCACAGCATTTCCTATACGGAACAACTGCTGTAGATGGCCGCCCTGTCTCCGCCTCTCGCTGATCGGGCTTTCAGTGGAGCTGCGAGGCAAGCACTCACGGCCACTAAGAGCTCACAATGAAGGCAAGAAAAAAATGATGGATGTGGAGCCGGAAGGGTTGCAAGTCGACAAGCCCGTTGCTGCAAACTATTTCCTCTTACACCGCCTTTGATTCTACGGCACAGCAATACAAGGCTAAGGTAGATCTAGATGTGTGGGTGGTGTCATCGTGGTTGTGTGGCTACGAGTACATACACACGAGCATCCTGGAGCGGAGCTTGATAAGGGAATCGTGGTCACGCGGGGAAAGAGTCCAGGGGTGCGTCCAAATTGTCGCTTCTTTGGCGTTCGTTTTGAACGGCTATTATACATCGTTACGCATTCCAGAAAGAGCAAACCCAATTCATATCTAGTCCTTCTTCAGAGGCAGGAATACCTCCTCAATTCCCTCTTTTGTGATGATCAGCATCTGCAGAGTATCGCCGACCTCAATGTGACGCTCCACAGCACCGTCAAAGGCGTCCTTGACGAGAGTCTCAACCTGTGGCCGTGTCAAGGGGTGACGCTCCCTTTCCTTCAGAGCATGGCCCTCGCCACTTCCGGGGATGTACTGGTTCTTGAAGTTGACCTGGTTGTCCAGGAACGGCATGATCAAGCTGCCCGCAGCACCTCCAGCTCGGCATTGCTCTCTCTCGTAGCTTCCAACCGGGTCGTAGGAGTAGACCGCACCCTTGCCCTCCTCATCGAGGCCACCAAGCATGGCATGTGTGTAGTATGGGAAGAATCGCTTCTGGTAGAGAATAGTCGATAGGCGCTTGGCACAGGCGTTGAGCGTCATTGGCTTGCCATGTCGGTAGCGGTAAATCTTGCAGACAGTGTCCAGGCGATCACGCAGAGCCTCACCATCGGCGGCGAATCCACAGACGGACAGGACGATGGTAGCGTCTTCTTGGGTAGCAGTAGTGCCGCCAATCTTGAAGACCTTGGGGGCCATTCGGGAGTTGATGCTGTAGCCGCTGGTGTGACGGGTATCGCCAGCCATGATGGTAAAATCGGCACCGGAGATGGCAAGCGTAGAGCCACCATTGTCGGAGTAGCTGAGGGTATTGTTAATGCACTGCAAACAAGCAAACAAGGGAGCCGGGGTAGCTTACGGATTGAAGCGGTGCTGTCGAGGCTCTCCATGAGCCGTCTTGGGTGCATCTGAGAAGGAATAGTTGGGCCCGTTCATGAGCGGGTTCTGGCTGAACATGGCGGCCATCGTTGCGGATGTTTGGTGATGTTTTTCGGCAGCTTCGTCGACGAGGGAGGTGGTTGATAGCTTCAAACGATGCCTTGACGTTGCTTGTGATGCTATATCGCAACAGATGCGCGTCAAGTGGGAGCCTTGCTAGGCCAAGACTGGGGGGTAGCTCGGATGACTAAGCCGCCAGATTACCTACAATCAGTGACCACCCCCTTACAAGGCGGCAGAAGGATCATCATTTCGCGTTGGTTGACAATCTCGACTTAAGAGTCGCAGAAAACCATCTGCTTAGCTCTATAGGAGCTTTGCTACCAACTAATTGTGCTTTAAGAAAACTGTACCCTTTGCGATTGCGACCATGACGCGCGACACTCGCGCGCGAGCGCTGGAGAAGATAGCTTCGCTCTCGGCGACGGGCCCCGCGACTTCATTTGAGAAATCAGACCTCGACCGACTGTGCAAGGCGTGCCATTCAGGAGCAAGAGGAGGCGAACATGGTCAGGCCGGGCATAACTCAAAGCCGAATGGCTCTCTGGGAAAAATCCCCATGGTCAGCAAACTCACCTCTATTGGCTTACATGTGAAACTGCCAAAAAGCTAACTACTTAACCTTTTTTCTTAGTCAATTCGCGAGTTTGAAGTCCTCCTCGCCTTATGCAAGACCGCGCCGAACATCCAATCCAGCCAAAGCGCCCAGAAGCTCTCTTATCGATTGATCCCTTACATACTCGACATTCATACACAAGTTTTCGTGTCATCGCCCTTCTTTCGCAAGATCGAGCCATCCCCGACGGAGTCGTTGGCCTTCCACGTTACGGCTGCCCTGTTGTCGCTTGGAAACAACTACCACGAACTTCACGACGAAATCTCCAATGGCATCTGGCACTTCGCCAACGATTGTAATAAGGTGGCTGAAAATGTCGTGTCGCCACACGTCGGCGATCCTGAGAACCCCCATCTGGACGACGCGATCCGGACCGCGACCATTGCGCTGGCTCTCGTTGGTTTCCTTGATGCCATGTCTGCCCAGGCAGATTTCTGGAGAGTAGACGGCCGATTATTCCTCGTACAAAAGATTCGTCAGCTTCTCTCAGAACCGTTCTTGGTTGCAGTTGAGACTGCCATCTCTACCATCCGTAACTCCCTCAACCAAGATCGAGACGTGAAGGAGTGGAAGAGACATCTGCGTCACTATGCCGCCTCGGGAAGACCCCTTGGAGCAATGCTGCTGCAACGCAGTTTTATGTGGCTGGTACTGGCGAGCAGCTCCTTGATGGTTGCGGATGGAACACGCCTTCGCACTACACACATCTTGGACATCCTCATGTCGAAAGACGGCAATCTGAACTCTGGTGATATAGTGATCGATACCCCCTCTATCGAGACATATACTGGTCTTGCGATAGAGCAGATGCATTACATTGAGGCTGGTGCGGACTTTGTACGACTCGGAGCGCACTCTCAGCAACAGCTTGCCTTTGCAGTCAAATCCGCTGCCATGATCACATATCTGAACTGTGCTCTGCTTAATGAAGAGATTGCGGATGCGGACATCCTCACCACATGGCTCCAGGAGGCATTGGAAGACCCAATGCAGATGACTGACGAAACTTTGGCATCTACTGTTCTACAGTGTCTGGCTCTAAGCTGCCGTATAGCGCCCTCGTTTTCTTTGACCGTCAGCCGCGTGCTTCCACGGTTCCTTGTCCAGACTGTGCCTCAGGGCAACACCGTTGGAGTAGCATCAAAGAGTTTAGCATATGTTCTGAGACTACTCTCCAAAGACGCAGTCATCAGCACTCTCTATACCTTGGGCAATGTGCTGAGCCCGGGCTCCGATGGAACTATTACTGGCTTGCAAGCAAATGGCACCGCTGGCGAGGCAAACCTGGCACCTGTTTATGTTAACAGGCACTCTACGGGAAGCGCCATTTCTCTTCAGATGAGTGGCGAGGAAGAGACGGCCATTATTTACGGCAATGTTGTTCAGGCGATATGCGGCATTGCGGCAGCATGTGACGATGAAAAGATTACGGCTCTTGCACAGTCCATGCTTCTGCAGAAGTTGGACAAGGTCAACGTCAGCGTTGATACCCAGGTTATAGCTGGTGCAGCTACATTGGCACTTAGTGGAGGCCAATTGGAGTTCCGCTCGCTCCTCAAATTGTACTCGAGGATATGCCACATCGGCGTGGTAGAGAAGAAGGATTTCCTCTTGGGTTCGGTGAGGAGAGCTCGTGCCCATATCTCTGCTCGTTTGCGTCGGGATTCCCCCTTGTTTGACATCTATTGGGAACATTTGCTTGATAGCATTATTTCCCTAGGCGATGCTCACGCGTCTGGCCAAACCAAAGACTCGGACGTGCAGCTAGCGGCTCAAGAGATTGGAGAACTCCTTCACCCCCTTGCCGTGTTCATGGCCAGCAATGATCTTGCCTCGGAACCGCTGACGAGTGACGAATCCAATGCTCTCCTTAGAGATGCATGGTTCAACATTGTTGTACATGGCTTTATGACAACCACCGAGCATGGCAAAAAGCACATCGATGAGCTTCGCATGATTGCCGTGCACTCTCCCGCCTTAGTAGCGAGCCAGCGTAGCGAGCAGGTTGAGAGTGACATTGAGCTTAATACTGTGCTGAGACGAGGACATAGTAACGAACGAGAGGCAATGCAGAAGAAGCTTCTTAGCGAGCTCGTACCATCAAAGGCAGCTGACATTAAGAGCCTTAGCTACCGAAAGGTCATCTTCCTTCAAGCCGCTTACCTGGTTGAGAGTCTCCGAGCGGACGCAGGCGATTGCACCAAGGCATTGACCTACTTTTTGGAGCCTGCCATGCGAAAGGGTGATGTGAGCAGCACTATGGAGGGCATTGCTGCGGCTGTCGTGGACAAGTATCTGAGAAAGACGCTCGCCGGCATTGACCCCAGCTTCTCCTCTCAATACGCCGCTACACAGCTTGTTTCCATCTTCTGTAACTGCTGCCACCGCATCGAGCGTGT